GATTTACGAAAAATTTATTGTTTGTGTTCTTAATCTAAGTTACTGCTCAAAAGTTGTTTTTCAATGTAGTGTGACAGGAAGTCTGCAGGTTGTAAACCGAGCTATATGGTTTGGGATTTTTATCATCAACATAAATTTGGCCTTTGAAATTTATGAATTTACTGCTCCACCAAATATTTTTAATAGAATTGTAAAAAACCTAACAATTAGGCTAAAACAAATTGTTATGATCTTTAAATTAGATTTTGACTTTACAATTTATTTCAAACGCCCTCTGCACATGGCACTGATAGAACTTTTTACTTTCCACCAATAATGTTATCAACTTGTGCCAACCTGTCTCATTCTATATTTTAGGTAGTAATGAAGTCATCAACTCTCCAAAATTCATGACGAGGCATTCGGCGAATGGTGTCTTTTGTCATGTAGACTCTCTCGTTGTTTCCTATTTGGGCTATCTACCTCAGGACATGATGAATCACTCAATTTTCAATTTCTACTGTTCAGAGGATCTACCCATGCTAAGAGATGTATACAAGGAAGGTAAAATAAAAAAATAAATAATCTAGAACTTCTGACGTTAATCTTTTTTGCCCATTTATTTTAAATACAAAGTTTCTTCTCTTTATGAGCATAGTGAAGAGGGCTTTTGTAGAGCTTTTAGCCGTAGAGCTTTTAGTCTCTTTGTGATTATGCATCTCATTGTTATTAAATCTCAAGTATGACAACGAACTGGTGCGTCTTGTCCACAATAGTTAACCCAGAAACAATAAGGTCATCCTTAAACAGAGAGCCACATATCATAAAGTTATTGTCATACCAAGTGAGAAATTATTGATCCGTAATCACCTATGCCTACCAGGCACTACTTTGCAAAATTTCACTGATGAAGTGTCATTAATTCATGCTATTACAAAATCGGCCGTATCATTTCACTCTGTCACCTTTAAAATCCGAAAAATTTCATCAATTTTTTTCTCATGCTCTTTTTGAAATTATGAAACTTCGCTGATGCAATTGTTTCAGGTTGTTAAAATTTGCTCTAAAATAACTGAATGACCTGTTGTGCACAATTTTCATTCGAACTAATACTCCTTTCCCAGGAGTGGATTGAATACAGGCCTCAAATGTACATTTTAGAATCTATTAGCATTGCAAATTTTCCTCCTCATATTTGTCCCATTACCACCAGATAGTAGGTATTTTTTGATGATAGAATTGAAACTCAGACTGTGGTCTATTTGGTCTATTCCATGATTATTTTTTTTTATTTCAGTGATGAGCGAACAGGGGCATCTTGTTGCAAGCAAACCTTACAAATTTAAATGCCAAAATGGGAGCTTTGCTGTCATTGAAACCGAGTGGTCAACATTCATCAATCCGTGGACTAAAAATTTAGAATTTGTCATTGGACAACACAAAGTGATCCAAGTAAGAACGTTTGTCTTTCTTATTGAATTAGCAACTTCCTACAAACATTTTTTCTGTTATAATATATCATTACCAAGACCTTGGCTTTTCAGTGGTTCAAAAGCGCGTTGTGTTCATAACAGTGAACCTCTGCATCGTGATTTTTTGTAGTATACGTACCATAAAGTCATGAAGTAAGTTTTCCGTAGCTCATATCCTAGAACTAAAAATGCATGAAATGATTCATTCTATCCAAAGCTCTCAGTAAAGCTCAAGTTTTATGCAATTTAGAAGAGCTGTTGTAAGAAAATTAATTTTTATGTGGAAAACTCTTGGTGAATTCCTTCCACTAAGTAAAGGGACCATCACACACACTCTTTCCTAAAATTGAGCTTTCCAATCAGCATTTTTGCAACAGTTCATTGTTAGATCTCAACATTGAGAGGCGGTTCATAAATTTTTCAAATTGTATTCTGCTGGTCTATTTAAACATTTTTGCAAACTACACTACTCGCAAAATCATCTCTGCCAACTGGGATGCCCAGGCCATTGTTTGTCCTCTCAGCATTCTGGCCTTTTCGTCAAAAGATCCACCATTTACAAACATTCGGAAAACTTGTCAATGTGTTAGTATACGCAACAAGTAAATCATCACATATACTTGTATTATTTCTGCTTTTTGTAGCAAAAAAAAGAAGAAGAAATAAAAATTGAATTGAATTGTGATGAAGGTTTTCAAAATTGGTGATGTTTTGCAATAGATACTCTTATATGGCAAAAGCAACCAACGACCAACAAATCATAAGGGAACCTTTTAAATTTTCCCTCCACTCCGTTTCTTTCGATAAAACTACAAAAGGGGGTGTTATTATCGCACGTCAATGTCAAAAATTCCTTACAAAAGACAGTATTTATGTGACCATGCAATGCACATCTTTTATGGGCATATTGCTGTTTGGCTGACGGAACTTGCGGGTGTAATTTTTTAGGTAAGATGAATTTTCTCCCAAAACGTTGGTCTAAATTTAAAAAAATTGGGCTGTTTGGAGAGCACTGGATGTGAAGAATCAGGAAAATTTTACAGTTTTGATTCATTATTTTCAGCTTTTGAGATCCGAGCTGCATTAAATTACTTTATGGATGACCCTTGGGATTACAATGATGCAACATTTTTTGGATAGTAGCAGTTTTTATACATTAGTGTGTGCCTTGGTTTTCTCAGCTCCTTGAGGTTATCGTATTGAGGCTATGGTTTTTGCTGCTTTGTAGTTTGATGGATAGTGATTGAGATTTACTCCTGCTAATTTTAGGTATTTTTATTACTTTCACCATTACTGATTCTGGTTCTCTCTCTCTCTCTCTTGTTGGTGAAATCTATTCAATATATTCACGTTATTTTTATCATTTTTAAGGGTCCTGCCGATGTTGATGTCACTGTACCTTCAAAAACTGAGGATTCTACCCCTGAAACTGATAGCCAAGCTGAACTCCTTAAGAAGGAAATTTTAGAGATCCTTCAAAAAGTAAGTAAATAATGAAAATGAAAAATTAGTAGTTTCCTTCCTTTTTAAAATGAACGATCCTTTGGTTTGAACTCAGTGCTGATATTTATCCATGTATGTCATACAAAAGAGTTATTGAACAACAATACAGTAAATAATATTATTCAATTGTTATCCGAAAAAATAATCAAAAGTTCAGTGAAGTAAAAATGCATGAATCCAAAATTAACTAAATGAAGTTTACATAAAACAGAGCATACTTAGATATGTGCAAGATTTGAAATTTAACAAAAGGGAAGAATTTTAATGAAAAAGAGAGAAAATTATTGATCAAATTATCGGTGCATCATCGATTTGAAGTGAAGCCAAGTGAAAATCTGTTCAAGAACTTCCTTCTTATCTGATTTTCAATTTATACTTTTTAAAATAGGATTATAAATATATTAGTTTGCTGATGCTGTTTCACATGTCAACTCACCTACTGTTTTTCTGTCTGCAGCCGGTCAATGCCTCAAATCGAGTCGTTAAAGTTCAAGTTTCAAAAAGATGCCGCGATCTAGCCTCCTTTATTGAAACTTTGGTTGAAGAAATCACAAAGCCTGAGACCAAAAATGACACTCAGAAAGATGCAAATGTTTCGGTGAGTCATAAAAGTTCTTTGTAATTCTTTTATCAACTCATGTAGAATATCTCACTCATCACACTGTTTGATGGTCAAACAATGAAAGCGTCTATCTCGCTCTATCTTTGGGGTGTAGAATGATTCTTGTCACCCCTTACTTTTCTGAAAGATGCCAAGTCGCAGAAATTATGTAAAATTTAGTGCTGTTTTTCTTTTTCCTTTAAAAAATGTGAAAACACCTTACCTGTACAGGGAGTCTTTCCCAAAAGCTGCCCTAGGGTGTGCGCCGTTCATCCCGTTCTTTTCCCTTTCTTCCCTTGCATGCTCCTCTTATTTGCCCCGAAACAGCAGGCATACAAGCTCCATCAGCAGTGAGGTAGGTGCTAGCTCTTCTTCCTCTAGAATTATAATCCTTTTCTCTTTCAAGGTTATAGGACCTCCGGTCCAATTTTTTTTGTTCATACGTTTTTTCGTCCAATTTTTTTTGTGCGCGGTTTTTTGCTCTCAAAATCTTGTCCAAGTGAAATTTGTCCTACCAAACAGTTAGTCTTACGCTATCGTTCGTCCAGCCTTTTTAGGTCACATTTTTGCTGTCCAGCAAGGTCAAAAACCTCGGTCCAAAATTTAGGTCCAAAACCCAGTCAAAAGAGAAAAACATGCCTTTATAAAATGTATAAGAACCTCTCAGCTCAACTCAGTCTTTGCCCTTATCCTCTTTGTCTGAGTGTGCTGGATCTGTGCGTGGTGCATACAACTTGTGGTGGTAAGCACAGGCTCGGAGGTACTTTTTAACTGAGTTTGTTTCCTTGTAATGATTGTAATTTCTGACAACGTTGCTTATCATCGCCTGATATCTACATAATGAACATAAATCAAGTGTCTCCATAATCACATGTCACTCACAATCTCCGTCTCTTGATGAATGGATTGTCGGTTGTATTTAAGTGGACTTATGACCTTGCTGGACAGCAAAAATGTGCCCTAAAAACGCTGGAAGACCATAGCGTTTGAATAATTATAAACTAGGACGAATTTTACTCGAACAAGATATTGAGGGCGAAAAACCGTGGACATAATACACCGGACAAAAAAATTGATGGACAAAAGAAATTGGACCAGAAGTCCTGAAATCCCTTTCAAAACCATTTGTTGATGCTATTTGTATAAGGCACACCCTACATCTGACCAAAAAAATGCAATAATTGAGAAGTCAGCGGTATTTCCCTTGCATCCCTTTAATATGGCCAAGTAATTTTTTTTCCACTTTTTTATCACTTGAGAAGCAGATTGGCAAACATACAAGGCTCATCAATGAAATTGACCCGCCGGACCAACAAGTAAAATTATGTGAGTCTCTGAACAAGAACTGACAAGTCTCATCTCTTACTAAAAATAGCCCATGGAAAACTAGAAATTGGTCTCATTCAGTTGAATTCCAATGCAAGTTTCAGGGAAGTCCCAAAGTATCCCGTAAGAATTTTTTTCTCTTATCTGGAATGAGACACTGTTCATTCCATCCATTTTTCACAGCTAAAATGTCCTTCATTTCTAGAGTTCATACTCTGCAAGTCCAAAAATGATGATAAGATGAGTCGGACGGTGAGAGACACAACTTGCAGTGTATGAAAGATCACTGCGTAACTGTTTTGGAACGTTTTCCTTTTTGTTTCTCTCTGCTTCAGGAAAGAGATTCTGTCATGCTTGGTGAGATTTCACCTCATCATGAGTATGGTAGCAAGGTATCTTCGGAGACGCCTCCCAGTTATACCCAGTTGAATTACAACGAAAATATTCAAAGGTTTGTTTCAAGTTTCGGATTAAGTAAACTCAATTTTATTTGCTCCCAGTACCCTAGAAACATTATTGAAAAAGACCAATCCATATAACAGCGAAGTCTTTTTGAATGCATGCCTTAAAGAATACTCAGGATTGATTCTCCATGGACCAGTGGGAATAAGACTCAAGAACCTTACAATTTGAAAAATAACTAAATCTACGCCATCTCTAGAAGCATCGTCAGCAAGTTTTTGAGTATGGCTGATGGTATATCGATGGCTAAAGAAATAAAAAGTGTGTCTGAGACTGCGACGTTGGAAGTCTGTTCATTTTTTATTTTTTAAAGGGAAACTAATCAACAGTTTCTATCAAAAATTGTCATGAATTTTCTTCTCTTGCTTAGAAAAAATCTCGCAAAATTTTAAGGATGTAAAATATTTTTATTAGTCTTTCTTGGAGAAAATAAAATGTAATCAGGGATCGTTAAACGTGGCAATCAAGATACACATTATTCAAAGACCATTGATATGATGTATTTTAAAACACCGAGGAAATGCATTGGCTGTCCATAAAGTAAAGCCTGTTCCCATTTTTTGAGCAAGGGATGATTCTTATCTCGCCGTGCAGATGTTTATGCAAGGCAGCGAAAATTCAACAGAAGGTGTCAGTTGTGTGTTATCAGAAATACTTTGATTTATGCTGGAGGAGAAGGCAGATAACACTTCCGCGGTGTTTAGAGAGTCATAGCTTTGATTAACCATGTGCTCTTGAGGATACTTACTATGGCAGTAAGATGTAAATATTTTTATTTGAAATTTCCATGTATCGTAGATTCAAGTGCACTCATTGAATTTTCTGAAAAATTTGCAGGAAATATTTGCCGGTCCCTCTGAAAATTTGTATTCTACCGGAGAAAATTTCCTAATGAGATTCTTCCTTAGCATGATAGAAAAGCTCTGTTAATGTTAGGTAAAGGACCAAGAGCTGTTGAGAGAATATTTGACACTATCAATGAAAACATGAATTAAGCCAGGAAAACAAAACCATTATTAATACTTATGAACAAATTAAATCCACCAAAGGTACTTAGTATAAGTAATGTAAAAGTACTCTAGATAATGGGTGTGGAGAATGACATTGTGCACGATATCAGGTCCAAGCAGTTGGTCTGGTATGGACATGTGCGAAGGATGGTAGACGATCGGTTGCCCAAGCAGGTTTTCGATTGGGTTCCTCCCGGAAGGCAACGGCGTCGACGTCCTGTGAAAGGTTGGCGACAAGGGGTGGAGGAGGAGATCAGAAGGTGCCAATTGCCTGATGATCTCTGGGAGGATAGGGGGCAATGGGGGTTGGGCGTCGCAGAGCGCAAGGCTGCGCTATAAAAGCGGCTTTATGTATGTATTTAGTATAAATTCACAATCCACAAGCATGCTATGGAAACCGTTAACCATAGAAGTCCTTTGCAAAGTTTCAGAAGTTCCTAGACTGAATTGGTGTAAAATCCGCTCTGCTCATTTGATTCTAGATTTTTCCAAAGTCAACCAAAGACTTCCTTCTCTGACAGAACGAGTGAGAATAAAATAATGAATTCTACTCCTGAGACAAGCGAAGGGAATGAAGAATCATCCTCTTCCAATCCATCAAATTCCAAAGACAGGTAAAAGCAAATTATGTTCATCTTCTAATAAAATGCGATTACGTTGTTCCGATGTATGAGGACCTTCCCGACCCAACAGCATATAGCAAAAAAAGCAGGTGTCAGGAAATCTTATTTAAAGTTTTCATCCATACTCAGGTTCTGGTATGTCGTCAGAACTAAACTAAAAATGGTTTATTTCTATCAATTATTTCCCTGTGGACCAAAATCCACCCAAAACAGAAGTATAAAATGTTATTTCTGGTTTGCAATCATTAATTTTTTAAATTACGTTATATGCTGTTTGCTCAGAAATAGGGTGTCTCTGAGAGGAAAGCTTAAACAAGTGCAATATGAGTTGATGCAAATATATGTTTTAATGATGACAAAGAAAGATAACTCACCTGGCTCCCAACTTTAACTCCCTTGGCTCCAAAGCTGTTAGATAAACGGATTAGAAACAACGCAGTTTAATGAGCATTTTCCCTTAGTGGTTCATTTATGGGTGTTTCACTCCCCTTTTCCCTAAAAAATAATTCCTGTGGGTTAGAAAGTACGGTAAAACGTAAACCGTAACGTGTTCATAGGTACCGTGGAATGATGCACTGAAAACAGAATTTTCGAGTAAAAGGCATTATATGCTTGTATGCTGTTTGCCCAGAAATTCTTTAATAGGTCAACCTTTTAGCATCAAAAAGATCATGTCTACCTATCTATTGCAGCTATTAACATAAGATTCAAGTGGTGCCTTATTCAGGGTATGAGTTATCGCAAATTTCCGAGCAAACAGCTCATATGTGTATACCCTGTTTGGTCGGAGAGGTCTTCACATGCTGTTTGAGTTTTAGTTATTCCTGCCTCTTTCAATGAAATATTCCTCAAATTTTTGAACCTATATCAACGTGCCTGTTGCTACTGCATCACTGTCAGAACATAGGGAGAAGGTATCTATAGGAATCCGAGGGAAAAACTGTAAAAAATTAAACATCTTGTCCTTTTATCAGCTCAAGATAATTCAAATCTCCTCACAAAAAATTGGAGAAGGAATGTTTGCCTATGCAAACACATTTTAGAAACCTGTCTCACATTTCTCAGTCTTGGTCATACTGTAGAAAACCCATGGTAATTTTTCCTAATTTTCTTGAAATTTGGTCTATTTTCCAGACCATGTGAAAATGTTCAAAGTGCAAGCAGCAGTTCCAGAAGCAGCAAAGGAAGCTCGCGGAACGCGAAAACTTATAAAAAGAGTAAAATTAATTATCAGCCACCGCCTCTGACCGAAGAAATGTTAAGCAGGTCAGAGATTTACCAAATAATTCAGTTTGATCTGTGTAATTATCGATTATCATTTACTCGAGTCATTGTTGTGAGCCAATATTTATAATGTTCAGTTTTTGAACTCTGAGACTAAAAGAATAATGAGAATATGGTAGGAATTTACCTCCAGCTCATGATGTTCTGTATAGATTCTGTATATATTCTATTCAGTCAGTTCTCTCCTCAGCTTGTATGTTGCAGCGCATAAGGGTTAAAGCTGCATGAATTTTTCAAAAGTTCAAACCAAAAGTCAGTTTTTTGTTAGACTGAATGTAAAAATTTTGCTTTTCAATGGTTTGGGTGGCCTGGAAAATGCTTAGAAATGCTTGATTTTTTGGGAAGTGCTGGAATTTTACTCTTTGCTAATTGTCGAGGATTAATACTTGTTGTGTGTATAGAGTTTATAATGACAAAAAAGAGCAGAAAGAAAACAAAACAAAAATAGACAAAATCCTAACTCAAAATTTTGATATGGAGAGAAAACCTTGCAGTGTAAATTACAAATAGGTCTTGAAAAGTGCTTTAAAATTCTTCAAACAGTACTTACTTTTTCATTCTCAAAGCTGCATAAACTATGTAAGACTCCTGAATTTTTTTTTGTGAGCATGTTAATTATTCATTGGACGTATCCACTTTGTTGTCATGGATTAAAAGGGGTTAAAAGGATGATGAAGTTATTTTTTTGTGGTTGAGGGTGGATACTTTTTAAAACATGTTGCAACAGCAAACTGCAATGATATTGATAGTAAGTAAAACAGTATGAACACGCAAAATTCTCTAAAGTCTCATGAGTTAAGCCCCAGGCAATGGCTTATCAGCATCAATTCTTCATTTTGCAAGAATGCAGATTTCCATGTGTGACATTTTGATGCACAATTTGTAGACCTTCCAAAAGAACATCAAACCTTGAGTAGTTCCAGTATTGAGGGAACCAGAGTTTCTGGCAGTCTGGAAAACTTGGCAAGATTGGGAACTTATGGGGCCTGGAAAAGTCTAAGAAATTAGCGAGTAGCACTTTGGTGGAGAAAAACTCTCATTAATAATGGAATTTAATTATTACATCTCTTGCTGGAGGAGATGCGAGGCACCTATAGCAAGAGAGAGAAGAAGAAGGAGACAGAATGGATGAGATGCGAAGAAAGATAGAGAGAAGTTCAAGGAAAGGAGGAGCACTATTGGTTATAAGAAATTATGTGGAGAAGAGGAGTCAGTTTGTCAGCAAGAGGAGAGAGGTGGTATAGTAAGAGGAAAAAGACGGAATAGATGAGGTGTAAAGAAAGACAGAGAGAAGTTCAAGGAAAGTAGTAGTACCATTTGTAGATAGAATAGGTAAATGTGGGGAAGAGTAGTCAGTTTGTCCATCTAAAACACATAAAATATCACGCTAGGAATGGTTAACATAGACTTGGACCAGTCACAAAGTTGCATTACTCTTCTGCAAGCGCTGAAAAATTTCCAAAGGTTGCAATCTAATAGCAAGGAAGCGTATATCCGTTTTAGTAGAGATATTGCAAAAAGGCGTTGCTAAAACTAGTGGAAAATTTTATTCCGTTTTCTAAGCTTTCTTTCTTTTTTTATGTATTAAAAAAAGATGACCCCCATGCATACTTTCTTTTCATGTTTAAGTACTACAATTTTGTGCTATTGGATGGCAAAATTCGAAAATCAAGGTGTTTTTACTCACCCTTGGAGGTAAGTAATTGAAATCTTAGTCGAGAGTCGAGAGAAGTTAAGCAGAAAGGACCCAAGCTAGATCTAGATCAAACCGAGAAAAAGAGGCTTGAGGTTCAATTCCTCTATGAGATTCAATGTCGGAGGTAAAGCTGAACACCTATTTTCAAATTAAAAATATTTTTTCTTATCTTTGAAGTTATTACAGGAAAAAGTGCACGGCTAGGTAAGCTGAGAACTTCTGCTTACTATTTTTTTGAGAAATATATCAAGGTTTTTTTCTGTTTCAATGACTTCTACCAAGAATTAGACTACGTTTAGTCCATTACCTGGTAAAAGTCATTTTGTTATAGTTCACTTATTTTCAGTTTAAAACTTGAGTTTTGTTCTTGTATATAGACACAATGAAGACATGGAGAAACAAATGGTAATCAATCATCGTGCGCAGCGCGGTAAAATGTTGAAAGTGAAGGCAAAACCACAAGACAGAGTGGTGAGTTTTTGGATCTATCACTTAATATTTATAAGGAAAGGATTCTCACAGGGTAGATATTTACCTATTGTGCTTTTTTCTACAGAGGACTTCAGAAATTTTGGGCTGACAACCGTAAAATTCGCGCTTTGAACCTTTTGAATATGTGTTAAATCACAAATTCAATGGCTAAACCAAGAAAGTAAGTGTCTAGGTGTACGATGTCGCAAACTGCCAATCATAGTTAATTTTTTGTTAAACAAATCAAATTTTTATTTAAACAAATCAAAATAGCTTCTTGAAAATATCGGAAATTTTCTGAGAAAATTTGTTTACAATTAAGTAGGCTTGTCTCCTGTCTAAAAGAGTAACTTTACTCTTTTAGTATAGCTGGAAAATTATAACACTACCATCAAGATGTATGGTTCCCAATTTTAAGAATCATATTCTTTTCAGCTGTGGACTTAATCAAAATTCTAGAAAATAATAAAAAATAATTTTATTACCTGAGTTTCTCGATAAGTTTCCTTTGTTTCTCATGTGGAAGTTTTATGCTTCCATAACTTCCTACAAATTCCTCAAACTTTCTTTTCTAAATCCAGCTAAGCAACTTCATTTTTATTGCAGGGCGATGCACATGGTGTAAAGCGAAGCGGCTCACATTCTTGGGACAACGGCCCGTACCGCAGATCAATGAAGCAAATACACGGAAATGATCAGCCTCATGATACAAACAGGCAGAGTAATCGGCGATCAGTTGTTACTGTGACGATGCAAAGCTCCATTGGAAACGCTTACAACCCTCCAGAGCCTTCCAGCATCTCTAATTTCACTTACTGGCCCATGTTCTCCTACAATGGACCAATGCTGCAACATATGGACCACAATGAATCGTAAATAGCACATTTTACTTCTTTATCCAAATCTAAATCAAGGGGACATTATTTTGATGTTCAGATGTTTAATGCATAAGTCATTGGTTAGGAGATCTACGATCACACATTACTAATCTAATTTGTGCTATTCACAATACCTATAGTCTCAGAAAATTATTAAATTTTTTGAAGTTTGTAAGCTTATACTATTAATTTGGAGTAAACAGTGAGTTAAAAGCTGACTTTAGTTATGAATATAGCTAAAGTCGTGGAATGTGAACCGCAGGTTGTAATGTTGAATTCTCTGCTCATGTTTTATTTCCTGAAAAGAAATCAAATCAACAGCTTCTATTTAAATTTTCTGTAAATTTTCTCTCCCTATTCTAAAAAATATCACCCAAAATTGCAAGGAAATATTTTGATTAATTTTATTTGAAGAGAATCATATACAATCGGTAAAAATAAACATTGCATTTGAGATGAGCATGTTTTGCATTTAGCCATTGATATTTTTTATTTTATGAGCACATGTATTGATAGGTGCTTATACCATAAATGGACATCATTCCATCTTAGATTCTGCTAATGAATTCTTTTTTTGTCCTTCCTCAGTGTGCCAACAAGTGTCCCAGCAGTAATGGGACCTGGTATGCACCCAGGATTAGCTCCAGGAATGCCAGCTGTCATGCCAGTATCAACACCCTCAAGTCTACCCCCTTACTACATCCCGAGGGAACAGCAAATTCGACCGGAACATGCTGGACCACCTTTCCCCCCGTTTACATATATCGCCACTAATCAAGGTTTGGATATGTTTACCTAGCAAAGTTTTAGCTCCTGCTATTCCCTCAGTTACGTCTATATGGACAAACTTCTCCAAAACTTTGGCGGAGTAGTTTACTCAATTTTAGTATGTATAGTTTTCCTCAACCAGACCCTATGTAGTCAAAACAAATTTGTTAAAATTCGTTTCACTAAGTTTGCCTAGTTGAGTGAGTCATAATTCAGTAGAATTTTTACTGTGCCATCGAAGTTCTTATTATTTCTGATATATGCTTAGTTCAGAATGAAAAATATACTGGAATGAACTTGTCTTATGAATGACATAAAAATAAAAAAAGTTGACAAGCTCATCTCAGAAGATACCGGGGAATGGGTTTGAAGAATTTTTGAAATATTTATGCCAGTGTGAGATAATATTATTTAAAGTTTTTTGTATCTTCTTCTGGTAGTCTTCTTTGATACCAGTCAGTTTTATGTGCTGTCTTCATTCGCTTGTTTCTCTAAAGGTAAGAAAGTCAACACTTTGACTGGTTCAACAAGGCGCATATTTTTTTCTCATATGTATTTTTTTTCAGCAAATTTTTATCGTCATTCTGAGCAAATCAAATTGCTAAATTCAAAGTTTTTATGTTTCAGCCCATGTCATGTCTCCTATGATCCATCCAAACTGGCCAGGCTACAGTCCTATGTTCTACGCACCTTGCCCTGTTATACCGCCCCTCTCTAACTTGGGGTCAAAATCGGTAAGACACATATATGTACGAAGAGTCTGTTTGGAAATTCCAACTCCATTTGCTCAGATTGCCTTGTTGTACTTACGTCTCCGTTTCATTTTCTCGTTGATTTTGACAAACAAACTGAGCGACCGTTTCTATTGAAATATTCTGTGAATTGTCCTTACTTACTCTACAATAATCACACACAATTTTAAGGAAACATTTTGATTACTTTTTCTTAAGAGGAAAATAAAATATAATCGGAAATTTTTTCATGTTGCAATTCAGATACACATTTTTCGCATTTAGCTGTCGACATTTCGATAATCGTTTAATAATTCCTGTAAAATTGGTATAGGATGAAAATACTTTTTGCAGTATGATATTTGTATAACCCTCTCTCTCATTTGTACAGGGAATGACTCCGAGCTCTGATTTCAATCGACCTGTCTCAAGAGCGACCTCTGTGAAAGCTGAGCCTGGATCTGCTAGATCATCTTTCATCTTAGTAAGTCATTTCATGGTTTTTTTCTTTCAGACTCAAACCATGACTCAGAATTTTTCTTTTATAGCACACATCTACATGTGACCATTGTCAGAAAAATAGACTCTAGCCTACAAAAACTAGGGTTTCTACAATTATACTGGGAAAACAGGGAAAACCCAGAGAGTTTGGCGTTAACTATGGAATTGAATAGAAAAGTAGTTTCCTTGAAAAGAATTCACTAATTCGGTGAAAAAAGTAACTGTGAAAATAAGTTTAAAATCGAAAGCTGGCTGTTTTCTTGTTTCAATTTTAAATTATTATCCACAGCTATTAGCACATGCTGACTTCTTAGGTAAATACCTTGATCAAAAATGTTTATGTCAGTTATTTTGATGTCAAAGAATTACCATTTATTTGATCATATGAAGCAGTCAAAAATGTTTATGGAGCGACTTTGAAACATGCTTTTGGAAAATGCATCTATTTTATCATCAGTAGGTAAACTCAACATTTTGTAGAATAGTATTGTAGGGGAGTACAGTCTGATAGGAGTTTTACAAGCCAAGGGTATTTTTTTAAGTTGTTAGTTGCCTGTCAGTTAACTGTTAAGTTTTTCACCTCTGTGATGAATGTTTTTTAATAGAGAGTTATTGTCTGCAAACTTAACAGAGAAAATACAAGGAAAACACAAGGAATTTGGAAATTGTAAAAAAGTAATAACCTTGCCCTAGCCTACAAAAGCTCAAAATTTAATTGGACTTAATTTTGTAGTACAGAACTACAAGTGGAACCGTAAGTTTATTGGCCCATTCGTCAAAGCTCTCATCTTAAAATTCATTTCATTTGTGAAAGCTGCAGAGACACGTATCTTGGATTGCATCATTGCAGACCTTTGATGCATTTTATTTTCTACACTGAAAACTACTCAATGTTATTTCTTGAAAACTGCTGTGCGAGGAAACAAATGGATTGCTAATTTAACAATTATATTGTTAAAAAATATGTGCAACATGTTTTAAATGTACATTTCACTATAGTGGAAAGCTAATTTGACCACAGGGTCGATTAAATTAGCATTTTTTATTGTTAAATCTACATTTAAACATGTTGGAAACATTTTTTAACAATTAAATCATTAAATCAGCAATATCATTTTTTCCGTGTGATTTATCTTCTCTATGTGAAAAATTTTCGGTGAGAATTTCATGTCACAGTGTTAGAAAACAGGCACATAGATTTTGAGTGTACAAATACCGCAACGGAAATTCGCATTTTTGCAGTTGGTGTGTAATGTATCCAAAGTTTAGTGTACTTATAGTGATACTATGAAAGATAATATTTTTTTTTTTTTGTAGATGCAGTCAGATGCATCAAAAAAAGGTGGACACCTATCAGTGTCTCCGAACAATTACAATTCCAATGTTTTCCCTGGGGGGAAAGACAATGCTCCAGGGGGTAAAGAGGAAAGTGGAGAGTTTAGGTGAGTATCAATTTTACGTTTTGTTTGTGTGTGTGTTTTATCACTAGTTTAAGTGTTTTTCTGAAATCATGAGAGACATTGATTTTGTAACGTCTCTCAAAAATCTCACAGATGCAAAGCCTTTTTTCCACTTTATAACATTCTCGAAGGTTTTTCAGTGATCACAAATCACTCTCTGTTAGATTGTGGTTTAGTTGAGACAAGTATCACAGCTGCTTTGAGAGAACTTATCACATCGACCCTCCTTTGAAATTTTTTGATTTCCTGTACTTTGTCAAACTTTGATACATTGAAAAATACGGAGGCACTCATGACATAAACGTAACAAAAAATTCTCATAATTATTAAGATCAATAACATAAAATAAACGCAGAATAGTGGAACCGGTTCTTTGAAAAAAGGCGTAACTGCCAAATTTTCAGAATCTATTATTAGCATTTGAATACCTATCTGCTTTGGTGGAATATTTCCGAGCCACCTGTTGCAGCGCAGAGTGCTTTCTCATGGTAAAAACAATGCGTCTTGACAATGAGTCTTGAGTGGTGGCAAAACTATCAATTTATCAATTCAAGATTTTCATCGAACATGCATGCCACTTGACTATCATAATACTGCTAAAAATGGCAATGCTGAGCGGTTTTGTGGAAGGAGGGCTTATCCACCAAAATATGAAAATGTTTGATCTCTTCCCTAATTTCTCCAACCCTCCTTTTATTACCACGGTCTTATTACAGATGATATGGGGAACATTGTTTGGTTCTTTTGAACAGAAATATGAAGAATTGTGGAAGAAATCAAGCCTTTTCATGTTTTCTCGAAATTTGACTTTTATGCTCATCTTAAAATAGGCGATTCACCTTTTAAAGATATTTTAGAACAATGTTCATTGATAACTCAAACAAAAATCATGGCCTCTGTTTTAATCGGTTTTTTCTATGCATATAAATCAGATGTATCCTAAAAAAATGAAATTCTTGTTTCTTAAAGTATATACTTCGACAGAACCCCTCCTAAAAATGCTCAATAGCATGTCCAATTATTTTGTTCATTATTTTTTCATTGTTTCTTTTCCAGTTTTAGTGAAACAGGTGATGAAAGCAGTTATTATTCTTCATTTTATTCATTCTTGAAAACAGAAGAAAAGATGGACGACAGTATGCGCAGTTCGTCTGGTGACGATGTGAAAAAATATGAGGTACTTTCTTCAAAACTCTTTTTATTGTCTAATATGAGTAAAACAAAATCGATAAAAGCCTACTTTACCAGGTCTGCAATTTTCTAGACTTTGCGGTTTACTAGATATTTTTCCTAGTCCCTATTAATTTCTTTTAAGGGCAGTGCCAAATCTCTGGATTCTTCCAACAAATTTTCAATCTGTGATTGCGCAACCTTTTGTTGTACCGTTATTGCGTGATTGCACCAAAACTGCAAGAAAGTAAATAACCACTTATTGACTCTTAGTTATTGAACTGACTTAACGCACTTTATCGTCCAGACTTAGTATATTATAGTTTTTAAATTTTCATTTTCCGGTATTTTGTTTCTTTGGTTAATGTTGCAAACTTCTGTTGTACAGGATGAATTGTGGGGTATTCTGAATGGCACCAATGATGATGAAGGAAAGAAATGCCTCAGAAGAGTATGCACTTCAAATTAACTTTTTTTGCTTCTTCATTTTTTTTCTGCTAGATAACTTTAAATTTTTAAAAGATTTAAACTAGTAGAAAAAGAGAAAACAGCTGAAAAAAAAATTCCAAATATACTTTTAAGAGAAAAAAGAACGAAAGGAGTATCATGCGTCTTCTTGTGTGAACCTCTTTTTTTCCATTTCCAGCACTTGGCTCAAAATTAGCTTGCTTCGATTGCAAAATATTAAAAATTCGACTTTGGAAGTAACTTGGAAAAGACGGGATTTCATGGGGATCATAGGGATCAATAGCTTAGGTATTATATTTTTGCAAATCTCTGCTCCCTTTTTTCGAATTTTTTAGTCTGGAACTTCCTGTATGAGATGATGGTAAAAATTGGAAAGTAACTGTAATGTAAATTGCAAAAATTGCTTTGAGTTCCTTTCTGCCATCAAGAACTTAAAAATTATTTTTATATGATCTGTAAATATTCTTCTTAGGCAAAATGATGGATCGTCACCTTCTAGCCAAAGTATTACAAGAGCCATTTGTGCTTAGACACTATGCTGCCAGACTCATCAAACTTGTCAAATATTTTTTAAAAAAACAAATGAGCAGAATCACTTCAAATTTACTTAATGTATCTTTCGTCATCAAGATTAATTTCTGAAATTTTCATGAAAGAATGTGCAAAAGTTTTAAGGAAAAAGTGTTAACAATTTTGAGATGTATGGCAACGTAGCGTCTGAGTGTAAATGGCGCTCGTGATGTTTTAGCTGGAGGGTGATGAGATGAGCATGTAATTTTTACTTTGTGCTAATTAGTCATTTTTTCTTTACTTACAGGGACCTACATGGCTAGAGGGTGTTGATATCACTCCTGAGTTACAGTTTCGCTATCAAATTAGTACCAAAGGGATATCTGATGTTCTACAAGCTGATATGAAAGCACTGGCCAAACTAAATCAGGTTTGTAAACATTGATAAATACTTAACAGTTCGAGGTTCGAGAAAAGCAAACAACATGCTTATCTAGGGACTTTTTCCCATCAACAATCGCAAAAATCATGAAAATCGGCTTGGCAGATCTTTCAAACGAATTTTAACAAAAAATAAACAGTTACATCGTTCAAATGTGAAAATTCACAACCTTATCACTTAATATTAAAAAAACCTGAGTTGTGTATCCAAAATCTGAAAATAGCGGGCTCATCTAGGGACTATCACCTGTTGATAGTTGCAAAAATCATGGAAATTAACCCAGTAGAACGCAAGAATAAATTGTGACAAAAAATGAAAATTTAGGGGCTCAGAGAGCTTGTAGAAATGATTTTTAAATTGAAATGTTTTAAAATTTCTCTATTGATAATGATTACATTTCAAAAATTGCTGAAATCAATTGTTTTGTATGAAGCATAAAACCAAAATGAAAGCTTCTTCTACTACTACATAGGCAGTTTTAAAAATCAAATTTGAGCTTGCAGGAAGTATTCTGAGTTACATTCTACCAGCTTTCATGAAGTTGTATATTTTTGTGAACAAGAGAAAAAGTAAAATGCACAGAATGAAGTTTATTTTGTTTTTTTCTTTAAGCCTGACATGGTGAATGAGCAGCTAAGTACTCTGTACTTGGAATTAGAAGGTATCTACAACTCTTTGAAATTGGAGGACTCTTCCAGCAGTGGCGAAGAAGGAACTTCCAATAAAGTAAGCTCTCATCCTCTTTTCATTCCTCAATCCACCTACACTCGCATGATGTGCTGCCAAGTGTGGGCCAAAAGTTGCAGGACATTCACCCAACTTATCAATGGGTGCACCTCAGAAGAAAATGAAATTTTGAGGTTGTTTTTAAGCTATCAGCACTTTTCCAAAATTTTTCCTTAAAATTACTGAGAGAGTATCCTGAATGACCTTGAAACAGCGTCAAAATTTCATCTTTCTATATGCACCCGTTTAAAAGTTAACCATTTGTCTTGGAACTTTTGGCCCATCCTGTAGGCATACATTTTTATCCCAGATTAACATAATTAATTTACCAGAGACTCACCAACTTTAATGTACGCTGGAAAGAGAGGATTAGATATACAAACCATACCATGTTTCTCCATAAAATGAAGAATGTAATATTTCTCTGGAAATAGTGGTAGCATAGAATAATAGCTATGGATGTTTTTTGGTACAATAGTTGGATAACTTTTAATGATTGACATACTTCTGAGTCAATATCTCTATTTCATAAGAGCTTGGCATTGGAAGAATATTAGGTATTATGTTTTCTCATATCTGTAAAATTCTACTGTCAATACTCAACTCAGCAGTGTGTACAATTGAACGGAGGTTCAACAAGGTTCAAATTTTGTTTTTCTTAAAAAAAAAATTGATGAAAAAATGAGAACAGTATTTTAGCCATCTTTCTAGCCTTAATCTAAGGTTTAAAGAATCAGTTTCTCAGGTCTTTTTTCTATCGCAATGTCTCTCTTTGTGCCCTCAGCCACGGAAACGCAAACCGTTCAACTATGACAAAATGGTAATGATTTTTGAAGAAGAAGCCCCTCTTCCTCCACCTGTTACAACTGCTATACCTGTGTCCGTAAGTTTCCTCAGAAAAATATTTTATGTTAGGTAGAAGGTTAAAAAATACCATCATCATGTCCTCTGAAAGAGGCTAGTTTGTCAGCTTCTCTCATCCGTATGGAGGGTGCTAGTGAACATACCATTCTAAAAACCCCGGCATTCTACGAATTCAGTAATAAGGCTATTGCCACAGATTTCATTTAAATTAGAGTGAATGAAAACACACCAACTCTGCATTATTATTCTAGAGATAAAAAAACGGTGCAGTAGGTGAAGAAAATGTTTGAGAAAAAGTTTTCTGGTGGCAAAGGTCAATTACTTTGGGACTTTTTAAACACCCAAGGTGACAGAGATACGCCATCGTCAATGGCTTTTATGAAAATTGGCATTTTTAAGTTTCCTAGTTGGTGTGTTTCCATTCTCACAGATTCGCCTAAGTTAAGTATTTTTTTCATCTTTTTATGGTAAACTTGGTTGTGAATGGCTTAAAAGAGACGGCTGATGTTGGAAATTTTAAGGTGTTTTATAAAGCTTACCGAGCATATTGAACTTTAAGGTGTGGATTTTAGACTTTTCCATTATTCTCAACCTGATTTTTGGGCGTTTGCAAAGTTACTAAATAGACCAAATCTCATGTCTGCAACGACTCATTATAATTTCACAAGAACTCAATATCATTTTGTAATGAATCAAAGTTATTCGAATCTTATAACCTTCTGTTAATTTTCTACTGTTTTCAATTTCTAGGTGACTGTCACTGCCAGTGGCAATTAAAGAAGATAAAAATATGTCTAAGATTCAAAATTTCGGAGGATTTGACCATCGCTAAAATGCACATTTATTAGTTGACAGTCAATTCTAACATTGCTCACCATGGTACTCTCCAAGGAAATGGCTTTCTGATGGTAATTTACCGATCAAAAGGAAGAAGAATCAGTGTCACGCTGATCATGCTCACGGCATCGAAGGAAAGCGATAAGGTCTAAAATGAAGTTTGAAAATTGTCCTAAATCAACAACTTAGGAGTATATCTTTGCGTATGATTCAAGATGCGGTGCAAAAAACTTCAAGACCTTGAAAAGGCTTGATTTGCGAATAGATGTTCAAATAGTTTTTAACTGAAAATCTTCAAGACTACTTAAATTGCATACTGAAATCATACTTAACATCCTTATTTGGATCGTTTTACCTGTTTACATGGGGCATGGAAAAAGAAAGCCTCTTGTTTTATCAGGTTTATGATAACTTTTTTGTCGCACCGATTTATTGGTCAGCGGGTGAAGATTATTATGTAATTAAATACCAGGTAAGTGCTTTCAAGTGTTGCCAAGATTGTGTAACTGTTGCTCCCATTTAATGGACATTTAGTAGCCCTAAAATGGATCAAGTCTTCGAAAAATTTCGATGACCAAAGTGCGAAACTAACTATCTCCGTTTGCAACCTCTCGTCATACTCCATTTTTTCTTCGGAAAGCTAGTGAACATAATTTCTTGATCAATTCCTTGATTTTTCTACCTTGTTCGTTAAATATTCTGTATAAATCTCAAGTTATGTAGTTTAACCATTTATCTTCAAAAAATAAAACAGCGGACATTTTGAAACAGATTCGAAGATGTGTGGTTTTGCACTTCGGCCATCGATTTGCTGTTAATTATTCCCAAAGCAAGAAAATTTAGGCTCATTTAAAGAGATATAAGTCTTGCGCAGTCTTAGCTAAATCTGACAGCTCTTACCAGGTTTTAAATTTCCTTACTTCTAATGACTATTGTACTTTCCAGATAAATGTTTTCCTTCACATCCCCCCCCCCTTTTCATAAGTAGGTAATCTGGGTAGTCTTTATCGTTTTTATTTGAAAAATTTTTTCGGGAGAGGAAACCAAAGAAAAATTCTATCCACCTGTAAATCAATTCTCTGATTTCAACAAGTTTTATCTTGTTTACATTAATTCTACAGCCTCTCTCTTCTGCCCAGGTACTTCAATCTTTGACGTATGGATTCCAAATTCCAATTCGCCAGTTTCCATTCTACTAGAGTATAGCTAATGAAAAGCGGTGTTGAAAGAACTCATCGGAAGTAAAATCTTTTTATTTTCGGGAGTCATTAGAGGAAATTTTTTTGCACAATTTGATAAATGAAGTAGGAAATATCGCCTACAATTTCATCTTAACTGTTAAAGTAGAAGTTTTATCTGTTTTGTTTCTTTTTTTTTTTTTATCTGTGTCAGGGCAAGGATCATGCTCATCACATTCATATTTTCCAGTTACCGTCGAGTTACCATAAACTAGTACAATCATCTTTTCTATAAAAAAAATTGAATGCTGATGAATGTAATGAAAGACTTTCCTCTCTCTGTTAATTTTTTTTATTCTTCTGTTTCTGAGGCTGGTAAAATAATGTCATAAGCAACAGTAGAATCTTGATGACTCTAAGCTAAGTTTATTAAATGACCAATTAGTAACGTATAAATTGGACTGATTCATTTTTTTTAAGCAAGGAGACTTTTTCAAAAGATAATCATGAACGTAAATGATCATCGTCAAAGATCAAATTTATAATTTAAGCAGATTTATTTTTAACTGCGTGTAAAAAATCGTGATTTAGGTATTAACTTATATTTTTAATTGAAATTAAATTATATTTATGAACCGATGTGCTTGCTTTTTTCGATCATTGCTTACTCAGCACATGATACCTTGCAAGAAGGCAACAAAAACCACTTTAAAGCTTAAGCCCACCTCCATTCTTGCACCAAGAGAATTTTGGAACCATTAGTGGTTCTAAAGAAAATTGATGCAGATTATACAACAATGTAGACAACTTTATCTGTTATTAGAGTGCTAGGTGCGAAAAGGGCACTTTGACGGAATAAGTCTGCAACCATGTATCTGGGTTTGCAACGTTGCAGGCTTCCTGCCATACTTTATTTATTAAATGGAAAACTACTAACCAGCAATTCTTGAAAAACGTGATATTTCTGCTCTGTGCAACAAAAATTCTGCGCAAACTTCAAGGAATGATGTCGATTTGTTCTCAACATAAAATAGAAGCGGAGATAACCAAACACCGCAAACAAAATATATGGTTGCAGACTTACACCTTCGACTTCTAGGTTGCCGCATTAGTGAATCTATGTTGCTAATTTATGTTTTTGAGAAGAATCTGATGAGTGATTTTCCCAGAAGTTTTTTTTACAGTTAAAAATTTTAATAAAATGCATGCATTCACTTTCCTTGTAATGAATGAAATATTAGCAAAGATTCTGAAACATAGCAACTGAAAAGTATCTTTCCTACATCTAGTGCCTCAATTATGAAGATTTTGGAAAACAATGAGAAGGACCTCTCTTGAAATTTTCCATTCAGGGACGTGATTTTTGTCACAGAAAAACGATATTTATATGATTCATTCACTTATTAATCATGTAATGTATTCCCTCTGAAGAATGAAAGTGGTAAATGAAGCTTGTGCTGAAGCGGAAAACCTGTTATGAAGTACCTCCCCTTCCTTTTTTTTATTATTCTAATTATTTTCATTTAATCACTATGTTGGTTTATGGTATTTCTTGGCGTTGAGCGTCTGATCACAGAAAGTTGTAAAAATAAAGAAAGTAAATTTTAAATAATAGCTATACATGATGAAACAAAAATATAACATTTATTTTCACAAAGAATAATAAAACTAACTCAGAATAAATGTATCATAAACATTTATGAATTAAAGAAAAAAAAACGGAGGATACTTGAGGAGGCTAATTAGATTTATCACTTTAATAGGTAATGTGAGGGGCGCCTGCCGGAATACTAATCATAATAGGTGATACAAAACAAGAGCTTAGATCTGAAATGTACATAAAATAAGTAAAAAATAACATTTCGAAAGGAAGAGGGATGGTCCCTTGATTCAGAGCAACCATGAATGTCATATCACTTTTCAAGAAATTTTTCTATTATCAAAACTTCCGAATTTGTGCCAATAGATTTCGCAAATGGACCCATATTCAACCAGAATCAGCCTAACAGCATTTCACTTTGCCTAATTTCTGCCATTTTTTTTTTTTTTTTTTTTTTTTTTTTTTGCTTTCTGTCTTCATTTTTTGACGGAGATCAAAAAAACATAACCCCTTGAAATGTTTGGTGAATATTTTCCATACATCATACATGAGAAAATACTCACAAAATTTCAAGTCAGAATATTGCTTAGTCTTCTTGTTAAAAACATACAGACCATGTGATACAATTAGACAACATCTGATGTAGTTAGACTGATTCCCGTTAAATCCATCCAATTTAAAAAAAAAAAAAAAAAGCAAAAAAAGTTAGTTTTGGTTAAGCTCATCTTTAACCCAACTTTTCTCTTAGCCCTGCAGACTGAAGCACTGCGTACTATGAAATCGGTGAGAGGTTTCAGGCAGAGGCAGTCTCTAACCCTAGGTACCTTCATTCCACCACCAAAAACAGAAAGTAACAGCACCATTTTTCAGAAAATTGATAGGGGGATTTAAGGTGATACTTGATCTTACTCAATAACCCTCCAAAGCACTATTGATGACAGGTTTGCCTACACTACAATTTTGAAAAACCATACAATAATACATGAGAATACAAATGAATTATTTTTACATTAATTTTTTGCCAAAAAAAAAGAGAAAACAAAAACTGCTCATCAGAAAAAAATCATTGAAATCATTCTTGAAATTTATTGGCCCCCTTCCCCCTCCAATATGAAAATGCCATGAATAGTAATAAAAAGCGTATTTGAACTCGCAAATAAGCGTTTTCTTATTTTAAAATCTTTTGCCAGTAAAAACTGGCAGAGTCATGGAAAACTAATTTTATCTCAAATACTATGCAATACAAGTTATCATCAAGTGTTTTCTTTATTTATTGCCAGAATTAGACCATTTCTAGCACTGAATGATGGCAGGTTTGAACAGATTTTTTTCTTTTCTTTTTGAATCATACAAAGAGAATCATGAAAAAAAAATTGTACTTTAAACCGTAACAATTCAATTTTAACAATCAACGAAACTGCACGAATCAAAAATTTAATGACGGATTCTTGAGAGGAAAATTCATTTATAAACAATGTGAACATTTAAAAGGCCTGTCGAATTACTTTTGGGTTTTATCATTTTTCAATCATTTTAAGTTCAACTGGTTGTTCTGTGTGGAAAAAAATCTTTTTAACTTAGAGATAAATGCCTGAAAGTGTGTCTCAGCATTTCAAAAAAAATGTATTGAAATCATTGGGATGGTCTTACCACATTCAACCATTCAATGCAATCTTGAGAACTTTTAAATGTTATGATCTACAAGAGACGCAAGTTGCAGTGTGGCAAAACTAAAAACCTATTTGGAAACTGCAGGGAGTTCTCATGAAGTTTGTAAGATGGAAGGAACGACAGAATTTGATAGAGCACAAATGCTGTTGTTATGATTTATCCAAAATCGAACTTTCCCATGGAAAAAAAACTTGTGCCTGGATATACTCACTGCTACAATATTGGTATGGTGCTGAATCAACTTTGAAATCATTATTGGAAGTTCTAGTGCCATTTCCTGAGACAAAGCAACGAACATATCAACCAAAGAATCACCAAAGTGAGGATCAAACCTTATCCTACGATACAAGATCACCTCAAAGCAGATGCATTGATTCCTAGAGCACTTGGAAGTTCCGTAATTGTATCGGTACTCCTTGGGAGATAGGGAGTCAGCTCTCCATCAAGGGACGCAATGGGAGGCATACTTACAGGAGAGAATTCAGTCTGTTGCTATGCTATGAAGTACATACTTGACAGTGTACGCAAAGGCAGCAAAGCCTATTATTACACAAATGTTGGTAATGGCGCTACTTAAGTGACCCTGATCGCCATTCAGCCCGCCCGAATCATCGTTTGGACCTAGCGAGCCGTTTGCCAATGAAGTGCCATTCATACCAGATGAGTTATTCAGGGATGTGTTGCTCTTCGCCACCAGCTCGGCCTCTGCTTTTTTTCTCAGGGCTTCTTTAATTTCCTGTAAAAATTACAAAATGGAATTAAAGGATACTCTGGAACAACTAATAAAGTGATCTGAAATCTTCTTACTCAAGGCGATTTTTTGATTCCTCAGCTCTCGGATGCGGATCCTTCTCCAGCTCACACGGCCTCCAAAAATCTGAGCTTAGGCCGACATAGATTGTCACAACTCCTTTAAAAAGAAATATGCTCCTCCTAAATAAGCACAATTGCACAAAATATTGTCCAGAAGACAATGTGCACTCAAATAATGTCACAGCAAAAAAAAAAGTGATGGCAGTTTCTGATTTGTTTGCATCATGAAATAGATGAGTGCAATACGGCATCAATATTGCTGGGCCATCCTATAAAATAGCATTATAAAAATTACCCATGAACTTGGCTCTTTTATAATGCTATTTCATAGGATGGCATGGCACATCACCATAAAATAGCATTATAAAAGAGCTAAGTTTGCGGGCAATTTTCATAGGATGGCACATTACTGCAAAATCAGATATTCAAAGTGAGGGAGACAAACTGTAACATCCGTTGTTTTGGTGTAATTTAACACAAAATGCAGTTTATAAAACTTCTTAAAGGTTAACTTTCTTCCATGAATCACACCATTATCAAGGGAATCAATGACAAATACGCTGTACCTAACTGTGTCATTGACATTTTTTGGAGATGCTTAAAGTGCAAAAATTTTTTTTCTTTTTTTAGGAAATGTAAATTATTAAAGCACAAGACAATTAAAATATGGTACGAGACAAAGAGAAGGATTAACTGATTGTTGACTTACTTCAGCTAAATCTGGAAAAAGGTCGCAGAAAAACCTGTCCTTTAAATTAAATTCTAAACTTTGAATTGCAAACTGCTTTCTGTCATACAAGGTTGTTTCTATACTTCCAAGGGTTGGGCTTTTCTCCAACTAGAAATAAAAACAAAAAAAAAAGTTGTTGTTAACTAATTACTAACACCAAAACTTAATAAGTTACAAGATAACATTTATTCATTAAAATACAATGCAATTTAATTCTGTAGATGAGAGAAAAGAAAATAATTTGTGGTGTCTCTACAAATTATTATAATAAGATAATTATGCTAAAAAATAGGTATGTATCAGTATTCGGTATTGCATTTCAGGTCATGTGTGTGTTCAGGTTGTGTGCCCAAGTCATAAGATTGCTCAGGAGACAAAGACCACTGACTTCATAAAAAAAACTTTCTCGGTCTCAACAATTTGGTCGCAAATGCATGGTTGAGAAGAATTTGCGCTGTTGCAATTAACTCAAGTTGTGCATTTGCTCAAGACATACTCCACCCACACCCTGCTTGGCTTGAACTACGGGTGAATTTTTGGGAACTAATTCATGATTAACCATGGCTATCAATTTATTTCTGATCAAAATCGATGAAAATAGTTATGAAAGAAAGGGAAACAAACCATGAAACTTAGAAGTCCTGTAAGAATTGTGCCAACACTCCAAGCAGGATTCCACATATCGGGGTGGAAATCACTTATCGAAAGACAGAGACGGGTGTTTGTTTTGAACCTGAAAACAGCAGAAATTACAGTTTTGGCCAAAAGATCATGCCTCAAGTTTAGGTTCCGTTCATTTATGTGAGAACAGAATGAGAAACGAGCACAACACACTTAGCTATTGAAATGCCATCAATAAAACAGTGATTTTTTTGAACATTTTGCTTGTAATATAACATTGAAGGCCATTGCTCAGCATTATTAGGTTACACACAGCAAACAGACATTAAATAGCTTAATAGTATTAATGGAGGCTTACTTAAAGGTATTTAAAGCACCAAGTGTTTCAATGGCCAAAGTACGAAACCATGTATCCCTGTTTGCGACTGTCATACTTTATTTTTTCTTTGGAAAGCTAGTGTACTTAATTGCTTGAAAACTTCCTTGATTTTCCCTTCCTGTAAGCAAAGTATGCTGTAAGGATTTCAAGCTATAAAGTTGGCCTGTTTCTCTTTGAAAAAATATACAGGAGCAGAAATTAAGAAACACCGCAATGGAGATATGTGGTTTTGCACTTTGGCCATAGCTTTGAGGCTTGTGGGATCAAAAATACATAACTTGATCGTAAGTTTCATGATTGTGCAACTTGATGTTCTTTTCACGAATGGCTATAAAAGTGCTCTTAAAATAAAAGTTTTTACAGAAAAGTTCATTCATCAAGTTTTTCCTTATTCCAGGTAAACCTTTGTAAGTTGGAATGCATCAGAATCAGGGGCTCATTCTGGCATAATATTCTAACTTCCCAGTATTCCAATTTGCAATTTTGAATATTACGCCCAGAATGTGTCAGAATTTTTTGACATTGTAACTGCCATGACTGCAGCCGGCACCCAGAAAAAGCAGCGCCACACATACAGAAATGAAAAATAGGCAGGCCTCCTCACACCATAAGATATGCATCAGTCAACACAAGCCTTTACTTTGTAAGACGGTTGTGGATTTTGAAGCACAATCTTCTCATAGAGTGGTGGCATAGAGTAACGTGAAGTGCATGCCCACATCCGATGCACATACATAGCTCCCTTATACACTGCCGTGCTAGGGAAGAACGTCATATAAACATTCAAGAGTTGCCAAATTTCTTTCGATGAAATGTTTATTTTTGAGGAGAATTATGAATATTTTTCCTTGCAATTTTCAGAAACTTTAGATCAAATTACAAACAAAATTATTTGAGAAATTGGTAGACAAACATTCAAAAATGTTCCTAAAAATTAGCAATTTGGAAGGAGAAATTTGAGATTGCCTGGAGGTTCATGCCGCGTTTTTCCTTAGCTTGGCAGTACAATCTGTCAGATGATACAGACTTAGTAAGGTTTGACTGTACGTTACAGTGAATATCGTCTCGGTGTAACTATGGAGCTTGAGAATGGAAAAGACATAAATGTTGATTACCTTCCATTTGGTGTGATCATGTAGATACTGGGTGGTTTAAAGGGGAATTCTTTCGGAAACACTAATCGGCCGAGGTACATTCCACCCTCATAAGGAGAGTTGTCCGGGCCTTTGACAACATAGTACCTACAAAAGCAAAAAAATAATTGATTTAAATATTCCCTTGGAAAATTGAGTCATAAGCAGTTTTCTACGTACACCCTAAACAAGAGCCACCTTGAATGGGAAGCCCAATTTTTAGGAGTCATCTACAATTTTTTAGGAGCCAAATTAACTCTTTGCATGCACTTTATTGACTGTCATTGCTTTGCAAGTTTAGAAAAAAACATGGGGATACATTAACTTGTTTAAGTCCCACGAGCCCCCTCCCCCATTTGAAAGTGCCAAAGCCCAAATTTTGGGCGCATTTGGCACATGGTTCCATGGAAAGACGGGACACTGGTGGTGAGGGATTTTCATTTTTACCTTCTTTCCCTCTTATTTTGTAAATAATAACTCAACTGCTACCTGCTCATACTTAATTGAGTAAGTCAATCACTTACCACTCGAGGATGTTGGATGGTAATGGTTCAGCAACAACATAAGGAACTGGATCTTTCTTCAGGCGAAAGTAATCCTGCTTCAGCCGAGCAGTGGCACTGCTTACAGTTCCGTTGCCTTTCGTCATTCCAAAATTTGTTTTCCGCGACATCTGTCCTGCCTCTGAAGACTGCTCTGGGAGAGAGTGATTTTCATTGATTTACGAACTGACTAGGAGCATATCAGCTAGAATGAAAAAATGATTCTTTTATATATATATAATCAGTTGATACATTAAAGTAACTGCAAATTTGCTCAGTATTTTATATTGATTAGGATACGTTTTCAAGCCTTCAAATAGAGTTATATGATAATCATTAAAGTTTCTCGATTCTGCACGAGAAGAACCATTCAACAATGGTTTTTCCTATGCCTCTTTAGTTTGATAACCAAGTATGTGCTTAGTGATCAGACTTTCTGAAGAAGTGAAAACTAGTTGCGAATCTATAATTAACCGAGTGAAACATTACTACCTAATTTAATGGAGGTTTACCAGTCATTCTGTTGAGACTTTAAGCTCGCACTAAAAGAAGCTACCACGAGTACTTAAATATACAGCAGGCGTAGTCTCCTTTCAGCAGATACATTGTCAGCTCTCTCTTCTCGGTTGTGATTCTTTCCTGGCTAAGATATATCGTGAGTTGGTCGAACTTCAACCTAAGTATTATTCATCTATCTTAGAGCAGATGACCAATGAATCCAAAAACGAAGATGGAATTTGAGAAAACGAGGAAGATTCCTAACAAGCAGTAGCTGATGATCAGAGGAAAATCTTACCTCCTGGAGTAAAGGATTTTCCTTGTCCTCAGGAAAACAGAGAGACAAGAAGGAACCACTTCACTGACAAGCGCAAAAAACAACGAAGTTCTTGGAACTAGATCGGTAGGAAAACAAAAATCCGGGCACCGAAATAGGAGAGAACTCAAATTGACGCAAGACAGATCCGTTTAGGTGTGGGAAAAGTCGAAAATGTGGGCGAAAATGAAGGAAATTGTAATTACTAATTATCCTAGCTCAGACGACGATTAAAAAATATCCAGAAAGATAACAATGATTCGATAACACTTTCGATATATTCAATTGAAACGTGAATCGATAGCTATTGATTTAAATTAACAATGAATACCGCCTGATTGATACGTATTATTAAAATTAGAATTTAAAATACTTGAAAATCTTGAATTTTTAGTGCAATAATTGCTCAAAATAATTTAATTATGTTAAAGATAACGGTGTTGAGTGATTACCCCTATCGATCAGTATAGCAATCTATCGAAATTCCTATTCGCGATTTCTGGTCATCGGTTTTGTATTTTAGGTTTTTGATGAATGTACGTATTTTTGAACTGAGGTTATGTCTTATTGTTTGTATTTGTATCCAACAATAATATAGAGAATATAAAGCTCGGTAATTACTAAAGTTAAAGTTAATCATATAAACTTTCAGTTGTTGAATTTGTATTTAATACTACTGCCATGTAGCCCTATGTCTATAACCGTCTCTTATATGTATTAAACACGGAGACAAATGCTGTTTTCAAAATTTTATAAAGCGTTTCCGGAGATGAAAAAACTAAGTGAAGTGACTTGAAATCTTAAATTTTGGTAATGTTTGTCAGGCAATGTTTTCGTTTAATCCCTATGTTTTCTTTAAAAGATCCAAGACATGCCTGTTTGGTTTCACTTTTGTGGTTGCTATGAGTACATTCCTTTTCATATTTGAAGATCAACGACCATCTATTCAAACACTTGTTTCAGAGACCCACAAACAGCTGAAAAGCTTTCAGGTTTGTTGTTTTAATTTCAAATTCATGAGTTATCCTACTGTAAATCTTGTCATGGTAAAAAGCTGAGGTTCCAGAGAGCTAGCTTTGATATTCTGAATGCAGAAAATTTGAAGGACATCAATTCATTCTAGTGTAGAGGCTGTTGATATCAAAATACAGATACCCTTCATCTCATATTGCAATGGTTTTTTTTAGAGAAATCTAATGCAATGGACTCAATTGATAATGTCATCAAAGCATTAGCGATAGATGTTGTCGAGTCTTAAAGCCTACTGAAGATTATGTGAGAAATATGGTACTTACAGTGTTCATCGGGCAAGTAGTACTATTTGTGCTCTAAATTCATGCCTTACTTAAGCCTGAGCGGCAACATTCTGAGAAATACCACAATAATGGTTGAAGGTACTGCAGGCTACTGAGCTTTGATTATTGTTTGTGCCTTACAGAAGCATCTCCCCTTTAGTTTTCCTCTGTGCTCGGTCTCTAACGCAGGTATCATACAATTCATGTTAGAGAGATTCCCTCTGTTATACGCAAGAGTTTTCACGGAGTACTAGTTTGCAGGCTTTTTGCACAGGTGCCATTTTTAAGAAACTATTTATTCAATGTTATAGGACAACCTGAAAGTTGCTGAGGAGAAGCTCCTGAAAGTGGACGAACAATACTTAGACCTTCTGGGTTTCAGTAGCTCTCCGAGATTGTATCCTGTCGCAACATGGCAGAATTCCAGCTTACCTGTAATTGTAACCTACATGTTCAGTGGACAGAGCATGCGAGTCATTGGATTTATAAGGAATATCGAACGCCATTTTCCTGACCATACCATTATAATATACAATTTAAGTTTCCAGTCATACTACTTAAATACTGTAAGTAATAATAATTTATTTCTTTTGGAAAATACACTATTATGTTATCTATAACTAGCTAGTCATCTTCAGTTGGACTGCAATAAACTAAAAGAAATCAACATTTCAAGAAGTGTTCAAATACGCATCTGTAGGAAACACCAGCGGATAGTCAAAACATAGCGTCAATATTCGGAAGACTACATTAGGATCTCTTTTGGTCTGGAACACTGGGATTTGTCAGGAAATTTAACGAAAAAGACTAGAATTTTGGAAAGTCTTGTAACCTGAGATCTGAAAATAATATCAACCTTGTGCACACAACCAAACTGAGCTTCAGTCTGGTTCAAGGCTCAATGATCTGAGTCCCAGGTGTATTTAATAGTGAACAGTATATAGAGGAGGAACACATTTCATTGAGGAATTTTAATTTTTCTTGATGTTCTGACTATTACCTGAAAAAAAGGTTCTCTTGTTTCTGTCATTTACAGCGAAATTAAACCCAAATATTAATCATTTGCAATTCTATGCAGGCAAATTGTCCCTGTAAAAAGTCAGGGGAAACTTTTGAAAGTTAGAATTTTTCCCAGCCAAATCTGTAGACACCCCACGTAGAACATTTCCTTTCCTTTTTCTTGTTTAGGTGTCTCTTTTGCGTGTCTACAACCTAAATTCTAATTGCCTTGTTTTCTCCCTTTCTCTCTCCTCTTTCAGATTTACAACATTTGTAATAGCAGTTCGTGCACCGTTATCGACTACAATTTAAGTGTTTTTCCAAATCATGTGTCAATAGAAAGTTTTCATGCATATCGTCCTCTAATAATACAGGTAAATTCCTCTTTTTGCGTCAAACTTCTTACTCAAGCTGTCAGAATCTGGTGCAAATACTCATCTATAATTGGACAGATTTAAATAAAATCAGCCTGACTGCATTCTTCACTGCCTAATTTTCTCTCATGTTTTGCTTTTATGACCGAGAACTAAAATACTAAATGCGTTTTCAGCGTCTTAAATTTCCCTGATTTACAAAATTTCAAGTTACAGTAATGCTCAGTTTTCTGTTTAAAGGATGAAATATCAGAAAAAATCAGGCATTGCTAGGTGTCGCTAGCTGATTCCAATTAAATGTGTCCATCTGGTCCATTTGATATCTTCTTGCATCTATTAAAAAAAAATTTCCAGAAGGAATCTTGGCTAAATAGATAAAGAACACCAAGAATGAGTCAATGCCATCTTTTTGTAATAAAAAAAAACCCACATTACTAGAGACAATTCTTCTTCTCTCATAGTTAGATATCCGAACATCAGCCTTTCAGATGACCTACCCTCAATATATTCATTTTTTATTTCTTTGTCTTTTGTAATTTAAAATAGTACAAACTCAGCACCTTACAGCGGCCAGTAAGTCATCTTATTAACTTGAGAGAATTCTTAGCTGTTCTACTGCAGAGCATGTAGTGCTGCTGCACAGTATTACAATATGAGGCATTCAATTTAAGCACTGAATCAACTGCAATAATTACTGTAAAACCAAGATCAAAAAGATCAGAAATGAAGACCAAATTATTCAAGTATTTGTATCACCATCTACTACATTCTCTTTAGTCTTCAACGGTGAATTTTCTTTTAACCAACTTCAAGTTTTATACAATTGACTGTTTGACTTTATAACCTCACTTCATTTTTTTGTTATTTTTTCAGGATGCCTTGAATCGAGCAGGGGCAGTGCTGTTTTTGGAAAATAATCTCAGACTAAAGAGTAATTATATCCATCGATTGGTTAGCTTTGCCTTGCGACCAAAACTTAAGAACAATTCCAGTAGAGCAGGTGTTTTAAGCTGGTCAACTAGCCGTGCAGTCTCCTCTGTGACACATTTGAAAATGTTTGAGTACTTTCGAATGCCTGTTGACAATTTCTTTTTCCTACGCATGGTTGATGTTACTAGCATTTTGCTATTTAATACTAAGTTTGTACATGAAAATATAATGTTACCATGGGTCCAATGTTCATTACTTCAAGACTGTATTGCACCTGTAGGTGAGTTGTTCACTTTGATTTATTCCAACTTTGCCAGATAGAGATGGTGAAATAGTTATAACCCTTTTTTCAAAGTATATTACTATTTTCGTACGATTGTGGAATTTTCTTTCAAATTTGATTAATGAAGGACACCATACTAGTCAAGTAGAGATGTTCAAGTGAATCCTTGTCCATAAAGCCTTCAGTATAGCTTGTTTCAAAGTAACCTATACACTCTGTTAAGGCAGCTCTTGTTGAAAACAGGCGGATTCATCAGAACTGTACAAGCTCAAGTCAAAGGATTGTTGTCTAGTATGTGCATCAAAAAACTGTTCATTTTTACCAGCTCCAAAAACTCCAGTAGCTGTCGGTTAGGGTTTTACCTCTTTCTTCTTTCTCCTTTTACTAGGATATAAGCCTGTTTGTCCAGCCATTACACACTAGGCACGTACAAAAAGAATGAACATGTGCAATAAGGAATCATCATGTCTTATTATCGTCACTCTACTTTTTAATAGAGCTGTTTCAATAGCGTACCAAAAACCAATAGGTTACCCCTACCAGTAAAGTTCAAGTAACTTTTCCACCTCAACAGATGTATCCATAGCGGAGTTCTAGAACAAAAAATGTGCTCCCAAAATTTGAATGTAAAGCAGCCATCTCAAGTTTCAAAATGTGATCCTCTCCCCTCAATTCTTTAGCTATGACTATAATTTTTTTTCTCTTGATAAAATGCATGAATCAAGGTTTCAAAAATCACTTATTTAATACCGAAAATCAAACATTCCCATTGTGAGAAAGAAGAAAAATATCCCTGCCCCCCCCCCCCAAAAAAAAAAAAATAACTGAATGTATCCAGTTATTCATATTTACCTTGATGGCGTATCTCCAAAATTTGCTAAGCAGCTTACTAACTGTCCATGTTTTTTTGTTTGTTTTCAGGGTCTCAGCCAAATGGGTGTCATTTTGACAAGAAGCCTCTGTACAGATATGCAGGTTGTCATGCATATGATGCGTCTGCAATCAGTATTATTTTAGGCATCAATTATGGTTACAATGAATCACTCTACTCTTATTCTAGTCAAAATCCATACTTCTACAACGTAACGGAAACCGCAGCGTTGCTTGAGTACAAACGCCTGAAAGAAAACGCTACAGAGGTGTCAATTATTTGAAACTGTTGTATCTGTGAATTATAAAAAGTCAAAGTTGTTTCCTCAGGAATCTTGAGCTTTAAAAAAAGTGCAACCCCTCTCTTGCCTTTTTTTTAAAAAAATTTTTTTACAATTAATCGAACACAATGGGCCATAATGTTTGTTTACAAAGACTTTTGCCTTGCAAAAGACTTCTTTTATGCAGGCATGGATTGTAAATAAAATTAACATACTGCCTGAATCCTTTTTTTTTTTTTTTTTTTTTTTTAAGTTTTCTGTCAACTTTTTGCTAGTGATCAAAACTTATGCAGCAGTAACATTGATGTGTTTGAACATATTAAAATTACTGCATTTGATTTGAGTGAGATTTAACATAAAAATTATGTTACAATGAAGTCATCATTTTTAATGACATCAATATCATAAGGAGGTTGGGTATGGATAAGAGACGTTTTCGGGCCCACCCTGAATTTCCTCAACTCTACGATTTGTTCAATTCTTAAGGTTCTATATTTTATGGAATGCATCATGATTTGGTCAATTTTGGTCTCTTTTCAAGTCCCTTGCTGGCCTAATTATGGGCCTGTAGGCTGATTTTGACTAAATATGCGGATTTTTTGTATTCAACCGCAAACCCGCATTTTTCACCAAAGTCAGCCCTCAGTCCCAAGTTTAAGCCAGCAGTAAAACCGCAGAGACAGGAAATGACCAATTCAATACGCATCCCATAAAATACAGATCTTCGATGAGCAATAAATCGTAAAGTTGAAGAAATTCAGCTTGCAGTAGCCCTAATAAAACCCTTATTGGTAGTCCTCCTTTTAAAAAAAATAGAGGTGATGATTCTAATGGAGAGGGTCATTGTATTCAGTTTGACTATTAATATGTGTATTAAATGCAGAAATTTTTCTCTTTAGAGATGCCAGACTTGTTTCTTTTTTGGCTTCTTACATTATTCCTTAAATAATGAAAATGTTCATGAAACAAGAAGGCAAAGCGGATGAATCAGCAATAAAGTAACCAAAATTGCAAAACATAGTATGCATCTTAAACATTTTTGTGTTGGAACAATAATTTTTCATGAGCGAGTCATAATTGAGGCTAATTTAATGATTTTTTTGAGTGAAATTTTCAATCAAGATTTTTAATTATACCAAGCTTTGATTTTGCAAATAAATAGTATCCCAGTAAAAATTTCGTCATGAGAGTGATTCTATTACATTTCAGCTAAGAATGAATCTAACTGAGGGTCTTTCAGATACAATAATTACAACCCTATCTCTTGTCTCTATGAAACCATCTATTCATTAGCTCGTATTGGCCAAATCACCATGACATTTATCAGGGATTTTTGTCGTACTTAAAAGTAATTTTGAAATCTACAAGAGGCAATCAATTTTTTTTCTGACATCATTTCCCTTAACTCCTTGTAAACATTCTTATTTTTAATCAATTTTTTATGGACAGCCATAGTCAAAAAACATAACAAATGTTCAGGCTCATTTCAGAACAGCATTTCTGCAATTGATCTCTGTATGCAGATATGTGCTTTTTGTAAGGATGATGTTGCTCTTATGTAATTTCTTTTTGGCAAACGCTGTCTACATCTTCTGGACTGTTAAATCAGCTTTGCTTGCCAAGTATTTTCAATTTAGTTGGTACCCAAGCTTTATAATTGATTATTTATTACTTTCCTATTGGCACACGCACATTGAATGTAGTGTGCATGGGAGTAAGTATCACTTACTTGTCAAGCAATGTATAATTTTCTCCTTTGTAACCACGCAATTTCAAACTTACCTACTTTCGAGTTTTGTGTTTCCTTTTTTCCCCCTTATACTCAGAACTACAAGACTTCTTTATTTTCGTTGATTCACAAGTTATAGTGTAATACTAATTAATAGTCTTTGATTTTTGCAAATTTTTTCTGGAATTAATGCTTACCTACTTATCCTCAAAATACAAAAAAAACATTGGGCGTATTTATACCTTGCTGCAAAATTATTCATTAAACTTTTAAGCTTCTCAATGGAAGGATGTACTTATTTACATCAAAAATTGTTGGCTTTGTTCAGAAAATATTATATATTGACGGCGTAAGACCGCAATCACATATCTCGTTTGCGGTGTCTGAAAAACTCTGCCTCTATGTTATTTTTTTAAAGGAGAACAAATTGCCATCATTCCTTGAAGTTTATGCAGAATTTCCTTCGCACAGAGAACAAAAATCATGGCAGTTTTAAAGAATTGCCGTTGAGTAGTTTTCTGTTTAAAAAATGAAGTAAGACAAGAAGTCTGCGCTGTCGCAAACCGAGTTATGTGATTGCCCACTCACACCAACGATACGCACTCCTGCAAGTGCCAGTGCTTATATTTTTCATGAGCTCTGTTGGAAAGAGAGACAAATATTTTAACAAAAAAAATAATAATGTCAATGAATTATTTTAAACCCAACAGTTTTTTTCTCTTTTTTTTCTTTTTTTTTCTTGGAGAATCAACCTGAGTGTCCTGGAAACAATCTCCAAATTTCATAAGAAAAATAAGGAGCAAAATAAAGGGGGAAAGGAGGGAAACAATTCAAACGAAGCACTTCCAGGGAAAATTTTCGTTTTGCACTTAAATGTATATAGGTATAAATATATGTCTGGCTTTAAAGCATAATTTTCCTGATGATTCCATGTTATTTGACTGCTTGTATTTACTTTGGTAAAGTAAAAAAGTAATTTAAAAATGTAATAAAATAAATTGTTAAATTTACTTTTTATATTTTTTAGCTCATACTGTTGAAATAAAAAAAAATTGAAGAATTCTAATTGAATTGAGTGTTTCTTACTCTTTTTTCTAAACCTGAAAATTTTAAGTTGTACCTACTAAGTCTTTGAGGAAAAGAAATCACAATAAAAGAGGTGAACAAGGCTTAAAAAAAAAGAAAAGAAAAAAAAAAGACTTCCAAGGACTGTAACGTTTCAGCATGATAACAACACCTACATCAATCAGGAATAACTAAAAATTAGACAGTATAGAAACAAGCATGAAAGTAGAGACTGAGACTGGTCGATTTTGCTGATGACAGTTATCCACGAGAATCTTTCAGGGGAGCTTTCTTGTTCACTTTCTATCAGAATTACTCATCTGAGACAACCGTATCGCTCACGAAACTACGCTGGAAGAACGCTTATTCATGGGTCAGTAAGTGATGCAATTATTCAGCCATCGAGGCCACGCTAGGAAGTATCTTTTCAAAATGAAGGCGTTTTCTATGATGCGCCGCCCTTTTTCGAAGAGATGGACACAATGAACCCCGCCATCGAAAGACGCCTTTTTGTTTAAAAAGTAAATCTCTAAAGAGTATAATCGTCTCCCAAAAGGCGTCTGTTGCCCCCTGTATCATTATTTTCGTCCCAATATTTCCTGCCCCTCTTTCTTCTCTTTTCCTCCTCGTTTTCTGTCTATTCCCACTTGGCAAGATCGAGCTCCATCACTGACGAAAGCGGTCTACGTGCGGAGTCATGCGGCGCTTTCCTAGCGGCAGTCTGACTACTAATGAAATTTATTCGTTTAAAAAAAAAAAAAAAAAAAAAAAAAAAAAAAACGGATTATTTCCTTCTCCTTATTTTTTCTTTCTTTTTCTCCAATTTCCTTTTCTCTTTCCTTCTTCCTCGCCCCTACCTCACCCAATTCTTTTATTCAGCACCCCAGGGCCGGATCTACGTACTTGCCGCCCCCTTCTCTTCGTTTTGAAACATCAATAAAAACCATAAATTGAACGTGCCGGAGGCGGAGGGGTGCATTATAAGACGCGTTTACTCGTGTTGGACACATTTTTTGCGAAAGCCCTGTCAACACTACTAGCAAAAGTTCACGGAACTTGGCGCGAAAGTTAAGTATTCCGTAAACCTATCTCTGTGTAGACACGGCCTTCCATTCATACCTACGAAATGAACGAAAATATTATGAAAGAAGAAACATAAATGTGGTTTAATAATTTTAACTTCCTCCGCCGCGCCGCGCCGCGCCTCGCTGACCGCACTGTGTTTGGCGCAATGCGTGTATTCCTACAGTCTTGTATGCGCTATGCGTTTCACACCGACCGCTGCTGCAGTAGGTACTGCACGCACTGTGTTTGACGTAATGCGTGAAGCATTCATGCAGTCTTGTAGGCGCTATGCGTTTCACGCCACCCGCTGCGGACCGCATGTCTTTGACGCAATGCGTGAAGCATTCATGCAGTCTTGTAGGCGCTAATATGTGTTACATACCGACCGCCGCGCCGAGGGTTTCTCCTTTTTATCTCAAGTTCTCGTCATCATTGCTCTCTGCGCCGCGCCTTTCAAGACGAAATTCCGTGTTCGGTTTCTCTCTTATTCTTAACTCGACTAATTAAAGGTGCTGTCCATTGTATCACATAAAAACGACAAAATTGGAGGTATACTCTCGGGAAATGAGAGATTTTGTCACCTTTTCTCGTTTGTAATTTTTTTTCTGAATCCGATTTGTCTTTATATCTACGTTCAAAAAAATTGCAAAATTTGACCCCACCTAAATTTGCCACCTTGGGCCGCGGCCCATGTCCGCTAAAATCCGGCCCTGCAGCACTCTCGGCAATATGGCGCTGCGCCTAGTTCCGTCTGGATGCTTTTATCAGTGTTCTAGTTCTACGAGTTTGACTCCTGGCTTGCTGACTAAAGTGCACCAATGTCTTTGTAGTGCACCCTCATTAGCAACGCTCACAAGACCCAAGAGGCCAGAGATAATTTTGAAATTTCCGCCACGTAATATGCGAAGTCTTTTCCGGTCCAAGCTCTCCGTTTCCGGTTCGCAACACAAAGATGGAACGAGTTGAAACAAAGCATCCCATTGGTTGGCGAGCAGAGGTGGCAGGCTCTTTTGTTTTTTGGTTATTACGCTATGTTTTGATTGATAAAGTATCAGACTGCGAGTACTTTTATGAGCTTCTTACCTTTTACAGACGGATTATTTTAATTTTACACGATCCCCAGCTACAAACCGCGATGCATCTCATCTGATGTTGCATGGAGAGTGCTTTCAAGTCGCCTAGCTCGCGTATAGTTTTCTCGTGCGAAGTGTGAAAAAAAATCTTCAAAATTTCCGCGGAGGCTGCTATGACATCTTTGCCACGACCAAGCGAGGTAAATAGCATCTTCTTGCACGCATTGCTTGTGTAATTCCTTCCACTTCTCCATGTTTTAACACTTACGTTCGGTCTAAAGTTTTCGTTAAATGAAAAGCAATTAAAATAGAACAGTTATCACCATTTCTGTCCCAGAGTACTTCAGTGATTGACATTGCAAGTTTCTTTCTCAACCTTTGAACTAGTCGAAGAAATTAAGAAGTTTATCATACGTAAGACAGAAAAATTTCCGTTATTCCGTTCATCTTCCCCTAATAAATTCATTAGTATACCCAAATTTAGCCAAACAGCATAATAGGTTTGCACGTCCAAGCGTACGTAGCCTGTCACCTATCACATGATCACTTTTCACCTGATGACATTATCACCTATCTTGATCACATCATGATCAACAACTGCTGATTGCTATTAGCTTATTTACATAGTGTGATTCCATAATTCTAGTTGGAAGTGTTTTCCATTTGCCTTTATTAAATTCTAACAGATTGTACATGCCCACCTACCTGACTATTTACCTACTTCCTACATTGGCAGAGCCATTGTTCCATTGTTTAACAAAACTTTCTGTCAACGAACTAAGAGTATTGCTTACAGTAGTTATCTAAATTTTACAAATCTCACTATGAATTCATGGCACAGTGACTAGTACAGGGAGATGATAAACTTGAAGGAAGCAATCGGAACCAATGAGTACAAGGTTTTATTGTTGCAAGTTCGCAGGAGCAATCATAGATGAAAATTAGCTTCCCTAAGAAAGTCAGCTACAGATGCTTGGAAAGGAAAATTAAGAGGTTTCTGGAGTGTTCCATTGGAATGCACGAGTGAATGACAGCAAATTTTAAGACCGCTCTATTTGTCCTATTTTCCCAGCCATGAATACACTCTTAGTTTCTCTCTTTAAGTTCTGTCACCATCTATGGACAATACATTTTCACATAAGGAGTAGTTCTGAGACTAGGGATTTCTGAAGGGTCAGTTGTGAGACCATTTTGAAAGATACAAAACAGATTATAACCATATACGCAGTCTGTAAAATCGAAGTCAGAAATCCCTTTCCGTATGCTTAGCTGAAGCAACTTTCTGAGGGTGACCTGCCCCCCTTTGTTCAGGCAAGGTCAAATTAGAGTAAAGAAGAAGGGAGAGGTCATAACTTTGAAAATTGGAGAAAAATTTCATGGAAAGCTGACAAGAAAAATGTCGAAATTCGGCAGGCGGGCGCGTGAAAATTAGGGAGCTTGGAAGATTCTGCATCCATGCTTGGATTCATTTCAGTGAAAATATTTCTTCATCTGATTTTGTGTATCACTTCTGAAAAAAGAAAACTTGAACACTTCTTCCCAATGAGTAATATCAGTGCGTATTTTGGGATGATAGTCAACTTTTGTCCTTATTAACACTCATTGATAGCACCACTTGAATGCTTTAATCACCCTGTTGACTGGTACCATTTCAGGTTTAATCAAAGAATCCAGAATGTCTTGCCTTAGGATAAGTGAGCTCGAGTTGTAATCGACTTAAATATTTGACCTGACCTTCCCTGTACTTACAATGAGCCCATGTAAGTACTGGCCAAAAAATATATACAAATTTCACAGCGTATGAGATGCGTCCATACTGGGTGTCAAATAGATCTGTTTTCTACTACCATCAAGATTAAAAGCACTGAAGTCTTATAAATGACAATAGCTGTACTGAGATTACAGTTAATCGCTGAGTCCATCGTATATTATTTCAGAATAGGTTCAAAATCTCATTGCATTGATCTTTTTTTTTTTTTATTTTGCAGAAACGCTTGCAAAAGGAACTATTGTCATTAATTAAGGATCCACCACCAGGTGTACTAGTCGATAGTGAGAAGGCATCACAGAATTTGAGCATGTAAGTAACTTCAATGAAGTTCCTATTTGTTGCCTGGTGCATATTTGCTAACTTACAGCAAGTTGTCTAAACCTCTGTTACTGAATACTTAGACAAGAAGAATCAATTTTGTCAAGTGGGTGCTTCATATCAATGGCCCAAGTGCAAAATCATGTATCTCTATCCTTGTGCTTCAAAGTTTCCGTGCCAATTTTATTTTTATGTATAGAAGCAAGGCAACTTCATAGTTTGAATTTTACACAAAATATTCTGCTAACAGAGGAAGACTTCGAGGAATTACATTGATAGCTTTTTATGTAGCTATTGAGTAGGTTGCTCATTCCAAGTATGAACTTAATTCTATCATTTTGATTTATTCCTCATCTTTGGATTGCAAGTAACTTGTTTAACTTAAAATACCTAGCAATGAGCATTTGATATTCTTCCGATTCTATCATTTTTTCTTTCTGTTCCACAGATGGACAATTTATATGAAAGGGGCTGATGAAACTCTGTTTGCCGGAGAAGAATTTCAGCTTCAATTTAAATTTAGCCCTAAATACCCCTTCGATTCTCCAGAGGTATGAGAATTGTTTTTTAGTATATCTATTCAGTCAATTTTTTTTTTCATTGCGTTTTTTTAAACTATTATGTGCTGAGCTTACATTTATTCTCCCCATTCTTTTTTTATGATGGCAAATAGGAGAAAAATTAATCTTAAAGTGAAGAAATCAGCGTAGCTGTAATAGGGATCTCAGTTAAATTCTCCATCGTTTCTTGGGCAAAGGGACAAATCTTGTATGTGCTGTTTCAGTATGTCTGAAAATTTTATATGCTGAACTTTGGGAAAACTCTTTTTTATTCTGGGAGAACTTTCACCAAAATTACTCTAAAAGCATCGTTTTTCCATACAAGAGTAAACAAAATTACCGTTCATGCAAAGATTTGCATCTGACAGTTCTCATATGAACAAATAAACGTTGGCCTCCTGTGGTGTAGTGGTTGTAGCACTGGCTCTACAATCAGGAGGTCCCGGGTTCGATTCCCGGCTAGGCGACCCAAGTTTGATGGTCTCAAACAACGGTTGCCTTGGGCTGGTACATGGTAGGGACGGTGGGTGGAGGGGCTGTTACTGGAAGCGCAAGGATTACCACTTGTGTGGTATTTGAAGTGGTAAGAGAAAAAAAAAAAAAAAAATTCTTAGTGAGAAATTTTAAAGTATTGCGTTTGAGATGCACTCCTTTGTATGGGAGACTCATCATTTTCCTCATGGCAATAGGTGGACAAAATTATTGCTTAGAGGCCTGTCTTTCCCAACCTTAACTGATTCTTTGTCTCTCCTAAATTATGTAAGTGCTCAGACTTTACTTGAATTTGCACAGCATAACCTGTGCATGCAGTGCAGCAATTAAAACACTACAGAAGAAAATATATTGGACAATTCTATGTAATTATTAATTTTCGATGACTTGAATGGTGGACAAAGGAAAAGAGACTGTCAGCTGTGAGAGATCATTTACCTGCCGAGTGTATAACTATGAAAAAGTTTCCACTTTCTTTAATTACTACTGCTACACATGCTGAAGTTATCAAATTATCTTAAATTATATTTTTGAAGTTGTCAAGTTTTTTTAACTCTATGAATTACCTTGTATGTCCTTGAATGTTTGAAGAAAAGCATTTTCTGTACATATTATTTAAGGAACATTACTGAAAATTACTTTTGAAATGAACTGCCAAAACTAAGTCTATGAAGCTGGAAAAGTCAGGTAAAGCAGGTAGCACCTATCCCTGAAAAGATCAGAATGTTAACTTTGGTCCAATTTTTTTGATCTTACAAGCTCCAGCGGTTGTGAAAAGTATGTTTAGATCAGTGGACCATTAGACAAAGTGCAAACTAACGATTATGATTAGTTTTTTTATCAAAATTTCACATACCTTGAATATGATTTTTCAACAAAAATTATTGGAAGTGACTTTTAAGCAAGATATTAACGATTTTCATTGCATAAATTCAAATTTTCCGCTCATAAAAATCTATGATCTTCTTGAGTTAAATCGCACACCAAACGTTGATGTAACAGTGGTTGTGGTGTGAAAATATGGCAACCTCAATCTCACGGCCTCGGCTGAGCAGTTGTTATCACCTTAAAGATCACAGTGTGGCAAAGAAACTGTGCTGGGTCAAGAAGCCCAAGGCCGTTATAAAGGGTAATTTGATCAACATAGACTCAGGTTTTTCTTGTGAACAGGAAATTCAAATTTTTTGTAACCAGTGCTAAATAAAAACAATATCTTGGTTATGAGGTAATTTTCGTGATGGAAAATCGTGTTTCACATAAAATTATGAAGAACAACCATTTATCAGAATGTTTAAATTTGTACTATGACTAGTAGTCAGCCTAGTCAGTAGTATCTAGTAGTTTGGTAGTCATTGAATTTATTTTGAACATCAATTTAGAACTTGGACAACAGTCATTAGATTAATAGTGGAGCTATTTCTTTTTTTAGTGCATTTCAGCAGATAATGGAGCAAAAATTAGAAAACCTCTATCACATTGGTCAAAAGGAATGTAGGAAAGTCAGAGAATCTTTTCTTCCTTAAGTCTCTACATGTTCTGAAATCGCAAAATATCTGATAGCCTTCCTTACTTTTCCTTAGATCGTTTTATTTTATGATGTGACCAATTTAGATTCACAAAACATACACCTTGGTATTGACAAGTTTATTTATGGGTAGAAGAAGTGTATATTTTTGATGATTCTTTACCACGGAGTAATAATTGAAAACTAATCAGCAGAATTTTCTCAGGTCACTTTTATAGGGCCGAACATTCCAGTGCATCCACATGTCTACAGCAATGGGCATATTTGCTTATCAATACTCACAGAGGACTGGTCACCAGCGCTGTCGGTGCAGTCCGTCTGCCTGTCCATCATCTCAATGCTCAGCAGTTGCAAGGAGAAGGTATGGTTTTCTTTAAAATATTTACGAATACGTTCGTTTGCACCAATGAGATACTGTCAACCGAGCCAAGGTTGCCAAAATGGGAAGGCCCTGCGAAAGGATTTTAAAAGTAAGCAGGCCCCAAAAACGGATTCAAAAATGAGGAGGATCCTTACATGGGTTTTACAAGTGGAAAGGATTTGGTGCGTTATCGTCAAGATCACATGTTTTCTGCCAAATCAAGGTGAAAATCGCTAGCTTTGCTAAATCACTTTCCCTGACAATCTTCATTTATCAATGTGGGGAAGTCAGCCTCAGTGGTGTAGTGGTCAAGGCAGTTCGCTGCCAACACTGAGGTCCCGGGTTCAATCCCCGGAGGTGACTGATATTTGAGGACACTCAAATATCAGTCATTGTGACTGTGGATGACTATGCCACTCCAATATCCTGACCCTTCGAGGTTACAGGGTGCGGGAGGGACATAGTCACCCAGTAAGTAATCCGTCTGCACTGTTCGACTGGGTTGTGAAAAATCGGTAATCACTCGTAGTGTGCGCGACTGCCAGCGCTACCTATCAGTGTAGATTGCAACAACACAGTCCAACTCGGTGGAGGCATGGCCGTGCTCCGAAAGTCCGTGCTCTGCAGCGTCTGCCACAGTCTTTGATAAGACCTTCTGTTGGCTATCAGACGGCCGCTGAGCCTTGCGGGAATATAATTGATACTCAATGTGTCAATAGTACGAAGATAAGTTAAGGAGCACGGTCCAACTTCGGGGTGCACGACGGCAGTTGCCAGTTGCCTTGGCCCCTTGAGGGCGCCTCGCCGGCCAGCCCGGCCTTACTTACTTACTTACTTACTTACTTACTTACTTATCAATGTGGGGACTAAAACTTAGAACTAACATTTAGTCGAAGCAGATTAGATCGCAGCTGGTACTGCAAATACTCAGAAGTCACCTGATGAAACGTTTTTGGAGAAATCTCACCTAAAACATTTGAGACTGCCCAAATAATGACAACTTTTAAACGTGGCTGATGTAGAATTTGATATAAAGCTAGGTTCTCATTGCATGATCAAAATGGCTAAATAATGTTAAGTCGCACAATGTTCATTGCCATCATAATTTCTCTTGCTGATATATACTAACCAAACTGGTGGTATGAAAAAGGTGGTTCTGTGACAAATGAATTCCTATCAAATTGGTAACTGACGATCAATATCCATCTTTATACATTTCTGGCCTGTTGATACTTGATTTGATTTAATTTGACTATGCAATGAGAAGGTTAGAAAGGGTAAGTTGGTATGAACAGATTGATTATCACAGAAAAAAAAATAAAAATAAATCTCAGAAAAAAAATAAAAACTAAATTTAAAAATGAAAAAAAAAAAAATTAAATTTAAATTCTGAGTTACTAAGCAAATTTTTATTGCTTTTCTTTCTAGAAAAGGCCATCAGACAATGCATTCTATGTGAAAACTTGCAGCAAAAATCCTAAGAAGACAAAATGGTGGTATCATGGTATGTTTCATTTTTTTTCTTACTGATTATGTCCATTTTTAGTATTTTTTCCTTAAGCCATGGAAGCCTCTAGTCGTGAATTTTAATGGAACCTAAACTGAACCTTTGACACTGGCTGAGAAACGTTCAATAAACATCAGGAGGTATGTTGCAATTGTTTCCCAGAGCAAAAAAGAGAGATGCTTCCTTTAGAAAATGACTTAAAATTCAGGATAAGTGCCGATGGAAAGACTAAAATTCACTCTAAATTCACAATCTGAAGAGGGTATTTTTAAGATTCTTGTTCTTCAAAGAAGACTATGGCGAGGATTCCATATCATACAAATGAATCTTTTCAACTTGAAAACTTTGCGCAGTATCTAAAATGGCCGCCACATCCAAGGATAATTGATCTAAATTCACCTTAAGAACCCATACACTACCTAATTTTTATTGTACTTTCTAAAGGAACAATCGAGGATTATTTGAATCCATGCTGTTAGCAACAGAATCCTTGCAGATTCAAGCATATGATGTCGCACATGTTTTTTGTGTCTGTGAATTTAATGACCAAAAACCAAGAACCTCAGGATCAATTTAAAGATTGAAAGAAATTTCTTTCCCGCAAGAAAAATGTAGAATTTTTGTGAAGTTTCCTCTGGTAGCCCTAAGACATTTGACCCGATGCTTCCTCTGTATCTATGGTCAAACTATGAATACACACACACGACTTGATCTGAGAAAAAGGACCCCTATCCTCTGGGGAAAAAATTTTCTCTTAACTTTTTTCAAAAACTTAGACTAAGTTTACTACAACCTAAGAATCTTTGCCTTGAAACTTCAGTTCTCATGTCCTCTTCAGTTTTCGAACTTCCCTCACGTATTTTCATAATGTTAAGGGCAATTTTCTCCCAAAGATGAGGTTTCTTTTCACAGATACGGTCACATATCTTGATTAGGGTGTTTCAAAATATTCCCTCATTTTCCCCATAGAATATTATGTATTGAACTTTTTAGTTGGAAATTTTTGAGAAAGTATGTGTGAAATAAAAAAAAATCTTAAATTTTTTTTGAGTAGCTATGATTAGTCACCCTTTCAAAAAGTTACATATGATAGGAAAGCTGCCTCTTATAAATGATCTTCATCATTTTTTAGTTTGTACTATAAGACAAATGGAAATATGACTTTTCTAATTTTACTTCACAATTCAGTGTGCTTTGATGAGTCAACACCAATGTTTAATTTACAGAATACTTTTGTAGCTCATTCAGTAGTTTTCAGTCATAATTTATGCCAGTATCATCATTGTCATTTTGGAGTGAAATGTTTTTCTTTGGTCAAATTTTAATATGCTTTCCTTTTCTTTTTCTTTGTTGTAGACGACACTGTGTGAAACTGGAAGAAACGATGCAAATTCTAGTGGTCTGTGATTGTATTCTAGTACGTTAAGGATAATGAGTGAATTTTACTGACTTATTACGATGTGTACATACCTGCATGCTTGTAAATATTATTAATTTTCGTATAATTTTATGTGAAATTGTTATCTTGTTCCAAATTTTTTATTTTCCCTGTAATCATCGATCAAAACCATATCCTTCCCTTCATAATGTTCTTCACAATGACTTTTGAAGATACTGGATCGGTTTTCTTTTGCCCCTCCCCCTATCCCTAAGTTTGTCCCCATCATGATTTCTATATTCCCCATTTTGACTTTTCCGAGCCTCTAAAATTGACTGGGTCTAAGTTCCCTCGGAAGAACCGCTTTTGCTTCTCACTCGTTTTAATTTTCGTCCATCACAGCTGTTAAGCGATTGGAACAGTTTATTAATTACGTCCTATGTTATTTTCCCCTCAAAAATATGTTTCCAGCTGATTTTGTACTTGTAATTTGACGTTAATTGCCATTGTGTTTTATTGTTATTGTGTAATATAGTGTTGAGTGAAATTAACGTTAGTCAAATTAACGTTTCGATTTTGCGACTCTGATGACTTTTGTATCCCCTCTGTGTGCCCATGGTTCTTTAAAAATGTCAATCCCAAGGTGAAGCTTTTTCGTTCCCATTTATCCTGCCTCAGTTTTTCCCCTCTAATTTTATCTCTATTACATGTTTACTAATTTTTCCCTATTGTTCATGTCTCGCATGAAGGGAGTAAAATTTTATTAAAACTACGCCTTACCAATTTTTTTATTGCTGTTGACTTTTTTCCCCGAAATGGGACTCCCAATTTTGATTTTGTTTCCCCAAAATCGACCAGTTAGCTTGCTTCTCCACCCAACTTTTTGTTGGCATACATTCTCCTCTTATAAAATCTTTTTTATTTTGGAGCTACCTCCTTTTCTGTTTTATTGTCCACTTGTCTAAGGGAATAAAATTACCAACAATAATAAAAGTTCTATTATTCACTGTAAACTCCAAAGGCATCAAAACCCTCCATCTGCGTAAGCGATCCAATAAATATTGACAAAATTTTGAATTCTGCCTTCTTTTTTTCCCTCTTCATTTCCGTTTCAATCAACTCGCATCATTAAATATGGCAAAATTTAAGATAGATTTACAATGAAATATATGGAAACAAAAGCAAAACTGAAACTAATAAAGAAAAATGAGGCAACAAACTGTGCACTGGATGAATAAGAAAGGAAAAAGAATTGGAAAATTCAAATCAATCCGCGGAATTTCAGTCTTGAAGAAGGGACCACGCAAGGTTCTAAAACGAGTCAGCATTTTCTTTGATTTTTTTCTCTCAAATTTGAGCTTTTTAATATTCTGATTTTCTTTCTTATAGATTTACAAACTGAAGAATATAATCAAATGATCAAATTTTGATCAAGAGGTGGATTTCGTTTTTTTTTTCTTTTTCATAAAATATATTCTTAAAAATGTATCAGGACAGGAGGTGAATAGTCTTGCATCTGTAAAAAAATTTATTTACATCAAGTAAAGAAGGGAGGTCTGCAGTTGTAATGGCGTCACAGTCTCATAGAGTCTGAAACTAAGAGAAACCGTATGTTTCCTTGAAGTTGAATGCTTTAAAGTTGACTTCATGTGACTATTACAACAATATAAAATAACCATTTTTTATTATTACACCCCTAGTTGAGACTGCATATACCCATATGTTAAAGGCTACATTACTTTTACTGGTAAAGCACAATTAATTTCCCATGCTTCAAGGGATGGTACTTAATTGGTTAAAATTCGTGCACCCTTTTTTTTCAAAGTGTCATACATATCTATCAATTTTTCCTGTCATTACTAAATCACCCTTGTAAAATCTCAGCAAATATTTTATACACCAAAAGGCGTAACAAATATAACTGGTATCTCTAGGTTATGGCAAGGGAGTAAACATAAGTCATTGAATGATCGTGAAACTATTTAATTCTCTCGCTTTTGAAATCTTAGGAAGACGCCGCCTTCTGGATGTGCAAGTAACAATGGCTTCTTATCAAAAGTTAAAGGGATCTGTGTTCTTGGAGTTGCATGTACTGTGTAGTTCCTCATGATCAAAGTCAAAGCAGCTCTCGCCTCCATTAGTGCAAATCTCATTCCTGAAATAATAGAGAGCAGAGCATAAAGAAAAAACAAGTTTATTGTATTATACTACTAAAACGCGTATGTATTAGGTGGAAATGTTGATTTAAAATTGATTAACAGGCGCTTTTTATACTTGGATGACGTCATTGAGGCCCGCCCGGCAAGTGGTTGCCTGAAGTAGATGCGGAAATGTTGTCACAATGTAACTGCCAAAAATAATGTTGCGGCAACGTTGCAGCAACGTTGTGGCAATGTTATTTTTGGCCGTTGCCAGACGGGGGGGCTGAGCCCTGCAGCCTAAATGAGGATCCCCTTAGGGAAATACCACACTTCACTTGATTTTCTCCAAAAAATGCTTGCCGAAAATTTATGGGAAAAAAAATCCTGATGGAAAGAATAAATAGGTGTCATAGAATTTCGACAGTTGTTTATAACTTCGATTATAAATATATATTTAAAAAAATATTCAGCACAGTTTATCAAGCCATTTTCTCTGACAAGAAAAAAATGAAATTCATACAACAAATGACGTATGTCAGTAAGTGGCATCGGCTTTTCATGATGAACTTAATGCATATTTTTTTGAAGACAATTCTGTTACAAAAAACCTCTTCCAGATCCGCTTTACATGGCGTTGAAACATCTCAAGAAAGGTTTATCCACAAAAAAAGGACCATACATAGTGAATCAGAATTAGTTTTCACTCAGCATTGACAGATCGTCAAGAAGAAATTTGCGATCATTATAGGGGANGGGGGGGGGGGGGGGGGGGGGGGGGGGGGGGGGGGATGAAATTTTAGACCAAACCGGAATTGTGACGGTTTGAAGCCAGTCGTTCCAGAAACGTGCGTTGAGAAACAACTATTCAGAAGCCTAAATCCATCATGTTGAGGACATGAAATTATGGCTGTGAACTTCAAGCTTCTTTTCAGCCCAAGGACTAAGACCGCTCACAACTTATTCCTCAGTACACAGATAGCATTAGGTATATTACCATATATTATATTACCCACTCACCATGTCCCTGGTAAAAATTGGCAGTGGAATGTGTGTTCCAAAATACTATAGACCTAAAGCCGGCTGTAAGATTTCCAATAGCCTTTGTAGCCGGCTATACAATTTCTTATAGCCTTTCATAGCCGATGGCGATTCAGGGCAGAGAGCGCGGAACGCGCATTGGCGCCTACATAAACCTAACAGGGATACTTCACGCATTGCGCAATGAGTGAAGTATCCCTGTTAGGTTTGTAGGCGTCAATGCGCGTTTGCGCAATGCGTGAAGTATCCCTGTTAGGTTTGTAGGCGTCAATGCGCGTTTGCGCAATGCGTGAAGTATCCCTGTTAGGTTTGCAGGCGCCAAGGCGTCGCCGCTCCGTTTGTGTTAGGCTCTAATATTTAATCTCGCGGAGTCAGCGGTTTTCAACTCATGATTTTGAAATGTTTGCACACTCTGTATGGATTATTCTCATTAATTGATGAAAAAAAATATGTTTTAAAGGAAAATATAATGTGTGTTTTGTAAATATTAAGGTAGTTCGTATCAAACTTAATGATTTCCAAAGCACACGAATTTCTACACGATTTCCTATAGCCTTTTATAGCCAACGGCGATAAAGTGTAAAGCCCGGCGATAGGAACTACAGCCCGACTGTATACTATTTTATAGCTTCGTATAGCCCGGCTAGGTATATGATTTGCTCCGCTTTCTACAGTCAGCTATATGATTTTCAATAGCCTTCTTTAGTCGGCTATAAGAAATCCTATGGTACTTTGAAACGCAGCTCCTATCGCCAATTTTTACCAGGGATGGATTTTAAAATTAGATTTTACGACCTGACTCAACTATATAGCTCCACTGAAATGCTTCTGCGGTCCCTTTTACCACTTACGATCATATCTTACCTACTTTTTGTTCATCACATGGCAAAGAAATATAAATTCATTTAACTTACCAATACAAATCCTTGGACCATCACCAAACGGTAGATACGTTCCAGGGACAATTCTCGACCTATTTTCATCATTGAATCGATCGGGGTCGAACTTCTCAGGCTCTGGAAAATACTGAGGATCGTGGTGCAATGCGTACACCGGAATCGCCACTCTCGTGCCTTCTTTGATTAGCACATGTGAGTTGGGTAATTCGTAAGCTTTTGTGCATGTTCTCTCTAGAAAACCAAGAGGTGGGTATTTTCTCAAAGTTTCTGGAAAGAGCAAATAAAACATAGACTCAAGTTAATTTATTATCAATCATGGCTATCAACAGTGTAGATTTGAAGAGAGTCGACGAGTACGAAGCGCCTTCAATATGAAAAGATACTTCCTAGCGTTGCCTAGGAGGTCGAATAGTTGCGTCATTTAATGATCAGTGTTGCAGCGTGAGTAAGAGGGTAAAAGCGATTGCTTTGGATGATTCTTACTGACTAAAATTTCGATTGCTTTTTAAGAAAAGACTCAACTCTTTATTTTTAAGTACTGTATCTTGGACATCATCATCACTCGGAAAATAATTAAGTTTATATTATAACTGAAAAAATAGGGGAAGCAGTGTGCTTCTCTTTCCTTACATGGGCGCCACGCCGCGCCGCTAATGCAACATTTTAGGATCTCATTAGGTTTTGGAGAGAAAATTATGAGAAAATAATAATCGCCCCGCCAAGTTGTGAAATGCTCCCGCCAGCTAAATCATGATTTTTACCGAGCCTTCGAATATTTAAACCAGAGCAAAGATGCTCGGTGCATTCTGTGATCAGTCCTTTATGGTTTTTATCAGAGAAATGGAGCCCATCCAGATAGATACCTACAAAGAAAGTGCTTTACCTATTTCAGTCGCGAATTTATGATTTCCTGATTTTATTACGCACCTTCGATGACGCACTCCATGTAACGCATCTGCTTCAGAGCGTCGTAGTCCAATTTTCCACCTCGCGCTTCCAAGACCCGTTCGATTTCATCGTGAATTTTCTTCGCCACCTCCGGGTTCAGCGCCAACTCATACAAGCAAGTAGCAAGCGTCGTGGATATCGTTTCAAAGCCCGCCACGAAAAAGACAAAAACTTGCGCTGCGATGATGTAGTCAGAGAAAACCAGTTCTGAAACGGTAAATCGACGGTGAAACTACCAAACCACGTATCTCGTTTGCGGTGTTTAAAAATCTACGCTCGCATTTTATTTTTTGGAAGTAGACCAAATCAATATCATTCCTTAAAATTTTCACAGAATTTTCTCCGCACGAAGAGGAAAAATCATAGAAATTTTCAAGACTGGACGTTAAGTAGTTTTTCATTTAAAAAATAAATTATGACAGGAAGTCTGCGACGTCGCAAACCGAGATACGTGGTTTGGTAGTTTCACCGTCGATATCGGATTGCTCGCAATTAGCATAATTTATCTCGAGTAACAAAACTGCAATTTTATTTGTGTTACGGAAATTGAATTTAAATGGACCTAGTTCGACATAAACGTACCAAAATCACATTTGGAGAGGGAGCGTGTCGGGTAAATTCAACAAGTCGTGATTTTGTAAATTTTCTTCGTCAAAATTCTATATGAGAGAAAAAATATTTTAAACTTTAAATTAATCGTACAATTTTGTTTATAATGTACAATGAGTTGGAGCACCTTCAATTTCATGTGACATTGTAAAAAACCCTGTGTTGTGAATAGTTGCTTGAGGCGCGTCCGCCGCCGCCGCGCACTGGCGCCTACAAACCTAAGGGGATACTTCAAGCATTGCGCAATGCGTGAAGTCTCCATTTAGGTTTGTAGGCGCCAGTGCGGAGTGCGCGTTTTTCGCGTGTAGCACACCGCTCCGCTCCGTGTTAGGCTGCAACATTTAAACTCGCTAAATCAGCGTTTTTCAACTCACGATTTTGAAATGTTATTTGTAAACCCTGCGCATGGATTATCCTCATATAAATTGATGGGAAAAAAAGTATTTATTAGAGGAGAATATAATATTTGTTTTGAAAATAATAAAGTGGTTGCGTGTCAAATTGAATGATTTCCATAGAACTTTAATTTTTTCTTCTATATTTTGTGTTTTTACAGTGCGGCAACGCGGTGTTCGCGCAACCAAGCGCTCCAAATTGAACGTATTTGACTCTAAAAGATCGATTTACAAATTGGTTAAAAGCAAAGATTGCGTGCTTCTTGATTTTCCCCCTCTTTTATTCATTTTTGTACGGTTTCTTTCAACACAACAGCGTCTCATGGAGATTAATATCGATTCCATCGCTTGGGAAAAGTTTTGCAAATATTTGCCACGTTTTAAACATGTAAGTGTTTTTAAAATGAAGTGATATTCATTTAAAAAAAAAAAAAAAAAAAAAAAAAAAAAAAAAAAAAAAATTAAAAAAAGGAGGTTTATAAGAGGTTAATTTGATATCGAAAATTTTAAGGACAGAAATAAAACCTTAAATAGTCACCAATGACAATTTGAAGAGATGAATCAAAAAAAGGAAGCAACATTATTTCATTTAAAAAATTAGTTAAACCACAAACACTTCCCTCTATGGCTCAGATTTCTCATTCCGATATTGCGAATATAATTTTTTGGTACATACATACATAAAGTCGCGATTATAGCGCCGCCTCGCGCTCTGCGACGCCCAATCGCCATTGCCCCCTATCCTCCCAGAGATCATCAGGCAATTGGCACCTTCTGATCTCCTCCTCCACCCCTTGTCGCCAACCTTTCACAGGACGTCCACGCCGTCGCCTTCCGGGAGGAACCCAATCGAAGACCTGCTTCGGCAACCGATCATCTGCCATCCTTCGCACATGTCCATACCAGACCAACTGCTTGGACCTGATATCGTGCACGATGTCCTTTTCCACACCCATTATCTCGCGTACCCTTTCATTGCGGATACGCTCTCTTCTCGATATCCCAGCAGACCTTCGCCAAAAGTCCATCTCGGTTGCCCTAATTAAGCATGTCTTCAGTTCTTTTCTTAAGTTGCCAGACCTCACTCCCGTAAGTTACGATACTCTTCACGATGACGTTGTAAATTTTCCTTTTGGTCTCCTTGGAGATACTCTGGTCCCAGAGAACCCCATTTAGCATCGCGATAGCTTTCCTGCCTTGCACATTCCGATCTTTAATGGCCCGATCCAAATTTCCGTCCTTAGTTAACCGAACTCCGAGATATTTATACTCTTCACAGTCCAGGATCTTCCGGCCATCCTCCAGTTCAATGCTTTGCTGATCACCACCGATAACCAACTTCTCCGTCTTAACCACATTTAGATTTTTTTTTTTTTTTTGGTACATACGGACCAAAATATTACGCTTGGACCAAGTCACTGTTGCTTATTTTTCGCGTGGACGTAAACTCCTGGACAAAACAGGTGCGCGGACAAAAAATTGTAGACGGCTATATCCTGAAATCAATTATTCTGAAGTGGCAGTGTCCATTTGTCAATTTTTGGGTACCTGCGATAATACCTCATTTACTTACTGCAGCGTGGCAATCTTCCAAGTGGCACGGTGCAATGAAAATACCGAAATAAATTTGCGGTTTAAAGGCAATCAAATTGCAATATTTTTACAGCATTTGGGCAGTACATGCCGATTTTGAACGATCAAAAAAAAATGAGCTCCATGTGTCAGAGAGATAGGCAACATGCATTGCCGAGAAAAGTTGCAACTCATTTCAGTTTCATTGCAATAAAATTTTAATTAGAGACGTTCCTGCAATCGGTAGATAAGTAAGATACACAACATTCCGATGCAGTGGCAATAATTTTACCATGGTAATTAGAATTTATGGCGTTTCATGCTATACTTGGGATTGGGATTTCCTTGAAAAAGTATCCAGAAACCATCGATTGATGGTTCGACTATAAAGGGATCGTTTTTGAAAGTGCAGACGATCCACTTCGGCGCAAAGTGGATCGAATCAATGAGTGAGGTTGGACATGACATTTTTTACTAAAATTGAAAATGTTGATGTTCATTTCGTCACATTTTAAATTTCAAGGTATGCTTTTAGAGGAAAAGTTCACGAGGAAATCAATGTAGCCACTTTTCGAACCTCAAAGTTTTGTATTAACGGAGTTATAAACGCTTATAAAGCGTGCAAAGTTCCCGAATTTTGTCCAACCTCTCCTATTGACTCGATCCACTGGGCGGGGTACTCACCGGTATCCTCTCGAAGGGCTTTCCGTTCTTCGTGCTGCAGGTTTATGAGAAGCTGCATAAAGTCGGTCCGCTTGTTCTCGTTCTCTTCTCTATGTCTGATGGCCTCTCGCGTGACCTCCATAAAGAAGTCCTCAACCTCCTGGTTCATGCCTTTCCATCCGAGCCAAGGGACGATTTTGGGGCTGATGGAATTCAAGACGTGTCGAAGACGGAATTTCAGGAAGCCGGGGCTCATCTTGCGCGCCACCGCCCGAAACTCGGACTCGGAGCCCGAGATGGCGTTGCAGTTGAACCCGAAGGCGCAAGTCCCGATCACGTCGATCGCGAATTGCATCATCAATTGCTGCACCTCGATCTCGGCGGAAGAGTCCAGTTGGTCCTCCAGGTACCTGCCAGTGTAGAAGATTTGCCACAGTCCAGAGGCGATTCTTGCAAGTTAGCAACACTAATTTTTCTCCATTTAAATCCATTGAAGACTTATATCGATTTTTGGTGAGCCCAAGTAGCATTTTTCAATGTAAAAGTTGCAACAAGTTGAAACAATGTTGGTATTAGTTGCAACAAAGTTACAACTTTCGGTCAACATTTGGTCGATAAGTGCCGATTGTCGGCGATCTGATCGGAAGACAAAGTTGCAACCTGCTGAGATTGCAAAATTGCTGGACCGAAGTTGTTTTAAATCTGAAGATAGGCAACCAGCAATACTTTGAAGTTGAAACATCTTTCAACTTAATTGCAACTGGTTCCAACAATGATAGCTCCTTCGGGGGAGAGAGTAGGCAATCTGCACATCAATCCATTAGTTGCAAGAATCAAACGATTTTGTTGCAAATTGTTGCAATTTCTGCTGCTTGGGAGGCAGGCTGTCTCATTCCTAGAATCGATTCTTTAATATAGATTTAAATAAAGGAAAACCAGTGTTGTCAACTTGCAAGAAGCGCCCTGACAGTTCCCTGATCTGACAAATTTGAGTAAAATTTCCTGACAAATGAAACATACAATATGATGGCAAAAAAGACATAATTTGAAATAGTTTCCAGGCAAAATTCGTTGTTCTAAACGTCAAATCCATTCTGGAGGGCTAATAGGAGTAAATTACAATTTTGCCCTGACACTTTCGTCATTTTCCCTGACATTGCCAGGTTTTTCCTGACTTTTTAAAATTCCCATAAATCTCCCGGTTTTCCCTGACTGTGGCAACCCTGCCAATGACCCTCAGCCTACCCCAATCTGTAAATGATAATGATTTGAGTAAGGTTAGTTACCCGTTCAGGACATTGGTGCACTGCTCCATGAGCGGAAACATGGCTCTGAGTTTGCCGGAAGTAAAAGTTGGGGCCAATTTAGTTCGGATGTTCTTCCAGCGCTGGCCCTTCAGGAGGAATATGTGAGAGTTGAGAGGATCAATTTCCTCGTAGACAACAGTTGCACGGTCGGTGAAGTGCGAGAAATCCTTGATTAGTACCGTGCGTATGAGTTCAGGGTCGCGGACGATCAGGAACGGAACGGCAGCCTGGAAAAAACCACCGAAGGGCTCAGGGGCAAGCTCATTGTACCGATCCTGGAGGGCTTCAGCTTTGGTCTTTCTTGTCTCAAAAATTATGTCCCCGGATATCCCTACATACGGGACGGCCAGTTTCTGCCAGTATTCGTACCTCTTTTTAAAGTGAACGATCAGGTAAAAAATCAGAGTCAATAAAATGAAAATGAGGACCAAAGTTAGGTTCGAAATCATCGTAGCACAATTTGCAATTATCTTGATATGAAAAAGAACCGGAGGAGACAACCCGTCAGGGACATACGCCGGTTATTTTTAACTCTCCTGCAGAATTTCTACGTTTGTCTCTGTTCGATTACTGATTTTTTTTTTCTTGAAACGTAAAACTAGAGAAGCATCTTATCATACTTCGGATAATTGAATTATTTAGCAATAGATTTAATAGTAATGCATTTTGTAATCGCACAAATCGGCACTTGATTCACTTTTTTTGTCGAATACAAAACGAAGATCATTGACACATCACGGATATTAAATAGTCGGCACGTCGAAACGCGTTAAATTTCGACTCCCGGACTGATTGTGAGCAGTCATGCTGCAGTAAAAAGTCTGCTGAAAAAGGCGCTTGGTCCGATTTGATTACATTATCAATTATATACTTAATGAGGCATGGATATAAACTAAAACAAATACGTTATCACTTAAAAAAAGGTTCCAAGCCATTAAAAGTGTAGATTCCTCATTTTTGTTAGATAAAAGTATTGTGGAGAGTGATCCAGTATTTGCTATGTAAATAGGCTCTCACTTTTCATAAATTTTTATTTTTATTTTAGGTGAAGTAGTGTTTTGAATAAACTGTTCACTGATATTTAAGACTGAGTATTTACATCAAAGTCAATGCACAAAAAAGAACCTTAAATCGAGTAAGTATCACGACTGAATAATCACAATGAAGCGCTGCAGTTCCGTGCTGTAGCGACTGATTTTCGGAAGGCGGAAGTTATGGAAATAGGATCGTTAAGCATATGAAGTGCCCCTGACATCATTCTACCTGTCCACTATTGAAAAGAATATAGTTTACGTCAATTCAGTTTGAAAAACAATACATATAATCTCTGTCAATAAACAAATGGGAATGTATCGGCACTTATCAGGTAAATAACTGATAGAGTCTAGGATGTAAGACTGAAACAAAGAGCAAACCATTTGAGTTGTTCAACTGCACTAGTTTATTTACATTAGGAGTTCCATTTTTAGAGATGCTTCGTCATCAAAAATGATTCTTTTTGTGAACCTGGTGGTTGTTGCCTGTGGCGCTGAATCAAAAGTTTTTTTTTTTTTTTTTCTGCTGGTTTAATGGCTTCGTATCTAGCACCTTCAGCCAACTTTAGACAATGTTTAGTGTCCGTAGACATCGTGGGATCTCCATGCTCCAGGCTTTTCCAATTTTCAGGGATTAGGGCCGAGGAGGGGGAAAGGTAAGTTGAGTCCCACACGATCTTTTAAGGGTAAGTTGAGTCCCGTCAATTAATCACCCATAGGTAAATTGAGTCCCGTCAATTAATCCCCCATAGGTAAATTGAGTCCCACTGTATTTGCGTTGGTGGAAATAAATAAAAATACGAAGGCATCGTCAACATCTCCTTCACTTAAAAATGGCAAGCCGATGAAATATGTATTTTAAATAATTGCTGAGTTCAGATCGAGAGTCTTTATACACGGTCACTAAGCCGCACTTTTGTATGTGGCGCCACCAACTCTGCCCAAGATGAAAGCAACATCCCTTAAGTCTAACATTCGGCCATACTCAACGAGCTGCTTTGTGTATACCTTCTTCGAAGTCCAAAAAAACTTCTTTCGGTTGGAACTTTAAACCTAAATATTCACAGCGCTTAACGACAAACCGAAGTGCTGTTGCGTACGTATCAGTTTTTTTTTGTCAGGCAATAGCAAGAAAACCAATGGAACAAATCGACCTTTGTAGTAACCATGAATCGTGAATACTTGCAGATAATATTTAAGCTTTTTACAATCACTTAACTTCACAAAACATTTACTTCATTTCTTGCCTCTCACGCACACTCTCCCATCCTCACACATACAGTGATAATGCTACCGGGACTCAATTTACGTACCAGCAATTAGGAGTCGGGACTCAATTTACCTTCTCCCCTGATGACCTCAATGCATTGGGACTCAACTTACATTCGTCCCCGAGGAGAATCGGTTTCAGCAGATCTACTCGTCTATTCCGTGAAAATAAGACGCCACCACCGGGATTCGAACCCGGGACCGATATGAGAAATACGAGAACCGGTAATCTGGTGACTACGTTACGAAGTATTTCACAATCACTATCAGCAATTATGGTGGAAAAAAAGTAATGATCACAACTTGGGTAGAATTCAGACAACGTACAAAATTTATTAACATAAAAAAGTTGAGAGTACAATTCAAATTAAAATAATGCCACACTTCGGAATGGCAATGAGCTACACAAGTTAAATTGAAATTAATTTCATTATGCGCCTTCGTACGGCAACACAACATTCAATAATGAAAAGAACCCAGACATGAAAAATCATACAAAAATAAAAAAGAAGTGCAAAAATTAAGCACACGACAGCTAAGTTCCTATAGTACACTACTAAAGAGAATTTGAAAACAAGTCGGTAAAGTGGCAAAATTGATACTGAAGCTAATTAACACCATTGAAGGATAGTAATACAATCAATTTAAGTTCTGAAATAATATCTACGCGTTAAAAAAAATCACAGCCTGATGATACCTAAAATTCAGCGGTGACAATATGTGAAAAACAGTGGCGAGATAGGGGACAAATAAGAAACAATTAGGGCGCGGCCATGAGGGTGCTCTTTAAAAAGCTTTGCCTAGAAAAGAATTCTGATGCCGTCATGAGGTTCCGCCACTGATAAGTATGGATAGACATGTTTTTTTCCTCACAGAGAGAAAAGCAAAACGTGAACAGAGTACAAACTATTAAATTATAAATGACTAGAATGACAAGAAATTGATTTAACGGTCAACGGTGGAGATTTTTGAAAGTTGGCAACACTGTTTTCCTTACATTTAAAGTTATTAAAAAAAATCGATTTTAGGTGAGGCAATTTGCCTCGCCAAGAATCGATTGTTTTACATACATTTAAATGGCGGAAATACTATGTTGCCAACTTTCAAGAATTGCCACTGGCGGTCACGTCTCTGGTAAAATAAAGTTTCTAATAGTCATAAGAATACCACACAATTTGAAATTAAAGGTGCGTAGAGGGTGATGATGACAATGCCCTTCTATGCTGCAGAATATTACTATACCGCTGAGTTAATAAAATAATGATAAAACTAGCATTTAAATTTCTCATATTAATGAGAGGTTCAGTCAAGAACGGAGGTTAGTCTTTCGCCAGGATAATGGAACACTAGACAAGGTACGAATTTAAGCATTCTGAAGCATTTATTTTATTTATCTTTGTCTAACATAGTTTTTTCTTTTTCATGTAGAAAGCAATTTTTTTCATATTGAATGACATAATAACACGTACCCAAATGCTAAGGTACGTATGAGGTACAAAATTCCCTTCCAAATTTTATTTTGTTCTTTTATTTGCTTGCAGAATTAATCTAGAAAATGGTCTCAGTTCCTCCCTCATTCAATGTTGTTGAGTTCACTAAGGAAAAAACTGTGTCTGTCGTCCCCAGAGAGTGGATGTATAATGAGTCTTTATGCCATTGGCCGAATGTGAAAACAGGGATAACGCAACTGATAAAGAATCATACAGAACCATTTACGAAACCCTACTCGTGGATAACATGCGAGTGCCGTATATTAGCTGAAAAAATTGGTAAGTCGACAAATCGGTTTGTCTAGTACATGTGAGTATGAAGGGTGACATAAGATTTATTTCCGGCAAAAAAAGAAAAAGAAAAATGTAGCAAGAAAATAAGTAACTGGTTTGAGTTGGGAACTTGGAAAAAATGCATACATCAAACAGTCTTAAAAGACTGCAATTGATTAGAGGTAGTGGCGATTCTTGGCAATACGTAACACTATGCTTTTCTTCAATTCAAAGCATATTACTATTTACATCCCTCGTAAATACGGACACTAGGTGAGGCAGGCTGCCTTGGAATACCTAGATACGGAGGGTATGAGCTTATCGTCTCACGGAGGCCTAAAGGGGTCATTCCATACCAAATTAAAAACATTTTCACAACAGGGGCGGCCAACCCTCCCGCACGGGATATGCGAGGCAGCGTACTTGCTAACCTCAAAATTCAGAGAGGAACAAGCCAGCGATCAGAATTAAACACTTACGTGCTGTGCGAGCGGATTACTCGTGACAGGTTATGGGCCTACACATCACATTGTTCGGATTGTTCCTAAAATGTAGTGCTGTTTTGTTTTGTTCGGAATGAAACCTCGGTTTTACAATAATAACCTTGCTGAAGCCTTTTAGGCTGTCCTCGTGTATCGTGTGTCTAGTGATCACCGAAGAAAAGCTGCTTATATCGTCAAGTGACTTTTTTGAGTGATTTAGAAACCATGGCTTCAGAAGTACGGATGCCACGTATTGAAAGGCTGAAGGGGTCCGACAATTACAAGAACTGGGCGTTCGCCATGAAACTCTGGTTAACTGCTCATGACAGTCATCGTCCCAACATAAGCGCTCTAACGAGGTTCCGATCCTCAAAAAGAAAATCGAGGAGCTTAAGAGTATCAAAGGCCTACTGAAGGTGGAACTCCAGGCAGCTAAACACACCATATAAAACTTAGAAGAAGCCCTAAACTGAGGAAGAACGATTAAAAAATGAAATTGGCGAATGAACTCCAAAACTGAACTCACTAACAATATAAAATAATTTTTGCTGCAGATGAATCACCCGTATTCCAATTCGATAAATTTATTTGATCATTACTCACAATCCGTACACCTATGTTTTCTCTAGGATTTACAGATTTTTCAACATTGCCGGTGTTCCTCACTATATCTTAGCTGCAATGAATCGTATAAGAGATTGTAGTTGTTTGTGTTTATTGTAATGCGTTGAATTGAGCGTGTAATTTGTAAAATTTACGATCAACATAAGTGTTCGATTAAATGATTACTTATACCTTGCGAGACAGAATTAAATGCAAGTCATGATTTTCATATAATTCAACCGATTACAGTTTAATCAGAAACTGTACATGAGGAGTTGGAGAGTGTGGCTTTTCATCTCGTACCCCTGCCGCCCCCCCCCAGTTTTTTTTACTTCTTCCCGCCCGTTCCAAAATCACCATCCTATTACAACTGTTGAATTGGACCCGGGAGAGGGTGGATCTTTCATCAACCCTGAGAGACAGAGTCCGCGCACGGTCATCGACATGAAATAATTCTACGGGAGCTACTGCTACTCACCAGGCAGCATGTAAATTATCTTCTTTAAGAACGTTTCCGAACATCGGCGCGTGGAACACGTGTTTCTTTCGGACGAAGTTGATGAATTGAAATTTGTGGTCTGTGCTACAATTCTTTCCCCTGACCAGTTTATCCAGTCCTAAACTGACCAATGGAAATGTTTTTATTGACAATTCGGTGAAAAAACCGGGGAAAATCAGCTACGGAGCTAAGCCCGAGCTTCATGGAACCACGTGGAAATGACGCGGTCCCACCCCAACGTAATACTCCATTACTTGACGCGTACACACAACACCTTCGCACATAAGTGCGAAGAGAATCCGTAAAGCCGATGGGACCAGTGCTAAAATGTTTTGCTTAAAAACGCAGTCTTGTTATCAGAGGAAATGACAGCGAATGTATTTGCTCATATCCACCGTGCTATAATGTTTTGCTTAAAAACGCAGTCTTGTTATCAGAGAAGATGACAGCGAATGTATTTGCTCATATCCACCGTGCTATAATGTTTTGCTTAAAAACGCAGTCTTGTTATCAGAGAAAATGACAGCGAATGTATTTGCTCATATCCAAGAAAGAAAGAAATTCGCTTCAGCAATTTTGTTCAGTCATTGGTCTTTTCTTAGAAATCCTTACATGCATTAGTTGCCAGAAGACAACCACGGCCCCGTTCTGGGCTTGTAGACTGGGCCACGTCCAGTGCTCAGTGTGCCAAAGGCGAGACTCCAGACGAAGACGCCCACTATGCCACTCGAAGCTGTTAAAGCTGTGTCATGTCCTAGCTAATGCTACCCTCTGGAATTGCGCCTGGACCCTCTGGAACTGCACTCCGTCAGAGTAGGAGGATACAAGAAGCTCAGCAACGAGTACGCCAGGTTCCACAATTTGTACCTCAAAATGGGCCGCGGATGAGACAAAGGACTCGAACAATTTTACAAGCTGCTGCTAACTCACAGTCTGCTGACCAAGAAGTTCTTGAAGCATTTGAGAGAGGAAATATTGCTAATGATGATCCTCGCATAGTGGAAGGTGTGGCTAACCTGTATGTAGAGTATCAGAGATTTTTTCCACAACCCATTGAATCTGTTGATACCTCAGACTCGGATGATGATGCACCAGCAACGAGTACGCCAGGTTCCACAATTTGTACCTCAAAATGGGCCGCGGATGAGACAAAGGACTCGAACAATTTTACAAGCTGCTGCTAACTCACAGTCTGCTGAACAAGTGTAATAGGCCAGACAGCTTAAATCAAATCTGCCGCCAGTCGGGTTCCGTCCACTCTCCGCTCACCAGAGCAGCGCCTCTGGTGGAGGGGGAGTGGACGACGCCTGATTGGTCGTACAGTCAGTTAGCCGAAGACCGTTTCCCGATCTAGAGAACATGTAAGTTCTTCCCAGTTTTCACCCCTTTGGGGTGATTGTTTAGCTTTTCCTTTCTTTCTCGTGATTCGTGATGTGACGGAGTGCGCGGGGGTGGCCGGCGGGCCACTTCGAAACCCTTAAACCCGTGACTTCATCTTTTCTTATTACCTTTCACCGTCCTCTCCGGTCGAGCCTCGGAGGCTCGATCCGGATGGCCTCCGAGGCCCGATCGGATTGCGATTCGTGCTGTTCCTTTTTGTTGTATGGATCCCCGAGCCATTACAACTGGCGTCCCAACTAGTGGCTTCAAAGAGGATATCTTTGATATCCATCTTTAAGTGTTTCGAACCGAAACGGAAAACGTGGCGTGCGCGGGTACGCGTCCTCCACAATGTAATCTTGTACTCTCGTACCTAACTAGTGGAAATGTTTGAAGTGCTCCTGTATTCGTTATTAGTGTTTCATAATCTATTCTATCTTATTCTGATTACGTTGTCATGTTTGATTATTGCTTGACTTTTTCCGCCCATTCTAATCCGATCCACGAGGTAGTGAAATAGTCCCGGTCCGTCGCCATTTTGGCGTTGTGCGTTGTATTACTTCGAAACCCTTAAACCCACACACCACGGCCATGGCCATCATCCATCAGCACCAGCTCGCCACCAACGAACCTAACCTACAAACCACGGTAAACAGTAAACAGAGACGGTAACCCAACAAGTGTTATTATTATCAGTGATGATGCAAATTTTCTATCCTGAAATTATGCGGACAATTTTTTTATCCTGTTATTCTGCGGACAATTTTTTTTAACCTTCTAAATTATTGCTCAAAGGAAAATTTTTTTTCCTCTTCGTAAATTCCTGATTATTTTCTAATGCCAACCTAGTGCTAACGGTTAACGTCTAAAGGTTACCATGTTCCTGCCATCACAATGATGTTTCCTGTTCTACATTATTTGGACGAGGTGAGGAAGCGGGTCACCACGGAGACCTCCTCGATCCCAACGTGGGTGGACAGCTGATAAAGGACTTGGCACTCACTCTCTCTCTTGTGGTTCCCTGACTACTCAAACTACCTGGATTATGGACCTATGTCTGATTCTAGCAACTTCTCACCTTATCTACACATCTCTAATTCGTCGCTTCTGCTTCTTTTCAGAACCTGTTCCTGTTTCTTCGTACCCGGAAAAGTAGTAATTGTGAGAAATCCACTCCTTTCATTTAGAACTCTTTTTATTTGTATTTTGTTACGTGATGTCGCAAAACTCTAGTCCTAGACGTACTCGCTACGGCGAAAATTTCCACCCTTCGGTTGAAAATGCTGTTAGTAGAGGAGGCTCTGGTAGAGCGAGGGGTAGAGGATCTCGTAGACCTAGAGGTAGAGGCATGAGGGGTAATCTGAATCAAAACCTTTCTGACAGTAGAGTTTCACTTCATTCTGATCACTCCACTAATTCATTTCGTTCTGTACCTGAGGCACCCCCAAGACCGCTATCACCAAATGTTTTTGTTAGAAGACCGCCTCACCAAATGTCACCGTTTCCTGTGATAGAAGTAATAACGGCAACCCACCCAGTCTCTAATCGCTTCCATACCGACCCTCCCTCTACTAACCAGCATCTGCGTAATTGTGATGATCTTAATTCTGGTATTGTCGTGCGTCCCGCGGATGATTATCTGCAAACTCAGATTGCAGACCGGCAAAGAATGATGCTGCAAATAACTGAACAGATGGCTCAGCTCCAGACCACTGTTACCCAGGCTTTTGAGGAAATTAAGAGCGAAGTTCCCTTATTGGTTCAAGAACAGCTTGATAGCAAAATGTCAGAACCAACAAACCCGCCTCCAAGTTCCTTGGAAACATGAGCAGCCGTGGGGTTGTTGTAATAGGCCAGACAGCTTAAATCAAATCTGCCGCCAGTCGGGTTCCGTCCACTCTCCGCTCACCAGAGCAGCGCCTCTGGTGGAGGGGGAGTGGACGACGCCTGATTGGTCGTACAGTCAGTTAGCCGAAGACCGTTTCCCGATCTAGAGAACATGTAAGTTCTTCCCAGTTTTCACCCCTTTGGGGTGATTGTTTAGCTTTTCCTTTCTTTCTCGTGATTCGTGATGTGACGGAGTGCGCGGGGGTGGCCGGCGGGCCACTTCGAAACCCTTAAACCCGTGACTTCATCTTTTCTTATTACCTTTCACCGTCCTCTCCGGTCGAGCCTCGGAGGCTCGATCCGGATGGCCTCCGAGGCCCGATCGGATTGCGATTCGTGCTGTTCCTTTTTGTTGTATGGATCCCCGAGCCATTACACAAGAAGTTCTTGAAGCATTTGAGAGAGGAAATATTGCTAATGATGATCCTCGCATAGTGGAAGGTGTGGCTAACCTGTATGTAGAGCATCAGAGATTTTTTCCACAACCCATTGAATCTGTTGATACCTCAGACTCGGATGATGATGCACCAGCAACGAGTACGCCAGGTTCCACAATTTGTACCTCAAAATGGGCCGCGGATGAGACAAAGGACTCGAACAATTTTACAAGCTGCTGCTAACTCACAGTCTGCTGAACAAGAAGTTCTTGAAGCATTTGAGAGAGGAAATATTGCTAATGATGATCCTCGCATAGTGGAAGGTGTGGCTAACCTGTATGCAGAGTATCAGAGATTTTTTCCACAACCCATTGAAACTATCGATACCTTAGACTCGGATGATGATGCACCTTCAGTTTATCAGAACTCTACTACACTGAATGCTCAAAAGATTCCAAATCTTCCAGACTGGAGCATTGGCTCCGTGATTTACAATGAGGGATTGATCCTAAAATAAGGCTCCTATAATTTTATATTTAATAGGGTCGGGTGGGGTAATTCCGGATGGGGGTAATTCCGGACTAGCCCAGCAGAGGGCGTTTTAATCGCGTTATCGAAATTTTCCGCCAGGTGGTGAATCTCTATGTTATGTTGACCATACTGTGTGCAGCCATTGTTGTTTTGTTAATGTTTCGTCGCCGCGAGAACTCCGCAAATTTGGTAAGTGGAAAAAAAGTGTTTTACAATCTCGTAGACCTATTTTAACCACCATTTATGACAGTGTAATAATTTTTTCCAAATCAAACCAATATTAATTCTAAGTTGTCATGCATATGAACTACTCATTTCATGGATTCTTCGAACCGGCTTCGTAAGCGGGGTCAGTTTAGAGGTTAATCCGGAATTACCCCCGCCCATAACCCCCCCGGGGGTAGTTCCGGACGTGTAAATTTTAGGTTAGATTATTAACTAAACTTGTTTTTTTGCACTGTTTAGGTCCAATATGCCAAGAAAGTATACTAAGAAACGTCCTCCCAAACCTTACACTGAGGTAGACCTGCAGAATGCTTTGAAAGATGTTCAAAGTGGAAAGTTAAAACTCTTGGCTGCTGCTAGCAACTACAATATCCCATCATCCACTCTTTCAGACATTTTTCTTTTGTGTAATCAAGCATTTTTTTTGTCTCTTCAAATGCTAGATTAAAGGGGCGTGTCTTGTCAATTTGTGCAAATTAATCCATTTTTTCTTTTATTTTCTTTCCTGAGTCAGTACTCGCTGCACTAAACTCTGTTCTTCAATACCTCTGCCATGCACTGATGTACTCACTCAATTTTGAACCAATTTGTATCTATCAACTCCTTTTAGTTTAAATTAAACACAATCCATTACTAGATTAAGGGGGTGTGTTAAAGCTGTGTCATGTCCTAGCTAATGCTGCCCTCTGTTGGCCCAATTTGGAACCTTATGTATGTTTGATCGACCTGCCTCATGGCGTCGTTTCTTTTGTGCTGACCTTGTTAACGAAGTTTAAAGAATAAAATGGATAACTGAGTAACAGTGCGGATGTTCACCTTTTTCCCCACAATTTAACAGAAGCTTTCGTTAAAAACCCGCCAATATCGGTGACCAAATTTTCCAAAATAATTAGAAACACGTATGTTGAATCAAACGCTGTTTGTACTAATTTTATCATTTTTGAAGCGGGCCCCCTTTGGTCGCCTTGGATACAAAATTTTAGTGTCGAATAAATCTCTGTCCTATTCCTGATGTATCTAAAGTCTCCGTCTTAAAATCCAGTTCTAAATTTTCCTTTCATATTTATTTTTCCTGCTATCCCCCGGAAGGGAGATCCCTTTATGGTGGCGGCGCCAACAATACATGGTGCAAAGCTTTTCTTTGTTTCACCACTACCTGTTGCCAAAATTTCTCGAAATTCACAATTGTCTTGCTTAGCTCGTATGTTGAATCAAACGCTGTTTGTACTAATTTTATCATTTTTGAAGCGGGCCCCCCTTGGTCGTCTTGGATACAAAATTTTAGTGTCGAATAAATCTCTGTCCTATTCCTGATGTATCTAAAGTCTCCGTCTTAAAATCCAGTTCTAAATTTTCCTTTCGTCTTTATTTTTTCCTGCTATCCCCCCGGAAGGGGGATCCCTTTGTGGTGGCGGCGCCAACAATAGGTACATGGTACAAAGCTTTTCTTTGTTTCACCACTACCTGTTGCCAAAATTTCTCGAAATTCACAATTGTCTTGCTTAGCTGCGGTTTCACAAAAGCAGCTACCCAGTGTTGCAGAGAAGGAAACCACTGAAACACCCAGTGGTGCAGAAAAAGAAAGCACTGAAACACCCAGTGTTGCAGAAAAGGAAAGCACTGAAAGCGCCGCTGAACTGCGAGATAATATGTAATTAAATGTACTATAAAGTGTACTAATAAATGTACCATAAAGTGTACTAATAAATGTACTATAAAAAAGTGTACTAATAAATGTACCATAAAGTGTACTAATAAATGTACTATAAAGTGTACTAATAAATGTAATAAAATGTATTAAATGTAAATTTGATTTCCTTTTTTTTTTATTGGAATCGGCCATAGGAAATTTCTGTAGCCCGGCCATAGGAAATTTCTGTAGCCCGGCCATAGGACAATTCCTATGGTAAATTGAAACATGGCCTTTTGGCGATAGGAATTTTCTATAGCCGGCGATTGATAACTCCTATAGCCAGCCATAGGAATTGTCAAACGTCGGCTATAGAAAATTCCTATCGCCAAAAGGCCATGTTTCAATTTACCATAGGAATTTTTCTATGGCCGGGCTATAGGTATTTGTACGGCTTATTTTTACCAGGGGAGTAACAGAAAGAAAATGAGACAGAAGATTAAGACAGTGCTTTAGTCTGTTGTCACAACTTAAAATTAGGGAGAAGAAACAAGACATAAAAAAATCCAGAAACGAAAGAATTAAGTATTAAATTAGAACGGTATATTGAAATGTATTGAAAGATTTAGTCAACACGCACGAAATCAATTACTGGGTTTTAGAAACCATTCTTATAGTAGATTACGATAAAATACTAGTTTCCAGGAAGCGAGGCGGGGGATTTTTTTCCATTGTAAAATCATATTTAGGCTTCCCGGGAAGGGGGCAGGGCCAGACTGGCTAAGGCAGCTAGGCAGCGATGGCTGCCTACGAATTAATTCCTGAATTTATTCTCCAATAAATGAAATGAATCCTTGAAAAAGTGAGGTTCAGGGGCCCCGAAGGGACCCCTGAACCTCGTTTTTTCCAGTCCTTGAGGGTTTAACTCATAACACCTTCTCTGAGGCCCCTACGGCCGAAAAAAGGTAACCTCAGGGGCCCCCTGAAAAGATGCCAGCAAGGGCCCCTCAGCGATCGAGAAATATGAGCTTCAAGGGCCCTGGAGCGGCCCTCGAAGCTATATTTTCCCAGCTTCTAAGAGTTTTTTACTTTAAACAGCATGACTCTTTCTCTGAGACCCCTATAGCCCGAAGAAGGTCACTTCTGGGGCCCCTGAAAAGATCTGTTGGCACCTCTCATGATGCTGTTTGTTGAGCGCGATATGACGCAACTTACTGACAAAAATTATTGTATTGATTTGGTTGCTGCGACCAGTAAACTGTTAAAGCAGTTATTAATAGTGTGAGTTTATTCCTTACTTTCTTCACTTGGGATAACGATAAACTCAGCTTAGAGACAGTCTTTACTCGAATGTCAAAACATACTTTCATGTCACACTCACATCACACATGTGAGAAAAACACATTTTTTGTTTAAAGGACACTCTGGCTTGGCCACCAAGTTATATATGTATTTTTTTTTTTTTATTTATACACAAGTTTGTTACTTCGAAATGTGAAATTTCATGAATAAAATTATAAATTCAATTTGATAACATATGTCTTTTTTGTCTTCAGCCTTGTGATTTGCAGATTCATCGCCGAATTTTTCAAAAAATATCTAAAAAATGGGTGATATTTTCGGAGGCGCTATGTATCAAATTTCAATGCGAAAAGAGCCTAAAACTTCTATTTTCAGGGGTTAAATTTTCAAAATTTTCCGGGGGAGGACCCCCCGACCCCCCTCCATCCCTGGAGGGCGACCCCCCAAACCCCCCATGGGGGCCCAGTTTTTACGACAGGGGCCCCAAAAACCTAGTAGCTGCCTAACTTTTTTTACGCCAGTACGACTATTAAAGCATACATATCTGCAGGTTGCAGTATTTACCTCCAGCCACGTGGGGCATGGCGTGGTTTCCTGTGTAACTAGGTACAATACAGCAAGCTGTCAAACACGGTAGGAAATTTTCGGCAAAATTTGTAACATGAGATACTGATATTAATAGCTATCCGAAATGGATAGTGCATAATTTCATAGGTGTTGACACTTTGTTGATCTTGTCTGACTCTGATTAGGTACATATTTCTATCTGAGAATATTGATGTGGAATTGGAAGTATTTCCTAAAATTTTCCTTTCGTCTATATATTTTCCTGCTAATAAAAAGGTAAGAGCTCCAAATCAAGTATTTCCCCCCGATGTAATGCCCACAGGCGGTTCCGGGGCTTCATTAGATTAGTTCTTTTAATCTTAAGAAGATCAATAATGTATTTAATTTGTACCATCTGTAATATGTCTATGTATCTCTAAATATCTAATAAAGCATTAAAAAAAAAAAAAAAAAAAAAAAAAAAAAAAAAAAAAAAAAAAAAANCTGGACTTTGGTGGTTTGGTGATCGAAATTTGGGAAGTACATCATCGTAAACTACTCACTCAAGGCTATTGATTCCGTTTTTGATCTTTGAAATATCTTTACTTTTGTCATGTCAGGTAACAATTTTGTGCAGCGAAGCCGGGATGGGGTCATTCCGCCAGTGACGCCGAGGGTCATTCTGCTACTGGCTAAGTGACCCCTTTTTAGGTTTAGGTGCTGCTACACTGGCTAGTCCTTTATATGTATGTAGTTCAATTTCAAAACCACCGACTTTTTATTAATATTTTAACTTTTTTTTTAAAAAAAAAAAATTCAAATTTTGAAATTTATTAGACCCTTAAAATTAACTTTTCGTTCTTATAGTTATAGACTTTTTTGTACTGACTGAAGTTCTGAGTTCAGATATGTTTGTTTTCCTTCATTTTTCTTAATTAAATTGTTTTTTCCAGCACTTCTCATGTCTTCATTTGCTACTGGCGGACTGACCCTAAGAATGTGGCGGACTGACCCTACTCGTGGGGTCACTCCGCCACTTTCTTTTTTAAAAAAAAAAAGTTCAAAAAAGGGGGGGAAAATGCACCTAAAGTATCCAATTTTTTTTTGTGCATAGTCAAAGGTCCAAAGATCACTCCTAGCATTCAAACAAGTTCATCCATCAATTAGGGAACTCAGGAAAAATCTTGGGGCAAAAAAGTGGCGGACTGACCCCATCCTACCCTAGTTCAAATCCTTCAAAATTTCATTTGGTGCCGAAACCCGGGAAAAGTTGAAAATATTGTACGGGTGCTCGACATCTGACAGCAGATAACCTCTCAAATGCCTCCGCATGACCCAAAACGATGGCGGAATTTTATGGAAAACCAAATCCCACATATGTGTATGTGCCGCCCGGACACGATCCCCCTAAAAGTTGGGACGATGTCACCTTTTATTATTAAAATGTCATCGTGCGTCTTAAATTCAACGTTTTGAAAATTCTCTCTCCTGCCACGTTTCCCACTTTCCTTTTTCCTAATCCGTTTTTTTTGTTCTGGTTGACCTTGCAAATGTCAACTCGGGAAAGAGTGATTGGGCTCTTTTTAGAGATTGCCACTTATATCAGCTGCAAGAAGACGACCTTAGCTCCATTTTGGGCATGCAAGTTGGATCATGTCCAGTGTACTGTTTGTCAGGGAAGGGACTCTCGGAGAAGATGTCCTCTTTGCCGTAACATGTTACGAAGAAACCGAATTTTGGAACGCTTCGAGAGAGCCATATTTGATGAGATCAAGATTTTTCGCGGTCCCCATCAAGAACAACTTTGATTCAGAACTTTAGGGAAGTTCAGGGGGGCCAAAATGAAGCGGGTCCCCCTTGGTCGCCTTGGATACAAAATTTTAGTGTCGAATAAATCTCTGTCCTATTCCTGTATCTAAAGTCTCCGTCTTAAAATCCAGTTCTAAATTTTCCTTTCGTCTTCATTTTTTCCTGCTAATAAAAAGGTAAAAGCTCCAAATCAAGTAGTTCAAATCCTTCAAAATGTATGTAAGTTTGCACATGCGCATGTAATGTAGGTACAGGTTAGCATTTTGCAGTCTGGAACTATAAATTCTGGCACGGTTTAGAAACAGCATAAGTGCCATAAGTATCCCTACGCACATAGGTGTTTTTCAGAGTGCCAGAATGTGTGGTTCCGGATTGCAAGATGCAGTCCAATTATACACTATATATTTACTCCTTATGGCAACCTAGGCTACTTTATGGCCCAGCTGTTGCTACATCGCTTCAACATTACTCGCCAATTTATTCCTGGTGTGATTAGTTTTAAACCAATTCTTATCCCTCGCAAACTTTACTTCACCTCCAATTTTTCCAGGGCAAACCCCATATCATGAACCAAGCAGCTGATTTGATTTCCTAGAAAATTACAACCTCAGCGAATAGTTAGAGAAGGACAAATTTTCAGCATTTTCAGCGCAAAAATGAGACAAAAGTTACCTCAGCAGCCTACCAGAGCAAAAATTAACTCTTAAAAGCTCATGTTCGTGTGTGCAGGTAGAAAAGGCGGGAAAATGGATACGAAAAAGTGCCTGGAACTTATGCAAGTGATGATAGTGTTAACAGCACAACTAATTGGGTGGATCGAAGCCTGCGCAGAAATTAGAAAATCACAAGTGATCACTTACAAAACAAACCAACAAGTTCTGATCGACGCTGGCGCAGTGCAAGTACCCATCATAATAGACCTAGTGCAGATGTATAAAATTTGCAACAACATCATTACATCAGATACGCTGGCAGGCATGTTCAGATCTATGAATGCCCAGACAAAAAAACAAACTGATTTGTTCCTGGGAACCAGCCAAAGGCAGAAACGAATAGCACTACTGGTGGCACTCAGAGTGGTGACTGGGGTTTCAGCAGCACATCTTCTATGGGAAAAATACTCTTACAATAAGATAAACGATAAAATCGACTCATTATACACCGATATTAATGGTAAAACAAGCTACCTGAAGAAGATAATGATAGCAGATGAAGAAAATAATAGACAGGATTTCATAGCAGTCCGGCGCGAATTACGTCAACTATCTGCAAGAGCAACAGAAACAGCATGCAACATGGAAAAGAACCTCACATATTTCATCATGGAAAACCACCTGCTCGACGAGTTTGACGACTTAATTGCCTCCTTAAGAACATCACGCTTCACAAGTAAAATGATACCACCCGCACAACTGCTGTCACTTTTAGAGGCACTACCTAAGTGCTTAAGCATTTGTAATTTTAATTTGAAGTTTTCATGGCGAATGCATGCACAGGTGTCTCTATCTTTGACCTTAAATCTAACTACAAAAAATGGTTTCATATATTTCAGCTGGCCCTCTTCAGATGATGTTCAAGATTTGCGATCTGATGAAATATTGTGCAAAATTTCAACTCCACCTCGACCTGTTGGAAAATCTGCCCGAACGTACACAATTCAGAATGTTGAAGAAATTCAAACCATTTTTGACCAGCACACATCTGAAGAATAACCATTCGTTCGTTGCAGATCTCATTTCATTTTTTCTTCCTCTATTCTTTTTAATTCTCCTAATTCAATTTTATAATTTATGGCATTCCTTTGTTACCCACCTACTTTAGGCTAAATTCAAGTTTAAGTGTGCTGATAATTTAAGATAAACCATGTGCAAAGCCAAGATTTGCCTTCAAAATTTTGAAGTTACCTACTACGTGCTTAATTATTTTTAATGCTGCGGCAACATGCCGCGTATCTCATTAGTTTATTTAAATACTTAAAGAACTGAAATATGATTCTTGTCAATTATGTTGTCATGAGACACTTATTTTTTGTTTTTCTCTCAATTAATTTCCTTATTTTGTATTATTATTATTATTTTTTGTCCCCATAGAAGTGATGAAGCCATTTCTTTACTCTCCTTCCCACCATATTCAGCACCTCTTGTAGTTCAATCAACCCAGTTCTACAACTTCGCATCTACTTCTCCAAGCTTCGAAATGCCCAACTCTAATGGAAATTGTCACTCTCTGGATGAAACGGCCGATCTCACTGATATCAGGTGAGAGATGAATAGGCTAGCAGGCCTCGTGAATCAACTCGCAGCCCTTCAGCTGCAATTTGCTTCTACACTATAAACCGGTAAATTTCCCTTCAAACCCTACGATTCTTAATCAAATGAACTTCTTGACGCATACTTCCATAGGTTCAAAAAGCAACTTCTGCTTTGTAATGTTCCTCAAGAGCATTGGACGCAACATCTTCAAGTCCACATGGGCCTTGAGCTACCATTACCTCCCTGATGTACCAGACTAAAATTGATTCATTATCCTTCAATGAAATCACTGCAAACCTCATAGATCACTACATCAAAAAACGGAATAGATGACAAGGTTAGCCCAGCAGGCTGCCACACCTGGCTGGGGCTAGACTCCCCTGCCTAACATGTTACCAACTTAGGAATAAAAGATATAACAAGCAACACCTTCTTCTTGTAAATAAAACGGTTCACAAATAGTAAACTCGATTAATTGAATTACAAGTTAGTTGAATTCAGAATTTTTATGTGCTAATAAGGAGTACCTTATTAATGATCCAAATCCAACACCTTGACTAAACCCAAAAATCTATTATGGAATTTAGTTAGATTAGAAGTTAGTTTCGCTTTGGCATGGAAAGACCCCTCATATTATGGTGAGTAACAGCTATACAGAACGCATTGGGTCCAAATTATTTCGTCAATATATAATTTTACAACAATAACTCTGATAATTGAAGATTATAATTCATGAAAAATCAATCTTCCTGTCTAACAATAAATTTAAAAAGTAGATAATTAAACACTGACGAATGAAATTTGGTTGATGAGTTTTAACGAGCTGATTAATAACAGATTTAAAATTGACTCAAAACATGAAATTTGGTTTGCGCTTGGGACTTGAGTCTCAGATCTCACTAAATACTTATAGCCTAATTGAAATGGAGCTCATCAAAACTTACCAGCAGAGATAAATGCAGGTTTAAACCTATCCGAAAGGTTCACTTAAAGCTTCAATTTGATGATGATTTTGAGTTGAATTTCCACGGGGGAAGAACAATTACTGTTGATGAAGAGATAATTCTTTAAGGTGCAATGATTAAAGCTCAACCTTGAAGGCTTCATTTTCATCTGGATGAAGATTTTGATGCCTTTTTAAGCTAAATCCCCAGTGTAGAAGAAGATCGTTGCACTCACGGCGAGACTTTCTGGACAAATCTATGCGGTCTAGTTCCTGAAAATAAGATGAACAATAAATGAATATGCCAGTTAAAGATGTAGAAACTTCTGAAGTAATTGTGCATTCATTCATTTCAATTCACAAAAAATAAAAGGAATTAGTCGACCTGCATCGACAATACCTAATTTCCTCTGAAGTTTCTTTTTTTAAACGAGAAACTAAGCAAAACTGAAATTGAAATTTTGTGAATATATTCTTCATGACCTAAAAAAAGTTCAAAGAAAGTTTGAAATCGTTAAAGAGCTAAGATTTTCAAATAAAAAATAAGACTTGAGAGAAAGCTAATTGAGAGAAAGACCTTCAAAATATTAAAAAACCTGAGTTTGAGATTACGGATCTGATTTTTCCTAGATCCTGTAAAATTGTCCACATACTCACCTCAGATCTCTTGAAAAATTATTAAAGTTTGCTGCAAATCACCATTTTTTTTCTCTCTCTCATACCACTCATTCTCAACTACTTACACTGGATTTGTTTTTCTTCCTTTTTTTACAGTATGCTGTTATTTTAAGGAGTACTTCTTTAAATAAAATCCTAACAAAAGGAGAGGCATGCAGTGCCCCCCCCCCCCCCACTTAAGAGAAAAGGTTACAGAATGTTCCCATCAAAATTTTCAAAGTTTCGGTCAATTATACTACCTTCCTATTCAATTTGAGGAATAAAATCTGATGAAACGTTTGGAAAAAATATTATGCCTTGCTTCTTGTTTTCTTACTTGTTTATTACCCTCAATTTTTATTATTTTTGAGCACAGGAGGATTGCTTCATTGCTCTTACTTATTCTCAATTGGATTTTTATTTGACACGTTTCTAGCCCCAGTCTTTACCATTACTTGTATTTTGAATGATCTGAGTTTCCCCAAAAACCTCCTCTCTGCATTTAGATTAGGATTGAGACCGTTTCATTCAACATCAGGTGGATCCAAGTGGACGTCATATCTGACATTTTGCTAAAAAATTGCTTTAAAGCTCCTTGAATAAAGTTCCTTGACGGTTCCTTGTGCCATTATCAAAAATTTACTGAATCCATTTCAAAATATTTCACCAACTTTGTTTATATTTGCTACTTCTCGAGGCAATAATGTTGTCAGCTTTTGGATAAAAAGAGCTTTCCAAAGAGAGAGGACATTCTTAGACACTCATCCCTGTCGAGCTCTTGTAGTGCTTTCTAACTAAGTTCTGTGAGTATGAGGAAAGAAAAATTATACCTGATTGTTTTTGGTGAAGAGGACAAGATCAGGATTGGCTCCAGGGATGGGTTTGAATTCGATGTTATTGCTGGAACAAAATGTTAAAGAAAATCGACGAAAACAGAATGACAACCAAACAATTCTTTTCCTTTTTAGAAAAAAAGATGGCGAGGAGAAATTGATTTTCAAATTTCTAGGTTTTGAATAGTTTCATCAACAGGAGAACCATAAATTGGATTGCAATTAGCAATTTGAAGCTATAAATTCTGCTTCATCTGAAAAACACTTATGTACATAGGGAAACTGATAGCACATTCGTTGTTTTCAAACCTAGCCGGAATTTATAATTTCTAATTGCAAAATGTAGTTTTATTGCTCTGAGAAAATTATTTTATGCTACTGCACACTGGCAATAGCTGAGCCACATACTTAGTTACTATAGTAAACTTTGGTTTTTTGGCAAATCGGCAGTTCAAATTTTCCAACACCAAAGAAGGATAATTCCTCACTTGCAGGTTATTTTGTAAATTTTGAGTAAGTCTACAGGGCTCTATGTGAAATTTTGATGAGATAACATGTGTTTTGATGCTTCATCACTCGCCTTGTCTTATGGTCTACTCAGTACAGGGTTACTGAGTGTTCGCAGGAAAAAGGATACTATTTTCCAACATCTTCATAAATGAAAGCTTTGACTTCTGGTAGCCGGTTCAGAGCGCAGCCTCTACAACTCTGAAACGAAGAACGAGAACTTGAGTAAATGCTTTAAAATGGCAAAAATGTGATAGAATCGGGCAAAGAAGCCCTTGCGGAGGGAAACTGAAACTGTTCAGTCAAGCTTTAAGTGCTTGCATGTTTTCCTAGTTGGCATTCATTCTGCAGTTAATTTAATTGCAGTTATTGAGGAGGCGAATTGAAATACGGCAATACCGTGAGAGCAAAAATGAATACGTCTCATATCAGCTGACTTATTTCTTGGATTTTCCCTAATTTGCCATCATTAAAAGAATATGCACTGCTAGAGAATTGTTTCCTTTTCAAAGATAATTTTTGAGGGGACGGCTTGGAGAAATTGCGACAGTGCATAGAAAATATTAGTATTCGTAAGCTGATGCAGTTTTGTCTTATATAACCTCTCCATTTTCTCCCTCTTGTTCTCTAAAATAAATCGCTTCTGCCCCAACCTTTCATCCTTCATTTCTTAAGTAAATAAGTGGCACCATTAATAATGTTACCTATTAATTTTTTCTACAGCCAGTAACAGTGCCGGCTAATTTTAACTGAGTTTTCTTAAATTTACAGTTATCATACTTGATAACTCAAATCTCATACTTACTTGCTTATAATATATAAATATGATAGAAAGTAGTATATATTTCAGATTTTTCCATCATGTTGCTCAGAGGACAAGAGAGAAATGGCAGAGGAAACTCCGGGTGGAAAAATTTGAGACACTTCAAAAGTTCTATCTCCTCGATAATTAAGTATTACAGATAAGGTGATTCGACGGTTGCCATTTTTTGTGCCAGAGCGACCTGCGATATATCGCATCAATTCTAGAGTACCTATATAGCGAGAGTATGGACAGATCGCTTCATGGAGGGCTTAGGGCCCAAAAGTGCAGCCACCCTTCTAACCAACTTCCAACGCACAAAATTTCACTGCCAGTCTGCACATTCCAACTCTAACCAAGATGGCTAAGAATGTACATAAATGAGCGTTCTTCCGCAAAAATGAGTAAATTTATGCAACAAGTAAGTCCAATACGTGCTTTATAAACGATGGTTCGTAACAATTGTATTAGTAAAGCGCTCTGGATAATTGAGATCCATAGGTTGGCTGCATTTCTGGGCCCTAACTTCATTCGCGGAGACATCGGTGAAGGCCTGATGGATTTTCGGAGTTTCACATCTGTCTATACTCTCGCTATACAGGTACTCTAATCAATTCGTTCCATAGTTTCAGTTACTCGTCATTCTTCTCGAATTTTGAGATCTCACTTCTGTTGTCATGAGACTAAAGATTTCATGTGACAATGAAATTCAATGTATTAAAGGCAGGGTTTTATCAGAAGAAAAATATCACATTTGAGTGCAGTTTCAATATCAGTATCATATGCGATATTTATCCTCTGAGAAACCCTGCTTTTATTACGTTGACTTAACGTCCTGACAGGACTGGTTGGTCCATTTCAAGATACATTAAACAGAGGAGGGTGAATTCATTTTCAGAATGCAACTAGTTGAATGAAATAAAAGGTATTCAGAGTCCATGAAAAATAGGTTTACGTAGTTCTAGTCTGCGACAGAAGATCGTCTGATGTCATTTTAACATGTAAAATGAATGCAAGAAGCAAGATGGCAGATCTTCTGCTGCAATCTATAAGTGCGTAAACTTATCTGGTGTATGGACTCTACAACGTATTTGTCATATGTATGGATACTACAAAATCAGAACAACGCAGGATACCTACTAATCATTACACTATCAAAATTACATCTCAAGCCGATTACCTAAGTTCCAGCGATTTTTACTCTTCTGCACATTGGACATGCATTACCTAAAACGCCCAGACAAGAGTACAGCACTACAGCCAACGATTTGCTGGAATCTAAAACAGGACAACTTAAAGATGCTTGAAAAATACCTGAATTTCTGCTCTGTGCACTTGAGCTCTTAAAGCCTGATGTTCTTCTGATACTGGAATGTCAGAGCTTTTCACGGCTAACACGAAGGTTAAAAAACAGAACAATAGAATACTCGGCATGATAAATCTAGTGGCGAGCGAGAAAATATGTGATCGTGCCGGTCCTGACTAAAAATTATTAAAGACACAATGACCGATTAACCAAAAAAGATAAGTTAACTATTTTCTCTTTGATCTGCACTTAGAATATTTGTCTCTGATGAAACTTCACAACCGAATTATTCAAATCGGGTTCAGAGGTTAGAATCAAAACCAAAGGCGGTTTGTAAACAAACGTGCAGATAACTAACAATAAGAGTATATATTCATCCATGCAATAAGATTCAAATCAGATTCAGATTCAGATTATTACGACCAAGAGACAAAAGTGCGCTCCAGCTAGAATTGTACTTAGCAAATGGGTGGTTCTTCTACGAGGATTAAAAATAAACGAGTGGCACGGAATATAACAAAAGAATATGAACTATGCAAAACGATAATTTGGGTATTGGAACTTGGCTGTTTTGAAAACGCCTTCAAATGCGGCGTGATACCTCACGCATTCCGGAGAGTTCAAATAGTTGTATCATTGCGCCGTAAGAATGTGACGGAAGATTTAAATGGAAATAGCCTTCAACACCCGGTCAAAGAATACTGTAAAATTGGATTGAAACTAGCATATGCTGACCTTTAAGTTCTTTAATGCAGAGAAAATGGTTTTGAAGTTTCGCATGTTCTTGTTTTTTTTTTTTTTTTTTTTTTTTTTTTTTTTNTTTTTTTTTTTTTTTTTTTTTTTTTTTTTTTTTTTTTTTTTTTTTTTTTTTTTTTTATGAACTTTCCACTCGTGATGAACTGTTGTCGTTTGATTGCAATCTGTAATACTGATTTCCATTTATCCCCCTTTGAGCTATAATGCTTCATTGATCTTTTTCCCATTTATCGGCCCCCATAGTAACCGTGTAGAATGAAGCATGCAACTGCAATTTATCGAGCTCTTGTGTGTGCTGTGGTATCACTCGAAATTGAAGGCACTCTATTATTTACCTGAGATCTGAGCCTACTGTAGCTGGCGCACGGTGTGTTCCTGTAGGTAAGTAGTTACAGCAAAAATTTTGTCGCGCAAGGGTTTGAACTTGTAATGGGATTTTCTCTCGTAAATTGTAATTGATTAGTAGAAAAGGTTGGCTTAAAGTATTTCTGTACACGATTTTGTTTTTAAATCATCCGTTCTGAAAAATTATAAATGACGAATGAAGAAGTTTGAAATCCATGCGATTTTTGTAGGATGAGAAAACCTCTTTCAAATCCAAGCCAAGTCTCATTTTGATTCTCATAGCTTAATTTTTGAACTGCCCCTTGGCCTGGCCCTGTATTTCTAAAAAATATGTAGTTTCTAACAGAATTTCATAGACCAACGCATGTCAACACCATATTTATAATATGACCTCTCAAGTAGATGTACACTTACTTAGGTATACATTGAGTTTATTCCTCGCATCTAAACTTTGATTGTGATCAGGCCTTGAAGACATAGTGTGGCTGACGCATCAGACCTATACCATTGGGAGAGATACCTATTAGAGTCCCCTTGGAGCCTTTCAGGAGGTGGAAGACGGTGGGAGAGGAGATCTGGCGACAGTGCAATTACTGGCTTGCTGCTCTCATTTTGCGTTCCTCTAAGAAACTTGCCGTGAGACGCAAGGGAGAAAAACAAAGGGAGGGTTGCAGCTGGGTGCAGTGGAATGCATTATTTTCTCTTGTCCCGTTGTCTTGCATTTCCGAGGCACGCATCAGTCTTCCCGATTCGATGACTGATGAGCGTGGGTGGTGCTGAGGACATATCATGAGCAGGGACCAGTTCTATAGGACCCTGGACTCCCGTAAGAGTCAATGTAAAAATTCGTGAGCAGGTACTAGTGCTGCTATCGCGCGTAGGATCCTCGCAACTCACTGCTGTTATCAGTTGTTGGACTTCATTAAAATCCGTAGGATCGCGTATAACTGCGAAAAATCGAATTTTTCATCGTATTATTACATGCGGCGGGCCCTTCCTTGTCGAAGGGGGTCGAAAAACGCCAAAAATATACTTATTTTTTAAGAATTCAGCCGCCTTATGTGTTATTTTTCAATCTCCGGCTTAACCTCACTTTTGGAGCGGGCGATGGATGAGTCGAGGTTCGGGGGGAAGGATCCTCTGAGTTGACTAGGATCCTACGCGAGAATGCGCTGCAATCACCCGCTCACAACAGAACGGCGTCCTATAGAACTCGTCCCTGTCATGAGTGGCTTCACAAGAGCCACCTACGGTTTGCCAACGGGTCCTCCCGGGGAGGGGGGGGNGGGGGGGGGGGGGGGGGGGGGTTTTCAAGGGATGTTCTCTCGAGCGACAACCAGGGGTTCGAAGAGACGAAACCAACATAAGTTGGCCCTCAGGGGTCAACTTCTTCTGTTACTTCTAATGCGCAAAATGTAGGGTTGGGTACGGTCGTCAATTTAAGTTCTTAGCATATTGCGTTTGTTTTTCTTTTCCTGCATGTTCTTGTTCGGTTATCACTGTTATTAAAGTCTAGATTTATTCGTTCGTTATTTATTCATCATTATTTTCCCTAAATTTATATAATATCTTGTGTGTGTGTGTTTGTCTTTGTGTCACCGGCCGTAGCACATGATCCTTAAAATTTTTGGGGGGATAATAGGACCCAACTCGTACGTCCCTAAATTTACCGTGCTAATGAAGAACGCCGTATGAGCATTCGAGAATTGCCAGCTTTCCTTCGATAAAATGTTTATTTTGGAGGAAAGTTATAAATATAGGACTTTTTGGTGGAATTGCGAGCAAAATTATCTGAACAATTTGAGGGAAAATATTCATAAGTTTACCAGGTAATTCGTATTTTGTCAGAGGAAATTTGGCAACGCCTGAAGGTTCGCACGGCGTTCTTCCTTGGGGAGCTTGCAGCTTAATTTCAAGCATTTTAGTAATGGAAATCTTTGAGTATTATGACAAGAAAGATGTATACTTCGACGTTTAATTTGAAAAAATCAGGAATATGAAGACATCACTTATTAATCTACGTGATCCTCTACTAACACCCAGGTAGTTAATTTCGATCTCCACGCAACTTGTCTCGGTATTTATGAGGGTGCATGTACGCATGTATACAATCGAGAGTTAAGGGTGAAAGTGCGGATGAGGTAGCGTATTTACTGTAAGTTGTAGAAAAATAAACGACATAGAAAATAAATACAACAATAATTACTATACAATAACATTTTATCATAAATAAATCATTTTATGCATTGGGTACAAAAATAAATAGTAAACGTTATTTGGTAAATTGTAAAGAAGAAGAAAATGTGAGGAGATTTCACAATTGCATGTTACTTAAGTATACTTGTGCATGAAATCCGCATTCGGGTAGGAATTTATCATATAGGGTATACTGTATGCATTTTTAGTTCCTTTATGAAGCTGTATCTCCTCTCAAACTTATGTTGCGCCGTAGCTGCCCTGCGCACAGGGATGACAAACTTGAATATTAAGGTATCAAATCACTAAAGATGAATCCGATATTTCAAGTATATGACATCAAACATATTTGGATACGTCTTTGAACCAGTGACTTTCCATGTAATTTTTAGAGAATAAACAACATGATGTACCAACAAGAAAGTTTATTCTCAAAATAGCACCAAAAATACTCTACATTGATTATCTACAAGGCCTGACATATTATCGATAAAAACAAGACCTCGAGTCGAGACCGACAACAGTACATATGAGACAAACAAGAAATAGCATGGAACATTTACTTAAGGGAAGAGAGCAAAGTTCTGTGAGAAAATATGAGCTCCGATTTAGTTCTTGAACGCTAGCAAATCAATCAAAGGTGTGTTTTGGACAATTAAAACGTTCTTTTCCGCATGCCTTCAATGAATGATTGATGTACACTGATGGAAAAATTGAAACCTAAAATTAAGCTCTGAACAACTTTAAAACTCTTGAAAAACTACGATTTCTCGTGGAAAAAATAACCGCCTCGAGAACTTGCTGAGAGCTTCGTCCATTTCTGCACAAAACCCTGAGTATGGACGATTAATAACTCAGGTATGTTTAAAATTTTGAAACAAAGCTCTCCGACGACGCTGCACATGCTTTTTGTGAGCTCCATCCGCAAATATAATATTCGAACAATGACTCATTACAGAGAATTTAAACAAAGTTCATTCGCAAACTTCGATACACTTATAGCAAATAAACGGCACAACAGCATCAAAATAATTGAAAGTTTCCTGTTTCTTGAAAAAAAATGTGAATCAGGTAAGATTTATTCCTCAAAGAGAGCTGATAGGATCAATTTTGATCAATTTTAAGGCAATCTTCCGAGATTTTATGAAGTCTTGCCAACTATTTAAATTCTCTGAACAACATTTATTTAATCCCCTAGGATTTTCTGAGAATGACGCCCCTATATGAATTTAATTTAACTCTATAGCACTAATCAAATACATAGCTACTAATCTCTTGCCTACATTATCAATTTAGTTCTTTTTCAGATTGACATGGAGGAAGTAACTGACAAAACACACTCATGAAACTATCATATTTTTATGAAACTTATTTTTTTTCCTACGAAATATAAAGAAAAATTTTTTTGTCGCGAGCAATCGGCAATCGTTAGTAATTTGCCAATATTTTGCGAGTTGCTCGTCAAATTGCAGAAATTTGCATCGGCTTAATGAGGGCTCCATTGGTGAGAAAAAAGAAGACTTTGAAAAATCCTGGCTGAGAACGCCTTCAATTCTTCCTGATACTTTCCGCCTTGCAATGCGGTTAGTTTAGTTGCCTACCCGGACCTAACCCAACTCGTTTAATTAGAATCAGCACAACTACATTATACGTTGCCTAATTTCCACCATGTTTTACGTTATTTTACAGAAAACTGAGGAACATGCAATCTCGCAATCTTCTGAGTATATTCTTTACGATTCAAGATAAATTCGCAGATAGTTTCAAGGTGGAAAGTCGTCGAGTTAAATGTTAAAATTACGAGTATGAAATGTAAAAACTTATAATGCAGTTGTGCTGACTTTGGATCTTACCAATTCCAGACATTATAGCCAACTCTGGTTTTGTTATTTCATCTCCGTATTTACGTGTTTTTCTATTCATCAAGAATAGCATGCAAGTTGCCAACGATCGCTCATTGCGTTTGACACTTATACATCATTATTCAGACTAAACATTTTTTAGTGCTCTGTGTGAGAATAAAAGTGAAATTTATGTTCAATGAGTAAGTCACTCCGTATATCCTGTCAAGTTGATTTCTTTTTGCTGAGACCATAGGCTGAGAGTGCTTTATTTGACAATATATTCGATTCGATTAATGGCAACTCTGTCACATACCGCATCGCGGAGGCCGCTTAAAATATGCAGCCTCGATTTGAACAAACCGTAATGGCGCAACACCACGTACTCGGGATTTCCCCGACCATGCAGGTTTCAATAGGACTCCGCAATATTTCTATTTCCTTTTATTCCAACTCATCCCAAAGTTGAGATTTCATGGTTATGAACTTAAAGTGGATCTTTAGCACTTTGGAGAAATATCCGATAGCAGATAGATCAATTAATAATTTCCAGATTTTAGGGCATCTTGGTGCCTTGGTCTTTGGTGCACAAATACCTAACGTAACACAGCGTATAAACTCATGAAATTTTTGTGCAATACGTTGACGTTATCTAATACTGAACATCGTTACCTACTAAAAATATTTTCATTACATACATCGTTGCATCATTTTAAAAAGGAGGCTCTCTAATTTTAGCATGAGTCTCGACAAGTCAGGCTTTTACATGATTATGAGGCCTTACAAATAATTATGTCCCTACACAAATTGTTTTGCTTAACGATAGGTATCTAAAGAAAATGTTACGACCAATCAAAAAATGTATCAATCTATACAATATGATTCATGTCTTGGACGAAACTGAAGAAAATATTAGATCATGGTGAATTACACGTGCGCTGTTGATAGTGAATAGTAACTATCTGTTACCTACTTAAAGATACTATAAAGGAACTTTCAGTTGGTAAATGCATTGACGATCACAATTGAAGCATTTACTCTTCAGAAAAAAAGGGGGGTGGGGAATTCCTGGCCAAACTTACAACCATCTCAAAGAATGAAGCAGAGCAGATGAGCAGCACACTAACAAGGGTCTCTACGAATGATCGAGAAGTCTTGCTCTTGCCTTGTTCTTACCCAGTGAAACCTAGCAGCAGAAGGCCAAAAATTTAAATTCGGCGTAAAAAATAAAGAGGGCATCCTTATTTGAATTAGGTTCTACTAAGCTGTTTGCCGACTGTTCTACCTTTTAGATACCGCTGAACGACTGTATCTTTTTGTGAATGTCAAGTCCCGATTATCCATGCTTGAAGCGCGTATCTTTGAGCGTAAGCATCCACCACCACGCTTGACATGCGATTCTTTAAGAATCAAAAAAATATGTCTAATAACGCAGTGGCAGACTTATCGTTGATTCCCAGACGGGGGATCGTATACAACTTCATACCAATGTTGCAAAACTGACTCAAACGGATCAATTTTTATAGAAATATGGTAGAGCAGTTTCTCTCCATTTAGCTGATTTTTGCGTGCAGCCAGAGAGACAATTAGTGAAATTTTCACATGTAAATACCCAGAAGTTTCCTAGTAAAAGTTCAATATGCGCATGGAAATTTCGCAACGTTGAAATGTGTTTACGCTCCACCTGGGAAACGACGTCACGTCGGACCCGTAGTTGAAAGGCGCCCTTACTTGAATGTCAAGTTGGGGCGCTGACTAGAGAGAGGATGCAACGTCACTGGTGACGTCACTGTGGTTTCGTCAAGAATTCGTTGAGCAGAAGCAGTGCAGCGTCTTTGATCTTGAGACCGCTTTCAGCCGCTTTCAGGGAGCAGATACAGCCGGAGGGTAGCAAGTACACTTGCTTCGATTCCACCCCCTCCTTGTCCGTCATGAGGAGATGCGTGTAGACGTACCTTTGCTTGCACAGAGCCTTGAAACCGGCCGGCATTTTCTCGCTTGACGAACAGGAGCCAGATTGTCTGTAAACCGAACAAAATTACACGTCAGTATACAGTCGTAAATATTTACAGTGCATTATTTTGTCAGGCCGATCATCGTGTTTGAATTTAGTGCGTTGCCACGAATGACTCTGCCTAATTCCCAATTTGAAGGCGCTTTTTGAACGACTAAGAACCATCAATGCATAATATCCATGATACACGATCTAGCTATGAATAGTCAGTGATACACCGTGTATATATATTTTTACACACCCTGTAGGTATTTCATAACAACTGGTGATACTGGTAAATAACTGTTTGCTCAAATTTATGACCGATTTAGGTAATGCGCTCCTTTGTCTTGCTATTTTGGGCGAGTGCAGGAATACATGGATCGTCATGATTTCCATCGTTGTCAGAGAGATTAAATGAGAGATAAGTTCTTAATTCTCTTAACATCAGTTTCGGTGAAACATCCTCTAAAGAGTATTAATACTCTTTAGAGGATGTCCTTCAGATGATTCCTTAAGACGCTAAATAATATTCTCAGATTTTGATGGGTATAATCAGCGAATCGCGATGAATATTTATCCATAAATTTTTTGCTTAAGGCTTATAAATACATCCTCACTGCAAATATTAGCTAGCAAACAACTCAAAAAACACACATTGCAAATCCCAACGAAACTGCTAAAATCAAGTTTCGCTCATTTTGAATGGGTAGCCACATGGAGCAGTGGCTGGCGTGGCGTGAATAGCGATATATCGATTGTTATGCCATTTATACCTATGGAAAAGGATCGATAAACAGGGTGTTCGCAGTGAACACTTTCATAATCGATTCTTTACCATAGGTTCAAATGGCGTAACAATCGATGTATCACAATTCACGCCACGCCATCGACATGGAGCGTGTTGACGCGTATATTAATTGTCAGCCGTGCATGGAGAGGATTCCCCGTTCTTAGGTGGAGAATTCCACTTCCAGTTTTGCACGGAGACGGGTTTTATTGCTCATGATGTAATAAACATAAAATCTGATTTTCGGGGGAAATTTTCAGTAGTTACAAATACTTACACACACTCCTCAACTTCTATTCCTGATTTCATGGTGTAAACTTTGCTTTCGCCCGAGACATCGTCGGTTTTTGTGATGTTGGGATAGATGAGTTTTTTCTAAACGAAAACAAAAAACATACCACTTAGGAAAAGTTTTTCGAGACGACAAGAATGATTGACATTCAGATTGAGCAAAAATTCATTACAGAGCATTGCACCTGTTCGAGTGACATTTGAGCTATGGTGGTGCGCCCTGTGGGCTATCAGTTTCTTATTCAACAATTTAGTTGTAATACCTATAGGTAAATAACTTCGCTACAAAATAAAATAAAATCCCCACCCCATCTGATTAAGAAGTTTGCAATTTTTTTTTTACCTTCTTAGTTAAGTAGTTCTAAACACCATCATGACAGTGCAAACCCATGTTCATGTTTCAATTCTCTGTATACAAAATAAATAAATAAATAAATAAAAAGTATGATCCTATAAATTTGCTGTGCATTTCCTTTTTATAACATATCAAAATACACCAATGCAATTTCAGTGAAATATTTTGGGTTTTTTTTTTTTTTTTTTTTTTTTTTTTCAGGAATGAAAATTATCGGAGATTTTTTAACATTCCATGGGAGGCGATTTTGACTATGACTACAGTCGTACAATGTCTCTAATTTTCAATCCGCATAAAGCATACAAACAGAGCAATTGATGACAAAAATATCTCTTCAGAACACGAATGCAAAAAATAATTGGTTGAAAAAAGCCTCTCGAAAAATCAAAAAAGGGTTAAATTTTTGGTTTGTTTTTGCTTATTTGTGGCTGGATCTATAGAAAGGGACCGTACCTTCCCGAAAATGATAATTTCTATAAGTTTTTGAAAACATTTCATGTTTTTCTCTACAACCTAAGGATTTCTGCTTGGAACTTCAGGACTAATATCTCCTTCAATTTTTGAGATTATGGGGTCGGATTTGAGCCGAAATTTCAAGATTTCCCTCCGACATGCACTTATAAAATGTCAAGGAAAACTTTTTCCCGGAAGATAAGGTCCCTTTTTACAGATGCGGTCACAATTTTATCTAGAACATTCTGAATGGTTCCAAAAATCCCTTTAGCTAGCATTCACTCCGCTCACGGCTCTTATATATTATGCTTGCTAATTATTTTTTGAAAGGGAAGGATTCCTTTTATGGCGTTATGAAAAAGTTATACCCACCATCGACTTGCAAAGTGGTTCCTTTTCCGGTTCATCCATGACATCAACTGGCTGAATTTCAACTTCCTGCGAAACGAATGAAAGAATACGGAATTACTGACACTGATAGGTGTGACAGATGTGCCAATATTCTCATACTCTTTAATGCGAACATTTTGCCGTTTGATGTGTAGCAAATTAAAATTATCTTGGAGTTGCATTGCCCCCCCCCCCCAAAAAAAAAAATTAATCAAACTCATCTTAAGGACAAAATAAGAAGATTGGAATGGCATGCCTCGTACAGTGAAATGTAGACTATGTAGCTTGAAAAATATTTTTCTCTATATTTTACAGTTGATTTACGGTGCAATCGGAGAATTAACATTTTGGGTACAGTAAAATATTCATTCATTAGTTTGATCTAATTTGATAATTTAATGAATTTGCTTCATGTTACCTAATAATAAGGTTCATTTTGACCCATAGACCACGCTCTTGCGTGGCTGGTAGTTTAACCCCAGTTATTGTTTGTTTTCTCCTAAATTTTAGTTGACTCTGAAAATTGTATTACGGCAAATGTGCTTGTAACTCCAGTTGATTTTGAACCAGAGTGATATTACTTAATTTCATATACAATTTTACGCTCAATTCCTAACAAACTAAAAGGAGAAACTATCTCTTGAATGATTCTAGGGATTTAATACAATTATACCTATGTCAACTATCTCAGAACAATTTTGATTGATAACTATTTGCTATAATTAAAGCTATGTAAGTGCTCGAGATGTTTGCGTTTATCTACGTTTGAGAAGTATGAAAATTCATCGAATTTAAGAATATAAGAGTTTATCATGATTTGGAAAAGAATTAATAAAAACTTACGTATTTTGAGTCGAATTGTCTTTTCAAAGCTTCTTGCATGAACATTTCATCTATGTGACTACTGCAACAGTCAGAAAGAGAAATTTGCAATCCTTAAATTATATTCTCGGTATTATGATTATTATAGCGTTTAATCAAAATATGATGGTAAAATTCCATCACTTTGGTAATCACCCACTTCCATAAAATGGATTCAATGAATATAACTAGATATTACATTCGATAATTTTTGAAGCATCACTTCTGACATAATTCGAAACTTATGCCTAGCTGCCTCAATAATATAGGGGTTTTGAAGTCTTTACGCCTTCAAATTTTCTCCGGTTTCTCATAATTTAATGGCCTCCTTCGAAAAGTTATATTTCCATTAAATTTTTACTTTACATTTTAGTTGTCTTGCTGATTTTTGATAGAGCTATTTCAGAATTACACGATGACCCTCTTTTCAAAAGGAGAGGCTACCCTAAAAAAATTCACTTCTATTAAGCTGTGCGATACAATAATTCGGCAATTTCCAAAGTAGCCTTTTAAATTTTAAAATAACTACAGGAAAAAGCGAGAAGCATTAATACAAAACTTTGTTATGCGGGAACTAGCAAAGTATACAATCTATTCAAACCCAAGTAGCATTTTTCAACGGAAAAATCGCGATTTCTTGCGGTTTTGTCGGCGATAAAATCGCTAAGATCATCAACATCTGAGAGATTGTCCTCGATCTTGTTACAATAAAATTGCGATTTTATCGCCCGGCAATTTATCGCAACAAAAATCGCGATATATGGCGATTTTGTCTCGATTCTATCGACGAAAATTGATCGCGATTTTATTGAACAAAAATTTTTATTGAACAAAAAAATTGAACAACATGGCGATTTAATCGCCATAAATCGCAATTTTTTATTAGATAATATTGCGATAAATTGCCACCGATATAATCGCGATAATCAACCGATAAAATCGCTATTTATCGCGATCACTGCTACTTGGGAAGGTAATATTAAATGCAAAAAAGTATTTTTGTAAGAACTGTGGGAGGAAAAATACCTAGGATAGTCCTTAATCGTTTCGCAAAACGTTGATCCATTGGCGCAATCTGCAAAGTCTTCGGCTTTTGGAGTGAAACGAGGAGAACCTTCGGATCCTGTGTGCGAGAAACAATAAATCAATGATAATTATATACATCAAATTCCTTTTTAATTTTATAAATAGTACATTTTTATTATAATTATATGCATATTATAGACTTTCATTAGGTACGTGCACAGCACGTAAACACAATCAAAACTATAAATATAAAGCTCTCTGCCTGTTTCGAACGACTAATAAAGCTAAAAAAATTGCGACTATACCGTCAAAGAGGATTATTTTCAGTTATTTAAGTACTATCATTGGATGTTTAGTAAAAAAATCAAATCCATTCCACCTTGTCTACTTGAGTTGAAAAGAGGGCGAACCATCCGATTAGCAAAACGCGCTCGACCATTACGGCCTCACCTTTGAGAAATTCTGTATACGCGTGAGTTGATATGAGTGTAAGACAAATTGCCTAACTTTAGGAGTAATTTGAAGCTTCGGATGGTCAATCTAGGAACCATATTAGCATAGGTCCCATCCATGGGCCGCGGAAAGGAGGGGGGGGGGTAAGAGGAACGAATCTCCTGTGCGGAAATTTTTGCCCCAAGGAGAAATGTTGTAAAAAATATATAGATATAGTATTATTGATACTTCATAGAACAATATTTTGACTTCCCTGGTAAAAATTGGCGATAGGAGCTGCGTTTCAAAATACCATAGGAGTTCTTATAGCCGACTGAAGAAGGCGATAGAAAATCATACAGCTGGCTGTAGAAAGTGGAAAAAATCATACGGCCGGGCTACGCGAAGCGATAAAAAATGAAACAGCCGGGCTATAGTTCCTGTCGCCGGCCTTTACTCTTTATCGCCTGGCTGTTGTTTTTTCGCCATCGGCTATAAAAGGCTATAAGAAATTGTGTAGAAATTCGTATGCTTTGTAAATCCTCAAGTTTGTACGGAATCACCATAATATTTACAAAACGCACATTATATATTCCTTTACTACATATTTGTTTTCATCAATTAAAATGAGAATAATCCATACAGAGTGTGCGAACATTTCAAAGTAATGAATTGAACAACGCTGACTCCACGAGATTAAATATTAGAGCCTAACCCAAAGCGGAGCGGCGGCGCACTGGCGCCTACAAACCTAACGGGGATACTTCACGCATTGCGCAATGCGTGAAGTATCCCTGTTAGGTTTGTAGGCGCCAATGCGCGTTTCGCGCTGGCTGCCCGCCCGCCTCGCCGCGCCGCAGCGTACCACGGCGCTTGAAGCAACTATTTCACACCAGAGGTATTGCACAGTATCGTATGAAATTGAAGGCGCTCCAACATATTAGAAATGTCAGGCATCCTTCAAAAGTACGGAGCTTTCCTCGCAAAATAAATTAAGATACTACGGCCCAAAAAGAGAGCGGTAGTCCAAAAACTCACTAAGTCCTAGCATCTGTAATTAGTAACGTTTAGCATACACTTTATCGTCAGGCTGTTGCTTAATCAAAAATTTAGTACCTGCTTGATTTAACAAAAGTGCCTGCGATAGGAGAATACATATTAAGAAAATAATGCCACGTGAAAAAAACGGCATGGAAAATCTCAATTAAATATTTCCGATGGAGGAGAAAAGCAACTTGCGTATTTATTGGACGATAAAAACATAATGATTCATTACCGAGCGACCTTGCTGCTTTTGACGAGAGCTTTTGCATTAAAACATTCAAATTTTCCGCTGGCTCACCGGGAGAGGCTGGGACGTCAGCTTGGGGGCGGCTCATCGCGAGATTCAACTGAAACAGAAATCATTTCCCGTTTTAAGATTCAATAATGACCAACTCACACTTGCTTATCGAGCAGAATGATTTGACACTTCGCTAAATTTAACACACAAATTATTTTGATATGCTCTTAGTTAGAGGGAACATTTTCAAGTTAACTTTTAAGGCTATCAAAAAAAGGAAATGGAATCAAGTGACATGAACTTGAAATAGAGAGAAATGTGCTTAAAGTTTTCTGATCTTTGAACTTTTTACTTATTACGGACATCGGTAACCTAAGTTCAAAAATACATCCATACCCTAGTAGCACTGCTTGCAATAATTTGTAATAACATAATAAAAGCATTGCTACTGCATCAGAATGCTGTGTATGTTGCATATCAACTGATTGAAGGAGCACTTATTTCTGAAATTCATGGATAAATAATATTGAGCCAATTGCAGATTTTCTTTGCATTGTATCGCAGCCTATCTCTCGGAAACATGGAACTCATTTTGTTGATTATTTAAAATTGGTATGTACTGACCGAATGACGTAAACACATTGCAATATCGTCATAAAAAAAATTCAATCTAAAATCGAAATCTTATTTCAATTTATTCTCTGGACTGTATGCAGAATACACTGCGTGAGAGCAAATGAAAATCACAACGAATTAAATGATTAAATCAATCACGAACTTAGCCAGACTCAGAATAAATGCATTGATTGTCATACGAACTTTTTGATCTAAGGAAATTTTTTATTTTAAAAAAATCTGACCTTGCAAAATTGATTCATTTATTCGTCGCAAAGTGAAATTGCAAGTGTAAACTACTTTTATGTATGACTTTCGATCAATAAGGTTTGTCCGTTTCGTTCATTTATAAAAAATAAAAGAGAGCGTAAATATTAAAACGTAAACGCGATACGCGATTGTATGGGCTTATCAATGATAGGCTTTAAATACTTCATCTGGAATCGACACACACAAACTCCTGTAAATATTTAACCCGGTCATTATAATACCCTACATTTTTTCCTCACACTCACACTGTGTACACACTGTGCACGTGGTGGCGTTGATATTTACAAAATTACGAACGAGATAAGAAAAAAAAAACCACGACACGATCTTCGATTTTTCCATTTTATGGGGGGAAAAAATCCAGTGATGTACTATGCACAATGGCATTTGTATTGCTCTAATAAATGTATTCCTGGAGGTGATAAAAATACTAAGAAAGATTATTTAAGTGTATGAAACAAACATTCCAATAGTGCATAGTAATTGCGCATTTGGATTCATGGTTGTCGGAATGAATTTTTGTCGTCAGGGAAATTTCCTCGAAAAAATGTCAAACTAAGAGGCATGGCATTAGTACCACCACACACTAACCAACCTAACTAACCTAAACTATCAAACAAATCAGCACACCTATGAATCAACAGAAATCAAGTAGTAATTTAAAGGAATTGTACGTACCGACAACAATACGCAAAAAAATGTGGGCACTGCTTGTTGCACGTGCCTATGAATCTGTTCCGGCAGCATTTTCATCCAAATTAGACGCAATTTTATCAAAACAGGATTGAACGTTTGAATTTAAGTCAAAACATCGACCGAAAACGCACGAAAACAAAACAAAACATAACAACTGATAACACAGGCAGAAACTCCGAGATCACAAAACTTATCATCCCATAAAAATCACGAGCGATTCCGCCACCAAAAAACACTCAACAGTTACGCAAGTAATAGGAAGTAACATTCCTGGACGAAATTAAATATGTATTTTCATAATTCGAGCACGAGTTTATCCGCGAAGCGCGTCAAATTGGGCTTTGAGCATGAGTCGCGGCGGAGAACTGGGGTTGGCGTTTTAAAAGCGCGGCACTTGGAATCGCGGGAATCCTGACGAGGGCGGAGCCGGTTTAGTTCGTCAGTGTCAAAGAGCCGCGCAAGTGGAGTCCGAGATGAACCCCGACACCCGTAAGACCACGCGCTAACCATGGCTCATACGGAAACGTACTCGCGGCTCTCTCCCGTAACGCAGCAGCGCGAGAGAAATCGGCGCCCTCTCTCCTCTCCGTCCAAAAGCTGATGACTGTTGAGCGTTGCGACTTACGTTGCGTTGCGTCGCGTCGTGCCGTGGGTGCCCGTGGTATCCCCGATCGGGAATCAATGACTCCGTTGTCGCCAGACGAAGCGTCGGCCGCCCGGAAGCCCCGCTCTTCACTATGACGCGAGGAAATCCCACATTCCCACGGGTTTCCGGTTTTACTGGAGCAGAAGTAGCGCCATGCGTGCTGGTGATCTGATTCATAGCACCTATAGCTAGAGAGTATTATACCGTGGTTGTACCGCTCTCTGATAAGTTCACTGCTTTTAGGCCTAGGGCCCAAAGTGAACAGACCCAATAAGCGAATTTTATTTAAAGTTCCGACCCTCTTTGGGAAGTTCTGTCCCTGTTTGTCTCATCCATCACCAACACCAGTGGACACCATTGTTGCCAGATTCGAACTCAACTAGAATGGCAGCTCGAAGGTTCGGGCACAAAAGTAGTACCAATCCCCCAAATAAAATTTGCTTAATTTGGATGAATTCGAATTTTCGAGAGTGAAACGAATTACGCCGCGACTGAGCAACTTGTCTGTGAGGATGACGGCAGGAAGGCTGTCAAAGAAGATGGGGTGCCTCCTGAGAGGAGGCAAAGTGGACGACCCGTGAGAGGGTGGCGACAGGGGGTTTTAAATGAAATGACGGAGTGCCAACTTCCTAAAGGGTTGTGGGAGGACATGGTATTGTGGCGGTCAGACGTCGCAGAGCTCCAGAGAGCGCTGTGAAACCGGTTCTTATGTATGTATGGAAGTGGGAGAAGGTTTGAACAACATGGAAATGAATGATACCTACCCGCAGGAAAAGAGTAATCCTCGATTAAAATACCATCAACATTTGTTTAGAGCTCATTCCAGAAGTTGAGAACTAACATTCTTCATCGCACGTAAAACTCCATCACCATTTCGCCTATAGAGGCTATGAAATCATTTAAACTTGAAACCGAACAAAAAGCGTGACAGTATTTCTGGACTAAAAGGATCCTTAGGGCAATACCCCATGTATATATGCTCTCTAATTCAAACTCGTGCCATCAGTCTCATTAGAAAACCACCCCATGTCCAAGAGTCATGTCTACGAGCTTCACGTAGCAGCGAATCGTTTAAGTCCGGTCGAGTGGCCGCAGCTGCGGTTCTAGATACCTACGGTTCCGGTTTTAAGATCTGAAACTCCTCATCCCTTAGGAAAAAGCTGTGGTCAGCATCAGTATGCTAATCGACGCGAAGCAACGCCAGGTTGATAGAAGCGCCTGAATACAACTATTCGTACCTAACGGATGTCTGTGTTGCATACTCTATTAAATGAAGGCACTTTGTTTTTCGCGTTGTCGGTCAAACAGCGCTGATGAGCACCGCCACATCGTTTCATGTTGTTCGTAAGGGTTGCTCTGATGACGTCAGAGAAAAGAACAAGGAGGGAAGTTTTTCTTTTTGCGAATTTTGTGTTCGTTTGTTTTTTTTCTTTTCTTTTTTCTTTTCTGATTGGATCATACTCACTGAGTGTGCACTGTGCATTGATGACCGCACCATCTACACAGATAGAAATGGGCCGTTTACTCATTTTTACATTTGTGAATTACCGATATATGCTGATAAACATAATATGCTGCATCCTATGTCAGCGGAGGGAAAAATATTTATGCAGGAACTGTTTAACACCCCAAGTTTTTACGCATATTCGATTATTTTAAAGGGCACCGTGCAAAATCTCTGCTTACCTTTTCAGAAATAATAGAGCACCGGTGACGACTTAATACCTCCGTTAAAAATTAAAAGTCTTCCCACTAAGTTGTAATCAACTTTCAATGAAACTTTGCTGATATGGGGTATAGCGAGCGGAAAATCGAAATAGATTCATTTTGACGTGTCTCGAAGATGTTGAAAAATCTCAAAATTGACAACCATGTTGATCATTAATCCAATTAATTGCCTGGGCGGCACTTTCGATTTTCATCAATCCGTAATCTTCACGCGTGTAGAGGTAATTCCAATTGAGCGTAAAATACCTTCCTGCCTTATATGCTGCGTTGCCTAACCGGCCTAAAAATTCAATTCCTATCCTGAAATCTTAATGCCTCATGAATGATTCTGACAACACTGTGTTGTTGAATGAACGCAATAAACATTTACACACGCCAGGTTTATGACCTTCTTTTGCGATACATCATCCTAGCGGTTCGTCTTTGAACTGTTTCTTACTTGACGTCATCGTAATATTCCCCGTGGAAACACATATCGATTATGAAAAAGTATTTGTTTTTTTTTTTTATCAAATTCGATCCAGCCGATGCCTGTACCAATGGAGAATTCCTACGAGGATGTCACGTGCAAAGTGTGAAACATCAGTTTATTAAAATTATTCACAGCCACGCATTGGAGTATCTCTTCGATTTAACTTTTTTGAGCGATAATATATGGACTCGTGCAGGGATTTTTACGTTTTAGAGTCTGGGGTTTGCAATATGTTTTTTTCAAATTTACTCGGGAAAATGTGAATATTTTTCTTCAAATTTTTCAGACGATTTTTTTGCAATTTAATTTAAAATATCTTAAATTTTTGCCGAAAAATATGCATAACTTTCCTCTTAAATTCGCGTTTTATCCGGAAAAAGTTGGCAACTCTTGAATAAAAATACGGCGTTCTTCTTTAGCACGGTAGTATGACCATGTCAATAGGATGACCGAAGAAAAGCTGCCAAAAAGATGCTTGACTAAGTTCCACATGGGAGGGTAAGCGAATTTTATTTAAAGTTCCGAACCTCTTTGGGAAGTCCTGTCCCGGTTTGTCTCATCAATCACCAACACCAGTGGACACCGTTGTTACCGGATTCGACTAATCAGATACGTTGGTTTTCGATAGGTCGAACCTTTTTTAGAACCACCTCGCGATGTGGTACCAAAGTCACGCACCAATGTTACGATTCTTTAGTCACCGAATGGGAATTTCCGAACTCAAATAAAATGGCAGCTCGGAGGTTCGGGCACAAAAGTAGTACCGAACCTCTAAATAAAATTCGCTTAATACGAATCAGACAACCGGTGTAAGAGGTGCGATAAGGGATTGAACAGGTTGAGGGTTTAAAAGGGCCGAGAAGGAGGACTGCGATGGTTGTGCGTCGCAGAGCGCCAGAGAGCTCTTTGAAAGCGGTTTACGGTATATGCATAGAGGTAAAGGATGAAATCAGTGTCAATGTTGGTGCCTGACTTGCACTAACGGCGATCCTTTCGCAATGTGCACGCATTGGTGTCGCAAAGTGAGACCTTCCTGCCTTCCCCGGATATAACGTCGAGGCGCAATGCTCTGTCCTCACGGGAATTTCCGGTCCCTCGAAACGGAAAATCGGATACACCTTCGTCCAACCAGGCAACTATGGTCGTCTCTCAGGGCTAAGTGCCCAATCGTTGAAAGCTGCGCCCGTGAGGTGCCCTAATTGACGACCTAAAAACAGTGTCAATGCTGAGTGTGAAAAATTCCCCACCTATTAAACGACGCATTTACAACCGTCCTGTGGCGTTAGCTTTAGAAGCTCCAGGTGTCACATATGCTGGTCAGTTTCACTGTATAGGGCGTCAATGTGTGCATGTCTCAATGAAAGCCATGGAACAATAATTTTTACGGAAAATGAAAAGGTTAAACAATGGTAAATTCTAAATTCCTGCGTGATCAGATTTCTCGGGTAGCTCAACAAAAATTCAATTAGGGCCAACCGAGTAAGCCGCGATTCTGGTTAAGTCATCCTTTATTGAAGCCTCGATGAGTGAGGGATTTGTGCAAAAAAATCGGGTGTAGAGTATTTGAAAGTGTGTTTCCAGGTCACTCATTCAACCGTTCTCTCCGGATTAAATACGATCCCTAATAACAGCTCTTTATTCACATTTCGCATTTAACCCCGTCCCTCCACCCTCTATTTAGGCAGCCTCTGCGATCCTAAGATCATAAAAAAAATGTGTTCGCTTAATCTCATGATTATAATTATTAGTATATATTTTGTAAAAAAGAAAATAAAAAAGGTCCATCTGCAAAATTACTTTAAAGATTATTTGAGTCATTAGGTCCATTTTAACTTTAACAATGTTACCACATCTTCACGAACTCTTTTTTCTCAAAATCTCTAAAATGGTACTTTATATCTTCGAAGGAATGAGTTCTCTCTACATTTTGGTTGAGGATGATTTTATTTGCACGGTTGTGGATCAAGAAGTCATGCGATAATAATGGTGACTGATGCCTTTGACCAATATTTTTGAACGATGCAAGAGGATAGAGAACCACGATCGTCACGATGAGCTCGTATGACAGAACCTTGGTAAATTAATTCCTAATCTTTCTGACCCAACTGTGACCGCGCAAGGAACTCAAACAACAGGATATCTATGATCCTCTACGATATGAGAAGATACATCATTATTGAACACCTGTTACTCAATAAACTTCAACAAAAAGGACCGATGAAAAATGAAATCTATTAAAATAACAATTATAGTGTGGTAAAATAATTTCCAACATGAAGCGTTTGTACTTGTCGGGCGCAGAATGAATGCGAGGCTTCTGTGCTCCTCACAGGCGCTGAGGCGTCGCGTCGTTGGACTTTTTTGCCTCAAACATGTTATGAGGATTTGGAAGGAGATTATGGACTGCACTTTTTATGTGCTGTGACTCCATCAGGAATCGAATAAAATTCAATTAAAAGCAATAAAAGAATTTTTACATGCAAGGATTAAACTTGAACTTGTAGGCGCGACTGTCAAAGGACAACCAATTTACACCATAGGTACTGTTAAAATGAACCGGAGGAAAATACGCCCAGGGGAAATTTACAGAGGCCATTATCTAATTTACGTTAGAAATGCCCCCAGTTTATCCAGTGATGTAAACATTCAAGTGCCGCCAACAAAAAAAGGAGGAAAAGAGAAGAGGAAAATTGGACTGCGTTAAGTAGAAAAGAACTAAGCTACATCAGCCATTGAAACA